GTGATGTATAAGTGGTTGGGGATCACCACAACATGGGGAACTGTATTATAGGGTCGCGGCATTAGAAAGGTTGAGAACCACTGGTCTAATCTCTTCTTAAAAACTTCCAGTGATGAAGCGCCCATGATTTCTGGAGGCAAGCGGTTCTGCTGGTTAATTGTCCTCACTGTCAGGAAGTTTCTCCTTAATTCCAGGTTGCTTCTCTCTTTGATCAGTTTCCAACCATTGTTTCTTGTCCTGCCCTCTGGTGCTTTGGTGAATAACGTGACCCTCTCTTCTTTGTGGCAACCCCTAAATACTGGAATACTGCTATTATGTCACCCCTATTTTTTCTTTTCTTTAGACTAGCCAAACCCAAGTCCTGCAGCCGTTCTTTGTATGTTTTAGTCTCCAGGCTTTTGATCATCTTAGTTGCTCTTCTCTGGATTTTTTCCAAACTCTCAACATCTTTTTTGTGATATGGTGACCAAAATTGATTGCAGTTTTCCAGGTGTGGTCTTACTAGAGTTTTATAAAGCGGTGCTAATACTTCGTCTGATCTTGATTCTATGCCTCTTGGCTGCTACTGCACACTGCTGGCTCATAGTGAAGTGATCATCCACTAGGACTCCAAGGTCCCTCTCACAGTTACTGTTTTGAAGCCAGGTCTCACCTAATGTGTACTTGTACCTTTGATTTTTCCTGCCTAAATGTAAAACTTTGCTTTTCTCCACATTAAAACTCATTTTGTTGGATAGGGCCCATTGTTCAAGTTTGCCAAGATCTTTTTGGATCCTGAGTTTGTCTTCTGGGGTGTTGGCTACTCCTGCCAATTTGGTGTCATCTGCAAATTTGATGAGTTCCCCTTCACTTCCCTCATTTAAGTCATTTATGAAGATATTGAAGAGTACTTCTCTCCATGTGGATGTAGTGCCATTGAGGACTACTTGCTGAGTACGGTTTGCCAGCCAGCTACGGATCCATCTGGTGGTGATATTGTCTAGTCCACCTTTTTCTAGCTTACCAAGGAGTAGGTTGTGGTTTACTTTGTCAAATGCCTTACTGAAATCTAAGTATACTACGTCCACAGCATTTCGCTGGTCTACTAGTTTAGTCACTTTATCTTGAATCTTGAAAGCCTGTCAAATATTGAAACCAAGTTGATTATATCAACAGATTGCATTTTTGTGAAGAAAAATGCAGTGCTGCTGAGTTTCATGAACCTCTTGGTGATAGACAAGTTTTAGAAGATGATGTCAAAGGGGTAGGTAGTGCCACTTCTGTATTGTACTATATCCTGCCTGAAACTCTTTAAAGCAGCTGCATGATTCTGGTCAAAAACATTGCTGCTCCTGCCTTCTCTAGAGTCTATATTCCAAATGATTTACAAAGGGGTATGCAATCCTAATATAGTTACTCCTTGATTTACAACAGGCATGTATTTAGGGCAGTTGTTAAGTGAATCTGGCTTCCTCCATTGACTTTGCTTGTCAGAAGCCAGCTGTAAAAGTTGCAAATGGCAATTACATAACCTCTGGACATTGCAGCTGCCTTAAATACATGCCTGTTGCCAAGCCCCTGAATTTTGACCATGTGTCCATAGGGAGGCTTTGATGCAAGTACCATTTTAAGTGCAAGTACCATTTGTAAGTCTACTTTTTCTGGGACATAACTGAACGGTCGCTAAACAAATGGCAGTTGAAGATTACCTGTACAGAGAGCCAGTATCCTGATTTTTTTCCACAATGATTGAGGTTTTTTTTTAATTGAGAAATGGCCCAAAGTTATTTGGTGAATTTAGAGGGTCTTGAATCTTAGTTTCCCAAGTCAACCTCTTAACCTCTTAATATTATCTCATCTTCCAAACGTTCGTGTATTTCTAACAAGACACTCTGCAGTAAATCTGTGCATTTACCATATTCCCAACATTTGTGCAGAGTGACCTTGGTTATCATTACCTCCAGGATTGTTGGAAAGTAGGTTAGATCCCTTTAGCAGGCTGGGTAAGTGGACCAGTTATGTAAACCGGGTTATGCTGTCGTCTGGAGAGCAGTGTGAACAAAGCAGGAGCTAAGACGAATTGCCTTGTCAAAAGTGGGTGGAGAAAACAAGTCATCCCCTTCCCCCATCTTCACACAGCCTTTTTTAAGGAGTCGGGGTTTTGCTAGATGCAGTCAAATCTCTGGTCCTCAGAGGTCTCTCTCTTTAGCTGCCCGTCTCTCATAGGCTCTGGAAGTTTGGAAGGATTGCGGCCATACCTTATCTGAGGAGTTTGGGTGCATAAAAAGTCACAGGAGGGAGATTTGGCTGGTAAATAAGTTGTGCAGTGGTTTATCTGGAGTTGATGGAGGAAAGTCTATTGTTTATGATCTTTAGCCCTCGATAATAATTGGCTGTCTTGCAACCTTCTTTAGGCTGTGGGTTGCCCTAAATTTCAGTCTTGTTTGGGGATCACGGCTGAGCTGCTTGACACAGAATGTAAATACGTATATATGCTTAGTTATCCTACTATCTGTGCAAGTCCAGGTAATTTGTAATCCGTATGGAAACCTCGTTTGCTGATTTCCTTTTATTTTGCTCATTAAAGAATCTATGAACTGAGAATGGAGGAGCCATTGTTTGTTGCAGCCAGAGTGGCAGGTTCGCAGGAGTTAGGATGCTGCAGGTGATGTCTGTTTTAGTATCTGTTAGATTTATATCTTGTTTTTCCCCCAGGAGAAGGACGTGACATACATAGCATGGCATTTCCTCCTCCATTATTTTTTCACCATAATAGCAGTTTGGAGAGAAAGGCTGCATTAAAAGAATGTTGGTCCTAAATCTCCAGTGGCTGAGACTGTTACTTTGATTTGTAATTGCTATATATATAACGACCTGAGGTTGAAAGTAGACTTGAAACAGGATTTCCTTAGCCCTTGACATGTTTTTATTAAACTGGTGGTGGGCTGAGCTGGCTTGATAATCAGCCTTTATCTTTGGAAGTGGAGAGATTTTGCTTATTTGTTTCATTCTCTATTGGGAGAAAGTAAGTATTGTGTACCCTTTTCTCTCCACAGACTAGGAAGGACAATTTCTTTTGGAAAAAAAAAAGTAAATATATTGACTGAGTTTGAAAGTCATTCTTACTTATAGTTTTCTGTGTTCACATAATGACACACTGAATCATAGACCAACTGTATGTATTTATGTGCATGTAAGATTAAAATGCAAATCTTTCATTTCTGGTTTGATGTGTTACATAAACCCAGTAGCCGCCTTCTGAGATTTGTCACTTGCAAGGGGACTTGAATAAGGATGTTGTATCTGGCACATAATTAATTTTTAGGACAATAAGTGGACAGAAGATATAAGCGTCATGTATACTTTTAATTCAATAAGGAGTGCAAAGAAGGAGTTTCATCATGTTTATCAAATAGCCAATTGCACATTTAATGAATTAGTGTTTACGTTTTTATCTAATTTGCTCTGCATTAATATGACAATAAAAGTGCAGAGCTATGCATGCTTTGGGTTGGATTCCAGAGTATAATTCTGAGCATTTAGGGGCACAAAGATAACACACTGCAGCTTTTTAAGGTAGCCGCATTTGTTCCTAGGTCATGTTATAGCTGCAGGGGGAATAGGGAACTGCTTTCAAAAATTAGAGACAGGCATTACCTTCCTGTTCCTACACAGTTCAAAGGGCATTGAAATCAAATCCAAGACATTGAAAAGTTCTGCAAAACAGCATGGAGCTACGTTATTGCTTGATTGTATTATGCCTCTTGAATGGGAAAGTTTGCTGTTAATAACATCCTTTGGGGGGAGGAGAAACAGGTTGGATAAATCCAATGGGTTCTGATTTTTCCCCATCTGTAAGCTCAGTTTATTTTATTTTATTTTTTATTTATTTTTTTATTTATTTATTTATTTATTTATTTATTTAATTTTATTTATATGCCGCCCAATCCCAAAGGACTCAGGGCGGCGTACAAAATTAAAACAATCATCTAACAATAATACAATAAAATAATACAATCATACCGCATGTCCGATCATATCCCGCCCCCCCCCCCCAGGGACATCAGCCCCAGGCCTGCCGGAACAGGAGAGTTTTAACGGCTTTCGTTACCCTTGAAGAGCGCCTCCGAGCGCTCTTCAAGGGTAGCCCCATGGAGAGCGCGTTACAGTAATCCAGTCTTGAGGTGACAGTTGAGTTATTTTCTAGATCTTTGTCTTAAAATTCCAGAAAATTCACATATATTTTCAGCTGTATTGTACAATTCTACCTGTACAGTAGTTAGCATTTTTAAAGGTTAATTTTAGTGGGACTTGATTTTGAAGTCAGTTGCTAGAGTCAAAATAAGCAAACACATGTGCCTGGATAAATTCAGGTAAGAATGTCAGTGTAGACCTGTAGACTAGGATACATCTCACATTGCTGTTTGCCTCTGTAATTTGGAAACTAGATTATACGTAGAGACATAAAAGAAGCTGGTTTATTTTATGATATTTTGGTTTAGGCAGTACTGTATTTTAACTGCAAATTGGGATTTCTAACAGAAGTGAATAATTGTTTCTTCAAGGTCAAATATGTGATCCAGATACCTCAAACTTCTTTTATGAACTTGTTCTATTTGCAGAACGTATATGTGGTAATAACTCTAATCATGTCTACAATCCATGAATGTGGGAAACTGACCTAACTTGTTGCAGCCTATCCCAGACATTTTTAAAAAAGTGATGTTATAAAATAATTTTAATTTAAGAAATAAACAGTTAAAACACTAGATAGTTTCTTAGCCCTCCCTCATTTCTTTTAAGGCCAGATCTGGAATTTTAAACACCAACAATGGATAAACCCATGTAAAAATCTTAAAATACCTTGACTTTAGTTAAAAACTCTAACATTACAACTGCTTTGGATTTTTTCAGACTTCCATGGGAGATAGTAAGCAAGTACTCATTTGTTTCATCAAATGATGACTGTTGCTTTATGAACATTCAACTGCACAACCAAACTGTCTGTCTGTTCTCTGCAGGCTCCATTCTTTTTCTTAGTCTGAGATTTATGGACTTGTACATGATGAATTGTGAACTCCTAGCAACTTGCAGTGCCCTTGGATTCTTAGAAGGAGACACCTACCATAAAGAACCAGACTGTATAGGTGAGAGATCAAGACTGGGAAGTATATATTAGAGAATGTGTAAGGGCTGTGTATGTCTCAAGCTATTGATGGAGGCAACTAAATCATGAAGTAGGAAACATTTGAGTTCTGTAAAGGTACATTCTAACTTTTTGTTTTAGTTTTGAAAAAGTTGGAGATATCTTCTTGTCCTCCTTCTTTGGATGGTTCCAGAGCGCAACAAAACTGTTTAATTCCTTAGTCCTACAACTTTATCAATCAAACAATATGTTATCTTCCAGATGTTGTAACTCTCTCATCAGTCCTAGCCAGCTATGATGGGAGTTGTAGTCCATTTCTTCTTTAGTATATTGGTATAACAATAATAATAAAGTTGGAAGGGACCTTGGAGGTCATCTAGTCCAGTGGTTCTTAACCTGGGCGATATTGCCCCCTAGGGGACAATTTCATTTTTCAAGGGGCCAATGGAACGAAAAGGGGTGACGTGGGGGTGAAGGAATGAAAAGGGGGCGATATGGGGTCGATGGAGTGAGAAGTTTTGGGGACACTTTTGAGATTTTCTCGTACAGTGAATCGCTGTATATCTGTCATACAAAAACATCAGATGATCGCTATTAGTGGATTGAATTGTGTTTTCAAATGTTCCTCCAACTAGCTTCAGTACAGAACGCCGTACATATGTGAATACGCATCACTTATCTTCATGCACGTTGCACAGCAGCCTCTACCCATACAGTGGTGCACCATTGGCCAGAATATGGGAGATATGGGAAAAAGACTGGAAATAAATTATTTGCATCAATATGTCCTGATGGCAATTTTAAAGAAAACAAAAAAGTGTTTGCATAAATTGAAGAATTATTTCCTATGTTATGACTGAGAGGTTATGTTGGGAGAGGGGGGCGATGACAACTTCCTCATTGGCTCAAGGGGGCGATTCGTTCAAAAAGGTTAAGAACCACTCTAGTCCAATCCCCTGCTCAGGCAGGAAACCTATACCATTTTGGACAAATCGCTGTCCAGTCTCTTCTTAAAAACTTCCAGTGTTGGAGCATTTACCACTTCTGGAGGCAGGTTGTTCTACTGGTTAATTGTTAATATGCATCCTGAGATAGCAATTTTATGAGCTCTAGCTTTGCACCCATTTGAATTTTTGTCTCCCATTTGGCTTGGATTCCTCCAGAGAGCGTGAAAGATTTAATCCGCTATCTGCGCCATGAAGATGAGACCCGGGATATTCGGCGACAGCTGGGAGCTTCTCAGATTCTGCAAAATGACCTGATCCCTATTATTGTCCAGTACCCCCAAGATAAACAGCTGTTTGATGCTGTCATCAGGTAGGAATGGCAGGATGAAAGAAGATGGAAGGAAAGAGTATTGGTTATAGGTTTTAAGTATGAAGAATATCAGTAACAGATAGGAATAAAGGAGTGTGCATTACAGAGATCAGGGAACAATCCATGCCCTGGTCCTATCCCAATGTTTCTCAACCTTGACAATTTTAAGGCATGTGGACTTCAACCCCCAGAATTCCACAGCCAGCAATGCTGCCTGTGGAATTCTGGGAGTTGAAGTCCACAAAATTGTCAAGGTTGAGAAACACTGTCCTATCCCATAAGGCCTAACTCTCTGATCAGTGGCAAGAGATTATGATAATTTTAGTCTGAAACAATTGAGGACTTTAGATATAAATGAGAATGATGGGTGTCTATGCTCTGGCAATTTTTAAACACAGTCAGTTTGAATAATGTGCATATTTCTGAAATATATGACTGAGAGTTTTAACTAAATCAATACTTTAATTGCGCTGGGAGGAGGAACTAATATCCTTCAAAGAAACAAATTTTAAAATGTACACAATGCAGCTGTCATAACAATTTTTATTATCTCTGGAGGTGAAGGCAATCTAGATTGAATGTTAGAATGAAAAGAAGTGTAGCCTATTTAGAAAATTAAACTCTTTATATAGTATGGGTTTAAAGAAAGAATCTCCAGAATATTTTTAAATCCCATGCTTGTCACAGATGGTGATCCAAGTCTAGATGAAGCCATTATCCACTTAAATTTAAACCTGAACCAAATCCTGAACTGGAACTATATGTAATATAAGTGGCAATTAGGTATTCACTACAGAAAATACTTACAAAAAAAAAAAATGAAATACCGAGGAAGCCATCACAATGAATTAGCTAAGGACTAATATACCAGTGTAGAAATATATTCATTGCTTAAATTTGTCAGTGGGAAATTAATATAACTTTTAAGATGTTTGTGAAGTGTTTTAATACTGAAGTGGTTTAATGGCAACACAATTAAGTTGGCTTTATGTTACAATCATTGACAAAGTCTCTGTGTCTTATTTTCCTAGATTAATGGTGAATTTAACTCAACCAGCTATCCTCTGCTTTGGAAAAATTCCCCAGGACATTAACCTCCGCCATCACTTCCTGCAGACTGTCTCTTACCTGCAGGCTTATAAAGAAGTGAGTGGGAGGTGCTCTCTAGTCCTTGTTCCATAGTTTGGGGGATAACAGGATTATGAGGAAATAGACCCTGCTTTTCTGAGCCACAGTGCTCTTTGTAGTTACACTTGAAGCTTTATACAGTAAGTTTTGCTGTGCTTAAACTAAAGATCTTTGAAGGTAAAAAGAATGGTTGGTTCTGGGATTGCAGCTAATTTGAAGAACACCAAGGGGTGGAAGTTTTTTTTAAAAAAAATAAACTTAAACAAAAGGCAGATAATGAAGGGAAGAAGCAGGTTGCAGTTTCCATACCAAGTCTTTGTAGCTTGCTTTGTGGGGTTGCTCTGTCTTCACGGGATCCTAATACGGTACATTCTTTTTCCAATCCTTAGGCCTTTGCCAGCGAGAAGGTCTTTGGGGTGCTGAGCGAGAAGCTGTATGAATTGTTGCAGCTGGTGAGTTTCACTTGGAATCACTTCCCAGATCAAAAGGGGGGTGGTGGTGGTGGTGGCATGAGGACAAGAAAGGATTGTGAAAAGAGACAAGATTTTGTCAAACAAGACTAGAGTGGGAGCAGTGAACTCCTCCTTGAGTTCATCTCTTTCATGGGCTTCCAATACGTGTGTGTGTTTTTATGATCTCTTCTTTCTCATCCTAGGACTGGGAGCAGCGCCAGGAAGAAGATAACCTGTTAATTGAGCGCATCTTGCTTCTGGTGCGCAATGTGCTGCATGTGCCAGCTGATCCTGATGAAGAGAAGGTATGGATGTGTAAGGCTGGCATTTGGGCTGGTAAATGCCAGCCTTGCATGATGCATGGAGTAAACATACAAGCATTTACCTGCAGATAAGAGGAATCTGGGCTTCCCAAATTCCTCCCCCATTGAGTTATACTAGCTCAGTGGTTCTCAACCTGTGGGTCGGGACCCCATTTGGGGTCGAACGACCATTTTACGGGGGTCGCCAAACAACGCAGTCCGCCATTTTTTTCCCCCTTTTCCTTAGCTGTGCTACTCCCTTTTATTCTATTGGCCTTTGAAAGCCAATAGAATAGAGTCTCTTGAATAGAGTCTAATTCTATTGGCTTTCAAAAGCCCATAGGAATTGTCCAGGCTGTCTCTGCCCTGCTGAGCCCACCAAAAGTCCCATTCTGCAAACGGTGCTGCACCTGTTGAGTAGTCCTCGACTTACAACCAGTTGGGGGTCACGGCATTAAAAAGGTTGAGAACCACTGTACTAGCTGGTGCTGTTGTAGGTGATGGTCAGGACTGCCATCCTTCGCTTGAGCTTCGCATTAGCTAGCTGCCAGTCTGCCATGAACTATGGGGGGAGGAGGGAGCTGGTCGGAAGGGGGGGGAAGGCTAACTACTCATCATACCTTCCAGAGACGCCATCTCAAGGTCAAAATGCTGGGCATGGAATATAACAGCTCACCAACCAGCCCTCCGTTGAAGAGATAGTTCCCGAAACAATTTATTCAAATGTAATTGGACAATAAGGGACTAGCAAGGGCAGAAGTGAGGGCAGGTCTGACAGTGATATTGACGATATTTAAATCATCGGAAGTTTCCTATTCAGTGTTTCATCTGCATTATCTCAACAACTCTCTGCGGTACTGCTGAATGACTCTCCATGGTTATTTTAGGGGGTGGGAATGTCTGAAGCTTAATAAATAATGCCTTGCTTCCGGTATGGTTTGAATATTGTTATTTAGGGAGCCAATATACTTCAGCTGAATGATAATAGCAGAAGAATCAAAGAAAAATGTGGGGTACATTGTTCCTGTCCAGGATGCTCTCACTGTGATTTCCCTTTTTTTCTTAACATTCTGAGGGGAACGTGGTCTTTATTACTACGTCTGCCTTGCCAGCTCTTCTTTTATATGACCTGGGAGGTGTCTGTTCTGTCAGCCCTTCAGTGTAGTTCAGAACGTGTTGTAAGATTAACAGTAATAAGTTCTTGCAAGTCTGACAGCACGTCTCTCCTCCCTTGCCTGTACTTTCCAGAGAATTAAGGGGAGTCCTTTCTGGGATGCTTTCCCCTCCCCCATTCCTCCCCCATTTCTTGGGTGGACTGATAGGTCTTTTATCTGACTGTTGCCTGGCTGTGGCTCTTCCTCATCCTGTTTATCAAGGATATTCCCCAAGAATATGAGTGTGTCAGTGGGACACTTTGCCTATTGTGTGGTGTGACACGAGGTTGAGCAAAATGGACATTATAGCTTCTTGTGATTTAAAATTCCACTTGATGTACAACAGTTCCCTTAGTGATCATTCAAAGTTGCAATGGCACTGAAAAAGTGGCTGATGACCGTTTTTTCACACTTAACGACCGCTGCAGCATCCCCATGGTCACGTGATCAAAATTGTGAAACTTGGCAGCTGACGTTTATGTTTATGATGGTTGCAGTGTCCTGGAGGTCACGTGATCTCCTTTTGCGACCTTCTGACAAGCAAAGTCAATGGGGAATCTAGATTCACTTAACAACTGTGTTACTAACACAACACGATGATTCACTTAAAACAACTGTGGCAAGGAAAGTCATAAAATGGGGCAAGATTCACTTAACAAATGTTTGACTTAGCATTATAAATTTAGGGCTTGGTTGTGGTTGTAACTTGAGGACTACCCGTATTCTAATGGGTTAATCCCATCCGATCTCTCCCATAGAACATTGACGATGATGCCAACATCCATGACCGGGTGCTCTGGGCTATGCACATTAGCGGGATGGATGATTTGCTCAAATTCTTGGCCAGCTCCACAAGTGAACAGCAGTGGAGTCTGCACGTGCTAGAGATAATCTCCCTTATGTTCCGTGACCAGGTAAGCAAGCAAGTCTGTTCGGATCAGAGATGAAGGCTGGGGTAGCGTGGGAAATATCTGCAGGTGGCAGAAAGAAGCAAAGGATACAGTGTTTCTAGGTTGGAACTCCAAAGAGATTTCCAGGAATTTTAAATTTTTTATAGCTTCAGAAGGGGAATGCATTGGCTCAGTGGCTAAGACATTGGGTCTTAGACCAGCGGTCCCCAACCTTGGCAGCTTGGCAGAGGGTGGTGGAGAGAACTGAGCCACGCGAGTGGCGGGCTGGTTTGCAGGCCCAGGCCCGCGCAGCTCAACTTGCGCAAGTTGAGCTGTGCATGCATGTGCACATGCGTCGGCCTGTGACTCACACAAGTTGAATGGCGCACGCCGGCCGGCCCGCCACCTGCACAGCCCAGTTCTGAATAGGCCACGTCCAGGTAGTGGGCCACAGCCTGGGGGTTGGGGATTCCCTGCCTTAGACTGTTAAAGGTCTACAATTCAACAATTCAAGCACAGCAAGATGGAGTGAGCTACCGTCACTTGTCCGAGCTCCTGCCAGCCTAGCGATTTGAAAGCATGCAGATGCAAGTAGACCAGTGGTTCTCAACCTTTCTAATGCCGCGACCCCATAATACAGTTCCCCATGTTGTGGTGACCCCCCAACCACTTATACATCACCGGGTGCCAGGGGCCTGGCCAAAGAAAAGGGGGAAAAAATGGCGGACAGCCTTGTTTGGCGACCCCCGTGAAATGGTCGTTCGACCCCAAATGGGGTCCCGACCCACAGGTTGAGAACCACTGAAGTAGATGAATAGGTACTGCATATAAGCATGTGGGAAGATAACAGCCTTCTGTGTTTCGCCGCATACTCTGTGCTATGGTGATGTCACGACTACGAAAATGTTTTTGGACAACACTGGCTCTTTGGCTTAAGAAATAGAGGCGAGCACTATGCCTTAAGGTTGGTTATGACTAGCAGAGTAAAAACCCGCAGAGAAACTTTTACTTTTTTACCTATATAGCTTCAGAAAGTAGAAGAGGAAAAAGGAAGGTTGAGAGATAGTTGAACTGTTGACCAAGATCGATAGTTGTACTTTTTGTTAGAAAATGTGGCCCTTTAGCCCATGCTACAGTTTCATCCTCTGGTTCTGGCTGGCCTCTGTCAGAGTCGGAATATTGTGGTTCATTAACGAAGAACAGCTTTTGTCATTCACATTTTTAAATGAACATTTAATTTAATGTTAATTGAACTTTTAATTAACATTTAAAGTTTCAGCATTGTGGGGAGGCAAAAGCTTCCTTGTCCAGTGTAAACTCTGTTGGTTTGCTTTCTGCTGGGGTGCATGGAGGGAAGGGAGGGAATAAACATAGCTTTCTTTGCTGGAAGAAAATTGTTCCCAATAGAATGCAGAGCTGTTGGCAGCCACAGGAAAGACCCGTTCAGCCAAGGAGCAGAGCATAGATGTGGCAGGCCTGGAAATCTTGAGGCAGAAGGAACAGGCTGAGAAGAAGACTCGTATATTCCAGCGGAGTAGCAGGTGAGGAAGTGAACTTGGAGGTCTTGGCTTTCCCAGCCAATCACTGTCACTAAGGGAGATTTGGGAAAAAAAGGATCCCCTCTGTTCCCAGTTATGTCATCCTTTAAATGTCAAGAATTGAACCTGTAATCTTTAACCAAGCCATTCCCCTTCCTTGTAAATGCTATCTCTAACTTGGGCAACCTTCCCAAAAATATTTCTTTCTTGCAAAGATAATTTACTATCTTTGGATCCAGGAAATGGATCCAGGAAATTACAGACCTATCAGCCTGACCTCAGTACCTGGGAAGATTCTGGAAAAGATAATCAAACAACGAATCAGCGAACACCTAGAGGCAAACAAAGTCATTACTAAAAGCCAACATGGGTTTGTCAAAAACAGATCATGCCAGACGAATCTTATTGCATTCTTTGACCAAGTGACCAAATTAGTGGATCAGAGGAATGCTGTGGATATAATTTACTTGGACTTCAGTAAGGCATTTGATAAAGTAGATCACAACCTACTACTCGATAAGATAGAAAAACCATGTGGGTTAGACAGCATCACCACCAGATGGACTCGTAGCTGGCTGACCGGCCGTACTTAGCGTGTGGTCCTCAATGGAACTGCATCTACATGGAGGGAAGTGTGTAGTGGGGTGTCCCAGGGCTCTGTTCTAGGCCCAGTGCTCTTCAACATCTTCATCAATGATTTGGACGAGGGGATAGATGGGGAACTCATCAAATTTGCAGACGACACCAAGCTGGCAGGAATAGCCAACATTCCAGAAGACAGGCTTAGGATACAGGAGGATCTGGACAGACTTGAACACTGGGCGCTATCTAACAAAATGAAATTCAATGGTGAAAAAAGTAAGGTTCTACATGTAGGCAAGAAAAACCAAATGTACAGGTATAGTATAGGGGGTACCTTGCTCAATAGTAGTAACTGTGAGAGGGATCTCGGAGTCCTAGTGGACAATCACTTAAATATGAGCCAGCAGTGTGCTGCAGCTGCCAAAAAAGCCAACTCAGTGCTGGGCTGCATTAACAGAGGGATAGAATCAAGATCACATGAAGTATTAATACCACTTTACAATGCCTTGGTAAGGCCACACTTGGAATACTGCATCCAGTTTTGGTCACCACGATGTAAAAAAGATGCTGAGACTCTAGAAAGAGTACAGAGAAGAGCAACAAAGATGATTAGGGGACTGGAGGCTAAAGCACATAAGAAACGGTTGCTGGAATTGGGTATGTCTGATTTAACGAAGAGAAGGACGAGGGGGGACATGATAGCAGTATTCCAATATCTCAGGGGCTGCCACAAAGAAGAGGGAGTCAAGCTATTCTCCAAGGCGCCTGAAGGCAGGACGAGAAGCAACGGATGGAAACTGATCAAGGAGAGAAGCAACTTAGAACTAAGGAGAAACTTCCTGACAGTTAGAACAATTAACCAATGGAACAATCTGCCTCCAGAAACGGTGAATGCTCCAACACTGGAAGTTTTTAAGAAGAGACTGGACAGCCATTTGTCTGAAATGGTGTAGGGTTCCTGCCTGAGCAGGGGGTTAGACTAGATGACCTCCAAGGTCCCTTCCAACTATTATTATTATTGTTGTTGTTGTTGCTGCTGCTGCTGCTACTACTGTCCCAATCATGGTTTCTTGTACAATATTCAGATTCAAAGCAGACAGGGATGCTTCAATCTATTTAGGGCACCCTCCTTGTACCTATTTGTTTGTTTATTAAATTTATTTGCCACTTATCTCACCATGGGGCTACTCTAGACAGCTTACAATAATAAAAAGGAAGGAAAAATGAAAAGAGTGTAAACAGAACAGAAGTAAAACAATAGAACAATAAAATACGCACTGGCAAAGGAACTTAGCAGTTAATCCTCGAATGAACAGTTGCATAGGCTCACAGAAATGTGTATTTGAACTAAGAAGATAACAACGGTGTGCAATCATTTTTTACTACAACCCCCCTTCAAAAAAAAAAAAGAACCTCTTTAAGGTGCGGTTCTTACAGGGAGAAAGATGCATGTGCCAGAATCAAATACCTTTTACTTGATTCGGATTCTGAGCTCCTTTGTTTTATGGTGTGTAAACCACTGCAAACAACACTGCATCTTTTTGAACACAAGAATGACACTGAAAATGAAACAACATTAAAGAAAATATTGCAAATTTTAAGAAAACTGGAAAAATTGGATGGAAAGCAGCACCGGCATTAGTTATTGAAATTGTACAATTTTTCCACTTTCTAAAAAGTCCTTAAACCAAAATAAGTGTCCATTATCATTAAAGATGAAAATAAGTGTGGATTTGATGAAAACTTTCCCTATACAATTTAGAAAGTCTTTAATTGTTTCAATGCAGTTTAAGGGGGTGTGAATTATACTTGCCATTACACAAGATGGCTCTTTAGTCTGTGTAACTTTTTAGTTCTCTGGCTAAATTCATAAATTTAATCTAGAACAGCTGTTGTCATTAACCAATTTTTTTTTACAATTTTTTTTGCAATTTCTTTTTACAGTCTAATTTTGATGACTTTCCCAAATAATATCCAAAATTATTTTTTATTCAACAAGGAGTTCTAAGCTGACTCATTCCAGTTCACATCCAAAGTCCTATTTTTGTACATGTTAAGATTTCAGCAGAATCAATTATACTTGGAAAAAATATTTATTATTGAGGAGTTATCTTTGATTTGAAATGGGTAGATAATTATCATTCTTCACAAATGGTTGATGTTATGATTCATAAATTAGTGCACTTGTTCATGCGAAATCAAGGTAGAACTTGGGACTGCTTCTTCTGAAGAATATATTCAACAGAACAGAAGCCCCACAAGAGCCAAGTTTCTAGTCTTATATAATAATTCATCTTCCCATTTGCTGAAGAGATATTGTTTATCACAGTGGCTGTCAACTTTTTCTTCACCACTGAGCTCTTTAAATACCTTTTGTGGTCACAGAGCATGGTCACGGATCACCAAGACTTAACTCAAGATTTAAATCTGTGGTGACATCGGGGCCCCCAAGGGATCCACAGACCACAGGTTGAGAACCACTGGTTTAAAAGTTTAAAATTTAGATGATCAAGAAATGGAAGAAAAGGAAAGGAAAAAAGAGTCTGAACTGTAGTATAGTTTTCCATACTATTCAAGGAAAGTTTGGGTACAAATTTGTATATCCCACAGCTCTATATTGAGGGCAGTAGCCTGTAGACCAGAAATTACTGTCCGATGAAGTTCATCATTTATCATTATCACCCCATTAATGCTGCCAGAATACATGAACGAGTCTTTCAATACCAGTAATAAAATGGGGTTGGATGTGCAGGGGAAAAGGAATCTTGCAAGAATGAAGTCCAGTACTCTTTCAGTTGGTTCTCATTATGAATACTTCACTGGACAATTTTTAAGAGACAGAAATGGACAGAGGGAATTGAATACAGTACAATTATTGCCTGCATAAGAGCAAAACAGCTGCTATCAAAGTAGACAACTCTGGGTAGGTTGGCCAAAGTTTTCTAAAGTCAGTTTCTGCCTCCTCTTGATGAATCTTGTTCAAAAGGTGGTATTTTGGTAAAAGAGTCTGATGATGATGATAATAATAACAACAACAACAATAATAACAATAATAAAGTTGGAAGGGATCTTGGAGGTCATCTAGTCTAACCTCCTGCTTAGGCAGGAAACCCTATACCAGTGGTGGTGAACCTATGGCACAGGTGCCAGAGGCGGCACTCAGAGCCCTCTCTGTGGGCACGCACACCATTGCCCCAGTCCTAGGCCTTCAGCTGGGTTTTATAAAACCTTTTCACTTTAGGTCTCCACCGCCATGTGCAAAAAAAAGGGGGGGGGTTCAATCAGTCAATTTCAACTTCTCGCGGGAAAAAAAAAGATCTTGCAAAGTTGGAATTGATTGAACTTTTTATTCCCACCCAGTCTGCTGTTGCCACTGCAGCCACGCCCACCCAATTGGCCACACCCAGCCAATGGGCCACACCCAGCACTCGACAATGCATAAGTGGGTTTGGGGTTGCAGTTTGGGCACTCAGTCTCTAAAAGGTTCGCCATCACTGTCCTATACCATTTCAGACAAATGGCTGTTCTAATTGATTCTGCTGAAATCATAAAATAATATGTTGAATAATTTTCGGTCTTATTTAGGAAAGTCACACTTTTACCTGTTTTCTTTTCCCTTAGACACTCTCGTTTTGGTGGCTGTTATGTTATTCAGGGCTTGAAAGCTATTGGGGAAAGAGATGTGGTGATGCACAAGGGGCTACACAATGTAAGTCACTTCAAGTTATTGGGTGCAAGGTTGGGGAGAGTGGATTTTTTTTTCAGGATGCAGCATCTGCACATCTGTATAGTGTTGAGGGTATTTCTTCAAAGGAGTGACGCTACTTTCTGCCCTTATAAGAAACAGAGAAAGGAAAGCATGGGAATTTTATGGGCACATGAATCATGTAGCTTTTTATTTGTCCTCAGATCTGCCTGTCTTTGTTACAGTAACTGTCACTGAAGAGTTTAATAAAAGACTACTATAGCTATTGGGTTTCCTAGACCCCTATGCCATCATTTGTGTCTTCAGAAATTTCTGGCCGGTGTTGGTGGACATCCTCTTCCAGTGCAGGCCCCTGCGCAGATCACTGCTTTTTCATAAGCTGGCTTCCAGTTTTCTTAGCATATAAGTTGGTTGAGGTCAATTTTCCGAACTTCTTTTCGCTAGCTCAGGGGTAGGCAACCTTGGCTCTTTTATGACTCGTGGACTTGCCTACCCCTGCGCTAGCTCATAAAACTACCAGATTATAACGTGGATCAATCCACCATTGTAAAGAAGTAATTGCACCATCATCAACCATATTCTCCAGGCCAAGTAGACCATATACATTTAGATTAGACCACGGGTTCTCCGCCCCCGGGATGCGAACCAGCAGCAGACCGTGGACTGCAAAGCCCCATCTGCACGTGCTCGAGCTCCAGGCAGCACGCAAAACACATATACACGTGCTTAGTTTTTCAACAGAAAAACTACCCTCTACAGAACCAGTCCTTGGCGCCCAAAAGGTTAGGGGCCACTGGATTAGACCCTCTAGATCAGGGGTAGGCAACCTTGGCTCTTTTATGACTCGTGGACTTCAACCCCCAGAATTCCTGAGCCAGCCATGCTAAGGGGAAAGGGAGAGGTTTCCAAGCTGAGCCATGCTGGCTCAGGAATTCTGGGAGTTGAAGTCCACGAGTCATAAAAGAGCCAAGGTTGCCTACCCCTGCTCTAGATTAAGCTAATTTTTACAGAAACCTTGTAATGTGCATTAGAAAATGTTTCTGATTAATGACACTTATATATGTTGCATGCTCACTGGAGACAATCACTTGAAAAACAGTATAATTGCCAAGTTTGTCTAATGTTATCTCTGCACTTTATTATGAAATGGAAACTTCTGCCGGAAACCATAGAGCTGTGGTAAACTTTCCGTCTGGTATTATTGGAGCTAATGTGGAAGGGGTTGAATCCATATTGTGCCCCCTCCCCCCCCCTTCCATCTTATTCACATTCTGCCCCATTCCTGGACAGATGAAGAACTACAGCCACGATCTGTGCAAGGAGGTACGCCGGGTGCCAAAAAGGCAGCAGCTCGCCAGTGATGGTGAAGGACCCCCTCGCCGCTCTGCCCTAAATGTGCGGCGCTTCCTCCAGGAGTTCTGTGTGGAGTTCTTGGAGAACTGCTACAATCGCCTCATGTACCTGGTCAAGGTGAGAAGAAGGAGTTTCAAGTGTTGGAGCTAGCCAATTGCAATTGGGTACCATAATACGAGAAGAGGGAGGTGTCAGCCATCTACGACCCTCGTTTATAGGACTGGGCAGCAGTCAGATTCATTGGGATCAGGGTGGCTTTACTGAGCCCATTTGCACTCAGGTTGGAGATACTAGAAGTCAAATTTTTCAATGATTCTTGTTCCTCCTCTGGTGCCAAAGGGAAGAATAAGAACATTATTGCTCCTTATCCACAGTGAAAAGTTCTTGGATGCTCTTAAAATGCAGCTTATTCTCTTTAAAGTTAAAGACCAGCATATTTTGATGGATCCCTTCCATTTACATTGTATTCAATATCTAAGGCTGTGTTATATGTTCTGCCATCTTTGGAGATAGGTTTGGGGAGTAAAAAAGTGGAATTTCTTGATGACACGGCCCAGTTGTAAATTTCCCTCCTCTGAGAAATTCTCTTTCTTAGAAGGGCATCAAATATTTCCCCCCCCCAATTCTGCCATTCCTTTAAACTGCTATTGAAGGGATATGTGATTTAAATTGGCTCAAATTCATTTATAGCAATGGCACTTAGATTTATATACCTCTGCACAGTGCTTTACAGCATTCTCAAATTCATTTATAGCAATGGCACTTAGACATATAGTAGTAGTAGTAGTAGTAGTAGTAGTAGTAGTAGTAGTAGTAGTAAAGTTGGAAGGGACTTTGGAGGTCATCTAGTCCAACCCCCCTGCTCAGGCAGGTAACCCTATACCATTTCAGACAAATGGCTGTCCAGTGACTTTCAGTGTTGGAGCATTCACCACTTCTGGAGGCAAGTTGTTCCACTGGTTAATTGTTCTAACTGTCAGGAAGTTTCTCCTTAGTTCTAGGTTGCTTCTCTCCTTGATTAGTTTCCACCCGTTCCTTCTTGTCCTGCCCTCAGGCACTTTGGAAAATAGCTTGACTCCCTCTTCTCTGTGGCAGCCCCTGAGATATTGGAACACCTCTGCACAGTGCTTTACAACACTCTCTGGGCGTTTTGCAATGTCAGCCTATTGCCCCCAACAATCTAGGTCCTCATTTTATCGACCTTGGAAGGCTAAGTCAACCTTGAGCCGGTCAGGATCAAATTCCTGGCTGTGGGCAGAGTCATCCTGAAATACTGCATTCTAATCACTGCACCACCAGGGCTCCTGACTGTTGTCCTGACACTGCTCTAAGTGCTTAAATGTTATTTTATGCATGTTTAATCTCCACTGTTTGTATTTTAGAGTTTCTAAAGCAGTGTTTCTCAACCGTGACAATTTTAAGGCATGTGGACTTCAACTCCCAGAATTCCACAGCCAGCATTGCTGGCTGTGGAATTCTGGGAGTTGAAGTCCACATGCCTTAAAATTGTCACGGTTGAGAAACACTGTTCTAAAGTATCTTGGCCTATCAGATCTGCTTGTGTTCTGAAACTGAATGCATCTGATAGGGAGCCAAAAGAGCAGAGGCTACGAGATCATAGATGGCCTTGCACATTCTCTTTCTTTCTTTCTTTCCCCCAGGATCACTTGATCAGGGAAAAGGCCCAACAGCACGATGAGACATACTACTTATGGGCTATGGCTTTTTTCATGGCCTTCAACCGGGCCTCTTCTTTCCAGCCTCAGCTGGTTTCTGAGACGGTTGGCGTTCGGGCCTTCCATTTCATTGAACAGAGTCTGACCAACTACTATGAAATGAGCCTGGTAGATAAGAAGGACATCACCTCTTGGACTAAAAGGTGAGAGGACATTCTCACCATGGAGTATTCTGTGGAATTTTTGATTTTTTTGCCTGTGCAGACTTAAATAATGTCATTTATTATCTCATCTTCCTATGCAAAGTCAGAGGAATTCCTGCTTCTCAACTTCTTTTCCTTGTCTCTCAGGATGCATCTGGCTCTCAAGGCTTACCAAGAATTGCTGATGACTATGCATGAAATGGACCGTTCCCAGGAAGAAGCTGTGCGCAACAGCAGCCACATCCTTAAAAGTAAAGTTTTTTTTCATTATATGCCAAGTTATTTCCTGGGATAACATTCTAGGTTTCCTGCTGGAAGGAGAAACCAATTGTAATCTCTACCAATTCCAAGGGAAAGGCTTAGAACTACATTTGCTTGGAGGGATAGGATCATAGTCAGGCCTTTGGTCTGGCTGGGCTAGAATTGTTAACGTGAGTAACATGTTAAGTATTTTAAATAGCTTTCAAGCCATCCCTGAACATAACTATAAATTGAAGTTGTAGTCTTCTGAACGGATACTCTGTTCTCTGTCACTAAATATTTTACCTCAGGAGCCTCCATGTTTTTCTTATCAGATTTAACCAGAAAGGCTAAATAAAGTATATTTGCTGAACAAATAGAGCAGACATGTCAAACACAAGGCCCGGGGGCCAGATGCGGCCCGTGAAGAGGTTTCATATGGCCCGTGAAGCCATCTTGAAAACAGTGAGAGAATGGCCCCCGCTACCTTGGCCCTGGCCCAGGCCAGCCGGGAGGGAGCCAATGTACAATTTTGTGGTGGCCATCTATGCTGAAACGCATTCAGTCTTAGCTCCATAAGCCCCCCTCCCCCCCGCATGGCTTGAGAGGAACAGTGAGGCTCCTCCAGTGGACAATGCCTTGGCACTTGCCCTGGTCCTATCCCCTTCTGCCAGAGACCCTCAGATATGTCCCACTCCTGCCCAGGCCCCCACAGGCACCCTTGACGCGAACGATGTAGAGCTGGCCACGCCTGCCCAGTAGGCCACACCCACTCCATCCACGCCCACCCAGTAGGCCACACCCATCCTGGCCACACCCACCCACCCGAAGACAACTGCAATGTTGATGCCGCCCTCAATGAAATTGAGTTTGACACCCCTGAAATAGAGAATGAAGAGAAAAGCAACAGTGGCCTTTCAGCGCCCAAAATTAAACTACATGGGGGGGGGAATCTTACCCACTTTATTACTACTTCCCCTCTCCATTATTTAGGGAATGTTGGTGTTGCTTGGATGAAACTAATGACAAGCCCTTCCTTCCTCTAGATAACATTTTCTATTTGATGGAATATCGGGAGTTGTTCCTCACTCTTTTCCGTAAGTTTGATGAGAAAAAGCAACCCAGGTCATTCCTGAGAGATCTGGTGGAGACAACTCATCTCTTCTTGAAGATGCTGGAGAAATTTTGCAAAGGGAGGAAAAACCTTGTGGTCCAGGTATTCTTGGGATATGAGAATTGAGTTCCTTTCCTTCGAATTTCCAGTTATTTCTTTTGGAATCTTTTGGTCAGTGAACATATTTGTTCTTTTCACTTTACATGATTTGTTTTCTTCAAGATGCTAACTGCTTCCTTTCTTCGTTGTTATGCTCCCCATAAGTCAGACATGTCAAACACAAGTCCTGGGGGCTGGATGCGGCCCGCAAAGTGGTTTCATGTGGCCCACGAAGCCATCCTGGAAACAGTGAGGGGACGGCCCCCGCTGCCTTGGCCCTGGCCCAGGCCAGCCGGGAGGGAGCCAATGTACAATTTTGTGGTGGCCATCTATGCTGAAACACATTCAGTCTTAGCTCCATAAGCCCTCCCCCCCAGCATGGCCTGAGAGGAACGGTGAGGCTCCTCCAGTGGACCATGCCTCGGCACTTGCCCTGGTCCCACCCCCTTTTGCTAGAGACCCTCAGATCTGTCCCACTCCTGCCCAGGCCCTCATAGGCACCCTTGACACGAACGATGTAGAGCTGGCCACACCCACCCAGTAGGCCACACCCAGTCCATCCACACCCACCCAGTAGGCCACACCCACCCTGGCCACACCCACCTGGCCCCCTGAGGGCAACCGCAATGTTGATGCGGCCCTCAATGAAATTGACACCCCTGCCATAAGTGGTTGGTGTCAGTTCTGCCATCTTTGGCTTGGTGCCTTGCCGCCATCCTGCCATCAAAGATGGAGAGGGAGGGGGGAGGGACAAGGGGGGAGAAATGGACAATAAACATGTATGGGGATGTGATGGGAAATAAGGGGGGGGATGACAGCTTGCTGAAGACCACGAAAGAATGGGTCCAATTTTGTGCCAGTCCTCAAGGCCATACACCCTGAGAATGGGATGTAGATTGCCCCAAACATTTCAGCGATTCTCAAAACACCCATCCAGCTCCTCATTGGATGAAGATTAACTGGTCAAGGGGGGAGGGCTGGGATGAAGGGGAAAAAATTTGTAACCTTTTGCGCAGGAATCTTCGTTCGGGCCTGACTTTACCACAGCCAGCAACCTTTAGTAAAAGAACTATCACTTCACCGAAATGGAGCGGAGGGCCATTCTTTCCTAAGGGACCTAACTGGGGCAGGTTGGTCTAGGCCAGGGGTAGGCAACCTTGGCTCTTTTATGAGGCTTGGACTTCAACTCCCAGAATTCCTGAGCCAGCCATGCTGAGGACAAAGGGAGAGGTTTCCATGCTGAGCCATGCTGGCTGAGGAATTCTGGGAGTTGAAGTCCACACGTCATAAAAGAGCCAAGGTTGCCTACCCCTGGTCTAGGAGAGAGCAGCTTAGCCAACGTCACGTAGAAAGCGGAGTTTGAATCTAACCAGATTAAAGCTGGAGGATCTTGGGTCCTCTAGATGCTGCTGAAGTAAGGTTTTCAGTGACCCCAATCAACGTGGCAAATAATGCTCATATCAGTATTCTCTCTTCTCAAAGCACGATTCAAAAATGGTTTTTGTTTTGCTGCAGGGCAAGAAGTGCAGGAGGAAAAAGAAATCCAAGGCTCATTCTGCTGGGCCCAGTGCGCGACCCCAATCGTCTGAAGAGTTAGAGGAGGTGTGGCCAAAGCTGGTGGAGCAAATTGATAGGTGCATCAAGGTAAGATGAATCTAGTTGGCAGGAAGAGGGCCTCCTGCCAGCTGGATAGCAGGAAGTTGGCTCTTCAGAGTGCAGAAGTCAGGGCTTCTGGGTTCCTTCTTGCTCACAATGAGCAGAAGTCCTTCTCCTCTCTGGCGTCTTCTCTTGTAAAACAAGATAGGAGTCGTGTTGCAGAAAGTGCCAGCTGGGTACTTCCTTGAGGCGATTGGCAAAGGCTAGGTCAGTGGTGGCGAACCTGTGGCACGCATGCCAGGGATGGCACGCAGAGCCCTCTCTGTGGGCACGCGTGCCATCGCCCCAGTCCTAGGCCATCAGCTGGGTTTTATAAAACCTTTTCGCTTTAGGCCTCCGCCGCTATGTACAAAAAAAAAAGGTTCAATCAATCAGTCAATTTCAACTTCTTGCAGGGAAAAAAAAGATCTTGCAAAGTTGGAATTGATTGATTGAACTTTTTAGTCCCACCCAGTCTGCCGTTACCACTGCAGCCACGCCCACCCAATGGGCCACACTCACCCAATGGGCCACACCCACCCGGCACCCGACAATGCATAAGTGGGTTTTGGATTGCAATTTGGGCACTCGGTCTGTAAAAGGTTCGCCATCACTGGGCTAGGTTTTCAGAGAAGAGCCTTCTGCCTGGAGGTACCAGGGCTGAAATGTGTTACCTTCTGTATACAAAGCACAAATACCCTGTTGCTAAGCTATGGCCTTTGCCTAAAAGTCATACAAACCCTTGTAGGAACTCTTTGTAAGTTGAGGTATAGAAAAAGACCCATTGTGACATCTTTGGGAAAAAAAATCTTCAATTGCACACGGTCCTTGCAGACAAAAGAAGAGCTCTCTCTCCTGGATAGCTTCCTTCCTTCCTTCCTTCCTTCCTTCCTTCCTTCCTTCCTTCCTTCCTTCCTTCCTTCCTTCCTTCCTTCCTTTCTTTCTTTCTTTCTTTCTTTCTTTCTTTCTTTCTTTCTTGCTGATCCTGCAGGTTGTGACACCTTGTTTCCAGATCATTCTTTGTGGAAGGAATATGAACACCAGATCAGTAGCACTTTTTTCTTCGTTCTCTCCTTTCGCTAAAGTGGTGGGATGGTGGGTGGTGGTTTTATCCTTTTTGTTTACATAGTTCGTTCTAGCAGCCTCTAGCTAGTCTACTTTCAACGCCGGGTTTTTTCTTCCCTTCTTTTTATCCTCCAAGCCCATTTTGAGGCCACAAACTGGTCTTTTTAAATGGTTCCTCCTAATAATTACAGGGCATTGCTGTTTCTCAAAACTTCATGAAAGTGGGCAGAACGCAGGCTAGAAGGAGGAACGATGGTTCTTGGTATTGCCTTTTCTATCCTTTTCAAGTCATTCCTGTAGATTCCATGCCTTTCCGGCTTACCCTTGACTAATTTACACCTGTGTAAAGCTTGCTTGGTTTGGCTGTAGCAAAATTCAAAATCTTTTGTTTGGATCTGTAACATTTCTTGCTGAAATTTCTTTCTTTTGGGAAAGGAAAAAAAAAAGGATCTTGCTGACACAGGCTTCCATCCAATATCTTTTTTCTTGCCAGGGTTTTGAGTCTCTTCCAGATGATGTCATTCCTTTTGACGCCACATCAGAAGTTCCATTAGAGGAACAGCGAGCTGAGGCCATGATACGGATCCAGGACAGCTTATTAACTGGCCAGGCACCAGAAGCGCTCTCACTCTTGCGCTCGGCAAGGTAAGAGAGCAACTTCAAAGATGCATCTGTGGATGTGTTTTTAGCTTGCAGATAAAAATGTGTAGGTCTGTATGCAACACTTCAGAGCAATATCTTATCCCAGTGGTGGCAGAGGCAGCTATGGCTATGGCTCGCCTATGGCTCACCTATGGCTCGCGTGCCAGAGGCAGCACTCAGAGCCCTCACTGTGGGCACGCACACCATCGCCCCAGCCCTGCCTCCCCCCGCAGCCCCCTCCTCACCAGCAACCCCCTTGGTAGAGAGTTGCCCCTGGATGTGGCCTGCACAGAGCAGCACAGCCAAGGACATGGCAGTCGGGACAAGACTCCTCCCTCGTGCCCCGTCGCAAGCAGATGATACTGCGGGGCATGGGTGGAGGGGTGACACCATGGTGCTTCTGGGCTGCCTGGGCAATATGCTATGGGCCATCGAGGCGGTGAGTGGAGGGGCGCAGAGTAGGGACGGGGGGCAGGGCAGGTTTTGGGTACTTGGTCTCTCAAAGGTTCGCCATCACTGTCTTATCCTGATTCAGCCAGGTTTTTGCTCTTGAGCAACTGGAAATGGGACCAGGAGAATGATTGGGTAGGAGAGTCTGCTCATCAACGCATAAGCAAATCTTCTGAATTCCTGCACTGAGGAGACCCTCATGGTCTCAAACGAACCCTTCCAGCTTCATGATTCGTCAAAACATCATCCTCTAAGACTGTTTATTTATTTATTTTTTTCAAAAAAAACCCCAAGAATCCCGTTAACAGTCTTATTTAACGAACAGAACTATTATAATAAGATGAGAGCAACTGACTGCAGAGGGATTTAACTTTCAATGGTTTTTTTATATGCACAATTAAAGAGATAAGGTAGACATTAGGACAATTGAGCGACAGGAGACAGAATTTGAAGCTGAATTATGTACAAATGATGTACATATCAGTGCTAAAAATGTGTAAATCTTTGTTGAAATTTGAAACAGAAGAGCCAGTTAGGTGTAGTAGTGAAAGCACCAGCTTAGAAACCAAGAGACTGTGAGTTTGTCCTGCCTGGATGACTGGGTCAGTTTTTCTCATCCCAACCCCACTAACAGAGTTGTTATTGAGGGGAAGATAGGAGGAGGATGGAGTATTAGTTATATTCCCTGCCTTGAGGCATTTATAAAAATAATAAATAAATGAACAAGTTAAAGAGTGTAGGTTAAAATGGGGAAAGAACTTTGAATATAACATATTGATGGAACAGTGGGATAGCATGTGGTCGAAAGGAATGAAATTCACACTGTTATAATTTAAAAGGAGAAATTGTATAAATTGGTGTACCATTGATATATGACTCCAGAAAAATTATCTAAGAATGTATAAAGGCACTTCTATCCATCTTGGAAATATGAACAACGTAAAGGATCTTTTTATCATGCCTGATGGATTTGCAAAAGCCAGACAATTTTGGGTCAAATGCATACCGGGACACAAAAAAATTTAAAGATTAATATTCAACTGAAAACAGAACTTTTCTTATTGGGATTAAGGGACAGACAATTAGCAAAGAGCCATAGAATATTATTTTTATATATGATCACTTTTGTGAGACTACTTTATGTGCAAAAATGGAAAGACTGTGAAGTACTATAATGAGGAATGGTTGGTGAAGATGACAGAACTAGCGGAAGTGGCAACATCAACTTGTTTGCTTAAAGAAAGAACAACTACTAAATTTATCAGTGAGTGGAAAACCTTTATGGACTTTTTTTGCTGAAAAAAAGAAAAATGAATTATTATTTACGGATTTGATGATTTGAAAGGGTAGATTATGGAAAGAAATAAATTAAGATACAGTTTTAGCAACAGGATAAAATATAAAAGTACTGATAATTGCTATTAAGACGATCAGAAGCCACTTCTTCATAACATACTGCATTTCTCAATAGTATCAATGTGAGATTTATAAATCCCCCACAGATCAGTTACATTTGCTGAACTTTTACAATAATAGTTGTAAGTAGTAGATAGATATTGGTAGCTCTGTGTTTAAACCTGCTTGTAGTGTCTGCAGTGCTTGATGTTGAGGAGAAGAGAAGTTTATCCATCTCCTGCACTTAGCTAAGTTTCGTTTGTTCTGCTCCATAAGGGAGGTGTGGCCTGAAGGAGACGTGTTTGGATCATCCGCCGTTGATCCAGTTGAAGAAATGGAGCTGCTAAAGCAAATCTTCTTCGCCAACCTCCCTCGTGAGTATACTTCCTCATGAGTATGCCACTTCCCTCAGACTTTGAAAGAGCCCTGGTGGTGCAGTGGTTAGAATGCAGGATTGCAGACTGACTCTGCCAATTGCCAGCAGTTCCATCCTGACCGGCTCAAGGTTGGCTCAGCCTTCTATCCTTCCGAGGTTGGTAAAAGGAGGACCCAAATTGTTGGGGGCCATATGCTGACCTCTCTCAATGGCTTAGAGAGGGCTGCAAAGCACTGCAAAGCGGTCTATAAGTCTAAGTGTTATTGCTAGTGCTATTGCTAAGACTTTGTCTTATACTTGCTCTTCATGGATTCTTCAACAATTTAGGTTACCTTGGTCTTTTTTCTGGCTGGGCTGTTTTTTAAACAGCAACACAACACTACAGATCCCTAAGGCAGCATTTCTCATATTGCTATAACAACAGTGTATCATGCATGTATGCACAGACACACATTTTCTCAGGCAAGTCCTCTGTGTTTCTGAGTTGGATTAATGACAGTTTCCTTTAAACCTCCTGTGTGTATTCAGGGCAAGCAGCAACTGACCCAGATGAGCCTGAGGAGGCTGCTGAGGATGAGGAAGTTGCTGAGGAAGAGTTGGCATCTGTGCAGGTGTCTGAAAAAGAGTTCAGCTTCCTGGACTATGTGAAGCGGTAAGTTCTTTCTCTGTCTCTTTATCTTTTCTGTGCAAGGAGTATTTCAGATGACAAAAAATTTCTGTGCATTCTTACCTTACCCATCATACAAGTAGTCCTTGACAAATGACCGTAATGGAGTCTGCCCGTTACAGTCGTACGTTGTGACCTTTTTTGCGGCGGCCGTTAAGGGAATGCCACAGTTGTAAAACGAACACTGATCTTTAATCCAAGCAAGATTTCTCTGAGTGCGGTTTTTGCCAAAAACTTGAAGTAAGTATCCAGTTTTGACAAAACCATTGTAAAGCTTGATCAAGGGACCGTGGGATGGTGCAAATGACCATACCTGCGGCCGTGTTGCTGAGCATTCGAAGTTCCAGTCATGTGATCATGGAGGGAGCCCAATTGTTGGAACTTCAAAATCAGATCTTAAGTCACCCTTTTCCTGGTCTGTCATAACTTTGAATGGCTGCTAAGCAATGTTAATCGACAACTACTAGAAACAGTAATTGATGCATTTGAAACTAGTGAATGTTGTTATTCCCTTGACGTTCTGAGTTCCAGCCTACATGCACAAACAATCTTCCCCTGCTGTTTCCCAGAACATGACTTCATGTCTGTATCCTGTGGTGCAGGTTTGCTAGTGCTCATGTCGTCAAGGCCTACGTCCTGCTGTTCAGAAATTACCAGCAGAACAGCCCCCACACTAATCACTGCGTGGTCAAGATGTTGCACCGCATCGCCTGTGACCTCAAGATGGAGGCCTTACTCTTTCAGCTGTCGGTCTTCTGCCTTTTCAACCATCTTCTCAGTGACCCTGCCGCTGGAGCTTATAAGGTGAGGTGGAACAGGATGTGGGTTGGTTATGAGTTTGATTAGAGATTAGATTTGAATTGTAAGTTTTTGTAAACAAACTGTTGTAAGTTGAAGACTGCCTGTATCGCATGTGTTTTCTTTGCCCTCTTAAAAAAAAACCCACAACCTCCAAGGTCGGATTGGCCCCTGCTGGTCTTCCATAGAGCTGGTCTTTTTTGCCAGTGATTCATAAAGCACTGAAGACCTGGATATGTTCCAATGCTTGGAGGGTTGGGAAGTTAAATGGCCTGTTGAGTAGTTTTTATTTATCTGTTCTGTTGGATTCATGTTTAATGACATATATGGGTTTTTTTTTTCATTTTGCATATGTATTTATTGTTTTAATGCATTGTTAGCTGCCCAGAGTCACATTTACAAGATAAGCAGGCATATAAACCAATTAAACACACACACACACACACACACACACACGCAAAACAATTTCCATTGCTGAACAAGACAGTTGTTAAGTGAGTTTTGCTCCATTTTGTGACCTTTCTTGCCACGGTTGTTAAGTGATGCAGTTGTTAATTTAGTAATGCAGGTATAAATCTGGCTTCCCCACTGATTTTGCCTATCGGAGGGTCGCAAAAGGTGATCATGTGACCCTGGGGTACTGCAATCATCGTAAATACACACCAGTTGCCAAGCAGTCTTAAGTCACTTTTTTCAGTGCCATTGCAACTTTGAACAATCACTAAATGAATAGTTCTAAGTCAAGGACTACCTGTGATACAAATTGCCTAGATCAGTGGTTCTCAACCTGTGGGTCGGGACCCCATTTGGGGTCGGACGACCATTTCACGGGGGTCGCCAAACAACGCAGTCCGCCATTTTTTTTCCCCTTTTCCTTAGCTGTGCTACCCCCTTTTATTCTATTGGCTTTTGAAAGCCAATAGAATAGACTCTCTTGAATAGAGTCTAATTCTATTGGCTTTCAAATTCAATAGGAATTGTCCAGGCTGTCTCTGCCCTGCTGAGCCCGCCAAAAGTCCCATTCTGCAAACGGTGCTGCACCAGTTGAGTAGTCCTTGACTTACGACCGGTTGGGGGTCGCAGCATTAAAAAGGTTAAGAACCACTGGCCTAGATCAAAGTGGGTGCTTTTTAAAAAAAAAAAAACTATAAAAGATATTTCAGGACTTCAATTGCAGCTTAAAATACATGAATCATGCTATCCTGGGCTTACTGGCAGCTCTGAAGCTGCAGGATACCATCTATGGTTTAAATAAATGCAGACTGGCAGAACACAGAATCCTGCAGTCCTAATAGGCTTCTTCCAGTGGAGAAAGATAGGATATGTTGGGATTTCAGATTTCAGAATTCTTAACCAGTATTCATACAGCTCTTTTTCAAAGCCTTATTTGAATATGGAAATCAGACCACAACACCTATGGAAAAGATATCTACAAAGATAATTGACATTTTTAATCCAGAATCCTCACACACATATAAATAAATGTATATTCCAAATCTCAAAAACCCTTTTCTGTATTCTTAATTTGGACGTGCATCCTACTTTCTCCCATCTAGTACAATATCCCTCAGCAAAACTAAAAAATATACAGAATACATGTCAGCAATCTGCTTCACTGGGAAGGCAAGGGAACATTTCGTTCGTTTGTTAGTTCGTTCGTTCATTCGTTTATTCATTCACATTTTTGAACTGCCCACCTCCTTTAGAAAAGGAGAATTTTCTTTAATGAAATGCTTCCAAATATTGACTGTAGAAATGTAGTTAGCCCTCGCTTATTAACAATAATTGGGACTGGGGACTCTGTTGCTAAGCGACAGAGTCATAAGGCACAATGTCATGTGATTCTCTGACTTTCTGTATGACACTTGCCATTGGTAGGTGAATCCCATGTAGTCACAACATTTTGTAATCATGTGATCCGCATTTACAACTCCATTAACTTTGCTTATCTGAAGCTGGCAGTGAAGATTGCGTATGGCAATCACATGACCACAGGATGCTGTGATATCGTTAATTACAATCCAGTAGCCAAGCACATGAACCATGATCATGTAACTGTGGGGATGCAGCAATGATTGCAACTATGAGGTCTTATTGTAAGTCCCTGTTATTCAGCTTCACTGAAACTTTGAATAGTCACTGAATGAGTAAACGTTAAGCGAAGACCATTTATTCTCTTGAGCTTTTGGACTTACCACAAACAAAACAAAACACCTGTAAATTTTAGGAGCTGGTGACCTTTGCCAAATACATTGTGGGCAAATTTTTCGCATTGGCATCGACCAATAAAAAAGCCTACATGGAACTGTTGTTCTGGAAAAACACAGCTGTGGTTCGAGAAATGACCGAAGGCTACACAGTGTCACAGGAAGATGGAAGGTGAGCCTTGGGGTTTTGGTTAATACCTAATTTCTAGGGGTGGAGGACGTTTTGAGAAATGTTGCACTGGATGCTGGATTGCTCCCCCCCCCCCCCCGTAGCATTGTCTGTAGGTTAAGAATTGAATAACAGAAGGAAGTACCTTCAGCCATTTAGACATTGTTCTCAAAATTGGGGAACCATGGTTTAAGAAAGCTGTGCATTTTAAAGGGGGAGAGGGGGCTAACCAGAGTCCTATCAAAAGCTGCTTTTGTTTCAGCCATTGATTTGACCTAGAAAAAAAAAAATAGAAAGGAAAACCAGCAGCTTCTACCTCATATCCAGGATGCTAAAGTTGTGGTGGGGAAAAAAGACAGTTCTCCTAATTTCTTTGATCAAACAGGCTTCCAGGATATAAGGACATATGTATGTGTATATGCATGTGATAGGTTTATGGGTGCAAATCAGAGTGCTAGTTTTCACCTATAAACCTACCTGGCCAACGACAGGTTAACTTAACTTTATATCAACATGAAGGCAGCCATATCAAACAACCACTAAGTTATTTTTGCTGGATGCCATCAGTTCTACATCAATCAGAAACCCAACGAATGCTTTTCTTTCTACAGAAATGTTCAAATTTTAGATAATATTTCATGGGGGGAATTTTCTCACTAGGATATTTCTTTCCTTCGCAGTTCTAATTTGCACAAGGCCTCCCATTGGACTGAGGAAGAGGAGGAAGAACTTCAGGAGCTCTACCACAAGTATAAAGAAATGGAAGGTAGGCACCTAGTTGCAGGAAGGAGACGTCTGAAGAAAAGCCAGCTAATAAGTAGTGCAAAATCAAAACTCGTTTAAGGGCCTTCCGTTCCGTGGCTGGTGAAAATGTAACTGAGTGCTTGGGGTGAGCTGAAACTTTCATAAGAAAAATTTGGGACCCCATGAGGAAGACTCTATTCGGTGGACCACTGCAGAGCAGCCTCCGGCATCTTCCTGACTCCTCCTTTTTGGAGTCCTAGTTTTGAAATGAAAGAGAAGTTTCTGAGAGAAGAGATTTCCAAACTTTTTCATAAGCAGTCACTGGGTTGATGTCCCAAGGTGCTGTTCTTCAGCTGATAGGTTTTCAAATTCCAACCTGCTCTAAAGGTGAGCAGCAACTGTTCTAAAGGTGCAGGTGAGCTCTGCTGCTATGGGTTTAGGTTCTCTGGTGGGTTTGTTTTTAATCTTGCAAGCCTCCCAGAGTCACTTTATGAGATGGGAAGCTGTATAAATAATCTAAATTAATAAATGTTTTTTTCATAGTTGAAAAAACTATCCTGGCACGTCAGGCTGCAATGTCAGAGTACACTCTGTTAATGCACCTTTAAGCATGAAGGTATCATTCACTTTTGTTCTCCTAAAGAAAATAAGGAAAAGGAAGTGTGTGTGTGTGTGTTTCTCTCTCTCTCTCTCTTTCTCTCTCTTTCTCTCTCTCTCTCTCTCTCTCTCTCTCTCTCTCTGTGTGTGTGTGTGTGTGTGTGTGTGAAAACGGGAGGTGGAGTTTTGAAACTGGTGCTGTATTGCAGAAAACTTAAAGGCTACTAGTCAGCAAGAATGATTGTAGTGACTGAAAGTGAATTAACCAAGGAAAGATTATCCTTATAAATGCTACAAATGGCTATCGGGGCCATAACTAGACACATGTTTGTGGCTCCATTGTGATTTACTATCACAATGGAGCCCCAAATTTCCATTTCTAAGCAAGGCAGTTCTTAAGTGAGCTTTGCCCATTGTATGGCCTTTTCGCCATTACCGTTAAGCGAATCAGTGCTGTTATTAAGTGAATCGTGTTCATTAAGCGAATCCGACTTCCCCCAATGAGTTTGCTTGTCGGAAGCCAGCTGGGAAGGTAACAAACGGGGACCACATAAACACACGCCAGTTGCCAAGTGCTCGAATTTTGATCGTGCGACTGTGGGGATGCCGCAACAGTTGTTAAGTGTGAAAACTGGCCATAAGTCACTTTTTTTCAGTGCCCAACCAAGCTCTTTTGCTTCTGTCCACCACCTGAGCCAAAGTCCGAGCACCAGGCCTTCCGTTCCTCTCACATCTTGTTTTTCAACCCCAGGTGAAGATGTGCTTGACAACATCCTGTCACATCTCGGCTCTCATCCCCGGGGACGAATGCAGGTGGCCAGGAAACTTGTGCGCTTGGGGTTGGTGAGCAGCATACGAGACTTTCCTCAGGCGCGGTAGGTCACGTTAACACTCCTCGTGAATTTGGGATCTTCATAAACAGATTTCTTTTAAAACAAATGATGATGGGCGCGAATCAATTGGGATACATATGGATGTGTTATGACCCAGGTGGTCAAGGCAAGGCAAGCCTCTAGAACAGTGTTTCTCAACCTTGACAATTTTAAGGCATGTGGACTTCAACTCCCAGAATTCCACAGCCAGCAATGCTGGCTGTGGAATTCTGGGAGTTGAAGTCCACATGCCTTAAAATTGTCAAGGTTGAGAAACACTGCTCTAGAAAATAGTTTGTTTATCTCAACAAATGGCCCAGCAAACGGCCCTCCAACAACCAGTACGGCTCCACCTCCATGCTACCTTGAGGGCAGCCACCCTCAGTCCCCCAAACAACAGCCCCTATAGTACAGATAAGGTCCCCAGAGTAGGAGTATGATCACAGGGCAAGGCCCAGGGTTCCAAGTCCAGACCACAAGGCAGAGTCCAGGTACAAGTCAGCGGCGGTGCTCAGGGCAAAGAAAAGGTCCAAGGCAAGAAGCAGTTCCAAGGGCACACAAAGCAAAGGCTAAAAGAGCAAGGTCCAAGACAAAGGGCAAAGAGCAATCTTCCAAGAAAGGCAAGGCAAACAGCAACAGACACTAGTCCAAGTCAGGGGAGTGTAAGCCAAAGCAAACAATTGTTCCTGGCAAAGGTTAACTCCCCATGGCTTCTCCTAAAGTTAATCAACTCCTAGTATTCCTTGTGAGGAGGGGTGGGGCAACCTCCTCCCGAGTAGCCTTGCAGCCCTTTGTTGGCCTTGCCTCTGCTCTGCTCTCCTTGCCTTTGGATCAAGTGGAGGAGGCAGCGGTTCCTCATCAGAGGAGATCAGCTGCCTATCAGCATTACTGCCTGTCAGCAGCTGATCCTCCCCTGTGTCTGTGAGGGCAGGCAGCTCTTCATCTGGTCGACCACCTCCCCAGTGCCTGAGGGGCCTGGGACAGCGTTGTCCTCAACCCCTGGCCTCTCCAGACATGCCAAGGGAGATGTGGGAAATATATCTAAGAACAGTCCTGTGGAACTTTATTGATTTTGTTTCCATATTTCACCAACGTACTTAGCACTGGAGCTGCAAGCTTAACACATACTCCAAACAAAGTTTCATTCGGGGCTTAACTCCTGAGTAAGTACATGGAAGAGGGATAAGCATCCTGGCTTGCAAGTTATTTGAATGCTTTAAAGCAGTGTTTCTCAACCTTGACAATTTTAAGGCATGTGGACTTCAACTCCCAGAATTCCACAGCCAGCAATGCTGTGGAATTCTGGGAGTTGAAGTCCACATGCCTTAAAATTGTCAAGGTTGAGAAACACTGCTTTAAAGACAATAAATTGGTGTAATTTCCTGACACGTATTTAGGCCTGGTGTCCTGGGGACCGATGGAGCTCATTTCCTGGTTTTGCTGATGGGTTTTTATGATGCTTCAACTGCTGTGTGTTTTAGTTCTTATTTTGTATTGGTATACATTTTTATTTATTTTATTGTGAGCCACCCAGAGTCACGTCCTTGAGATGGATGGCTATAAGATGTATTTCATAAATAAAACAAGGACATACGAGTTGTAGGATACAGATCGTTCTTGGCCAACGATGGTAATTAGGACCAGAATTTTCCACTGTTAAGCAAGGCGGTCATAACGAGCGACACCAGGGGACTGCATCACTTGGTGACGGCAATCCTAGCACTCCCTCTTGCCGTTGTTAAATGAGGATCGTGGGTAGTTAAGGGAATCCCAAGTGACTCGCAGGCAGCTACAGTGCAGCTGGGTCAGGGGTGGCTGCTGGCAAGCAAGATAGAGCAGGCAAGTAACTTGACAGAGCAACTTGCAACCTTTCCTGCCAGCTTCTGTAATGACTTTACTTGAGGGAAACTGCCAGGGAACCTCCCAAATGATGATCATGTGACTACAGGACACTGCAGCTGTTGTAAGTGTGAGGCAGTAGCCAAACTCCCAGATGGTGTTTATGTGACTGTGGGAATGCTGGGACAACTGGAACTTCAAGGACTGATCATAAGTACCATTTGTTCAGTGCCATTGTTACTTTGGAATTTAGTTAAATGAGAACTACCCGTAATTTTGACCCACTTAGAACAGGGGTCCCTGGGCCGTGGATCAGTACTGGGCCGTGGCATGCCAGCAACCGGTCCGCACAAACAAGCAAAGCCCCATCCGCGGGATGCAGGCTGCACACAAAATCACACCCCCTCCGGTCCGCGGAAAACTTACCACATAACCGGTCCCTGGTGCCCCAAAGGTTGGGGACCTCTGACTTAGAAAACAAAACAGACCATAATACCCCTCCTCATTTTGCCTCCTCCCTAGAAATCCTGGCCCCATTCATTTGACTGTTATTATCATTCTGCCCACTGTGGCTTCCGTTGCCCAACAAACGTAACATGGGCCCTTAGCAGCCAAAATATTGCCTTTCTCAATTAGAAGATTGCATTCTAGAGACACCTTTGGGGGAAAAAAAACAAGACTCTACACTTTGACAGACGAAATCAACTCTTGGGTATTTTTTGTTGCAAAGGCCGGCTGTTTTAACCTGTACTGTAGTGACAAGCCCTGTTTATTTCTTTCAGCAGGAAAGGAGCCCGCATTGTGCTATGGACAGAGGATCAGGAGCTGGAGCTTCGCCGGCTCTTTGAGGAGTTCCGTGACTCCGATGGTGAGAGTGCCTGGCTGGCTGGCTGGCAGCAATTTCATCTACAGCAGTGGTTCTCAACCTTTTTAATGCCGCCCCCCCCCCCAACCGGTCGTAAGTCGAGGACTACTCAACCGGTCGTAAGTTGAGGACTACTCAACTGGTGCAGCACCGTTTGCAGAATGGGACTTTTGGCGGGCTCAGCAGGGCAGAGACAGCCTGGACAATTCCTATTGGCTTTTGAAAGCCAATAGAATTAGACTCTATTCAAGAGAGTCTATTCTATTGGCTTTCAAAAGCCAATAGAATAAAAGGGAGTAGCACAGCTAAGGAAAAGGGGGAAAAAAATGGCGGACTGCGTTGTTTGGCGACCCCTGTGAAATGGTCGTTCGACCCCAAATGGGGTCCCGACCCACAGGTTGAGAACCACTGATCTACAGCCAACACAGTACAGCACTTGTGTCTGGAGCAGTGGTTCTCAACCTGTGGGTCGGGACCCCATTTGGGGTCGAACGACCATTTCACGGGGGTCGCCAAACAAGGCTGTCTGCCATTTTTTCCCCCTTTTCTTTAGCCACGCCCCTGGCACCCAGTGATGTATAAGTGATTGGGGGTCACCACAACATGGGGAACTGTATTATGGGGTCACGGCATTAGAAAGGTTGAGAACCACTGGTCTGGAGGAATGAGATAAGCCGGGTGGAGATGAAGAAGCTGGGACCGGAAACTTTTTTAAGGCTACCCACACACCTTTTTTGGGCGGTGGAATTCTCTACTGTGGAGGGATTATTTTCCATTGAGCCTCCTAAAGCTAAGGGGTTACTCATCTCTATTTGTCAATCTCTGTCTCCCCATCACCAAGTTTTGAATTGGCTTCTCTGAAATAATTACAGGTAGTCTCTCTTGGAGCTAGCATGGGAAACTAAATATGCTGGTATGCTCCTTCTGTTTGCTCACACTGCCTTTGCCTCTTTTCTCCCTCTGCAGATATCCTATCCAATGTAATGAAGCACATCACAGCCAAACGATCCAAAGCCCGCATTATTGAGAAGATGCTTAGCATAGGGTTGGTGTCTGATCGCAAGGAACTTTACAAGAAGCGCAAACGGAAAGCTGGTTCCCCTAGAGAGGTATGCTACACACACATACACACACACCCATCCTTTTTTCTATCTGCACATCTCACTTTGACAATGTGAGCACGCCCACATATATGCATCTATAGCAGACATGTCAAACACAAGGCCCGGGGGCCGGATGCGGCCCACGAAGTGGTTTCATGTGGCCCACAAAGCCATCCTGGAAACAGTGAGGGAACGGCCCCCGCTGCCTTGGCCCTGTACAATTTTGTGGTGGCCCTCTAATGCTGAAACACATTCAGTCTTAGCTCCACAAGGCCGTCTGGAAACAGCGAGGAACCAGCCCCTGCCACGTTGGCACCACCCCCTGGGTGCATGCTGGGGAGGTGTCACCCTTTGTGAGGAATGAAGAAATGCACCATCACCTGGAAGTGGCCAGCAAATGGCCCTCGCTTACTTCACATATCCGGCTTGATGGGCTCTGCTCTGGTCCCACCCCTTTCTGTCAGAGACTCTCAGATCTGTCCCACTCCTAACCAGGCCCCCACAGGCACCCTTGACACGAATGATGTAGAGCTAGCCACGCCCACCCAGTAGGCCACACCCACTTTGTTCACACCCGCCCGGTAGGCCACACCCACCCACCCCCCTGAGGGCAACTGCAATGCTGATGCAGCCCTCAATGAAATTGAGTTTGACACCCCTGATCTACAGCATTTTAAATCCTGAGCTAGTTCGATTTATTTAATAGTAGGAGGGAAGGGATATATATATATATTGTTCTCACAGATGCAGATTCTCAGATATGATCTTTGAGTTTTCTGCCAAAAGTGCATTCTCAAGAGGCAACTGTCAGAGCTGAAGAAGCTTCTTGGATGAGAAGCGAAACATCTTCAAGAAAGAAAGTCCAGTTGCTCTTGAAAAAGAACCTTTGGGACAACTATGACATGGATGATTCAGAATCTCCATAGTTGGTCTTTGAGCTTTCTTCTTTCCTTCTGCTCTACTTCTTCGAACGTCTATTCTTTCTCCCAATAGCATAGAATTGTTGTTCTAGTCCAGAGGTCTTCAAACTTGGCCCTTTTATGACTTGTGGACTTCAACTCCCAGAATTCCTCAGCCAGCTTGCTTGGCTGAGGAATTCTGGGAGTTGAAGTCCACAAGTCATAAAAGGGCCACGTTTGAAAACCCCTGTTTTAGTCAAGTTGACATTTATTTCAATCTGTCAATCTTTTCTAACTGAGCCTTTCAAAATATCAGTTAAAACAAAGGTAGCACAAGGGATTTCCCAAATCTTACCTTTCTTTTAATATAAAATGTCCTCTAGGAGACTAATTTGAGTCAGCCAAAAAATACTGGGGGTGATAAAATTATTACATCTGAGGTGATAGTTCTTTTTCTCTCTAGTGTGGATTATTGAAGGAGGAACACCCTATTTTAGCATCTCCTGCTGTCGCGTACTCTTAAGAGATGGACTTAGTTCCTTTCTTTCAGAATAAAGCCTCGTTCCCCAACGATTCTGAGGTGCCTGACCTGGCTGAGATAGATGGTGAAGATGAAGAGGAAGAAGAAATGGATGACTTGGATTGTGAAGAAGAAGAACTGGCCAAGGAGGATCCTGGAAATGACACGGATCAAAAATCCTGGGATGGGTGGTCCAAGAAAATGTGGGGAGGCGCTTCAGAGCGAAAACTTGTACAAAGCCTTAGATTAGAAGGTGAGAAATTGATCTCCCCAGTTGCAAAAGGAGGAACTACAGTGCTGTCTAGTGTCACAAAATTGTAGCGGTGGGATACAAGTTACTCAGCTTTCTGAGCTTGGAGAATTTCTTCCCCTTCAAATGATCTTTTAAAAAAATTATCCAAATATCTCCTGCACAACCGCCCAGAATGGTGTGGAGTATGGGCTAACCAAATTCTCTAGCTTCCAAACTATATAACAGTGGTGGTGAACCTATGGCATAGGTGCCAGAGGCGGCACTCGGAGCCCTCTCTGTGGGCACATGTGCCGTCGCTACAGCCTTGCCTCCCCCACAACCCCCTCCTCACCAGCAGCCCCCCGGAAGAGAGTCGCCCCCGAGCGTGGCCCACGCGGAGCAGAGCAACCAAAGACATGGCAGCCAGACAGCGTAGACAAGACTCTGCCCTCACGCCCCTCGCGCACAGTTGATGCTGCGGGGTGCGGGCAGAGGGCGTGGCCGCCATGGCTCTGCTGGGTGATCTGCGGTGGGCCCTGGAGGCGGTGAGTGGCCCTACCGGCAGGCGGGGGGGTGGAGGAGTGGAGGAGCGGGGCCAGTTTTGGGGCACTCAGTCTCTAAAAGGTTCGCCATCACTGGTATATAACTTTGCATACTGTAGAAAGGGTTTACGAGGAGAAATAAGTAATCCGATATGGGGTGGGAGTTTTTGGAGATCACTAATTGACGTAACGGGGACTTTTTCCTATGCATTTCTCCCATAATCCCCATGCATTATCCATATTTTGATGTGGGCCTCAGCTACATCTATTAGCTGTATTTTATTTCTTGGACCCAAGTGGGATTATCGTTCCTTTTTTGTAATTTCATAATTCGTAAAAAACAACTGTGTACTTCTGTAAAGGTCATCTCCTGCTCGAGCAGAGGGTTGGACTAGAAGACCTCCAAGGTCCCTTCCAGCTCTATTCTGATTGAATTTGCTTTTCACTTTTTCCTTCCCCATTATCCTTGCAAATAAGAAGCCCAACTCCTAGGCACAATTTTTCAAATTGATCTTTTTTGTGTGTGATGGGCTTCAGGTCATGAAAGTCTACAACAGTCTTTTTTTCTAGTTTTGCTGGTATTCCTGTTTCTAAGAACTTTGATACATTAAAGTGTACTATTGTTTTTGGGTTCTTCCAAAAGCTTTGTTCTGAAATGGGACTGCCTTGTTTCATGACATTTTCCTTCTCTCTCTGTACAGCTGGCCTTCAGGAATACGATAATGTGAATCTTTGATCTAGGCCAGGGGTAGGCAACCTTGGCTCTTTTATGAGGTGTGGACTTCAACTCCCAGAATTCCTGAGCCAGCATGGCTCAGCTTGGAAACCTCTCTTTTCCCCTCAGCATGGCTGGCTCAGGAATTCTGGGAGTTGAAGTCCACGAGTCATAAAAGAGCCAAGGTTGCCTACCCCTGGTCTAGGAGGACTACTGATGGATATCTGAAGGGGGAGAGGGATTTTCAATTTGTGTGATTATATTCATGCAAAGGTGTCTGATATCCTGATGTCAATACATAATTGGGGCATCTTGTAAGATTAGATCATTGTGCCTGTATTATTATTATTTTTTTTTACTTCTTTGCTTGCATCTCTGGGCCTGCTCATTTTCCCCATGCAATTTCGCCCCACAGGTTTTGCTGGCCCCTTGCTCTGGCTTCAGAACTGCTTGAACAAAACAGCTGCTGCCCGAGGAGAGAATGGTAAATACAAACCAACTGGGTCATCATATTTATTTACTTGACAAAATTACAGTGGCTGCCCTTTTCACTCAAAATGACTCTGACAATAAAACAAGGAATTAAAACATTTTACAAACCCATTAAAGCAGTGAGAGGAGATAAAATGAAATCACGAGAGGGAGGATTTTACACACAATGCAATCAGCATGCAGGCTTCCCTATTTATCAAGAGATCCCCAGACTTGCTGAAAGAAGCACATTTTGAAGGCTTTCTGGAAGGCCGTAAGGCAGTGTTTCTCAACCTTGACAATTTTAAGGCATGTGGACTTCAACTCCCAGAATTCCACAGCCAGCATTGCTGGCTGTGGAATTCTGGGAGTTGAAGTCCACATGCCTTAAAATTGTCAAGGTTGAGAAACACTGCCGTAAAGGCTGGGGATAGCCTCACTTCAGGAGCAGAGATATTCCAGAAGAGGCTCACCTCTTGGGTCCCTTCAGATGGAACTCTTTCACAGACCTAAGCACAGCGTGCCTCTCCTGCCAGATCTCATGGGAACGGGTCAAGGTAATAGGGAGAAGGTGGTCCCTCAGATAACCTGGGCCCCGTGCCAAATAGGGTGAAAAACCCACACCTTGAATTGGACCTGGTAGCAAACTGGCAACCAGTGCAGCTCACAGAGCAGAGGTGTAACATGTGTCCATTTAGGGAAGCTTGATAATTGCCTGAGCTGCCGCATTTTGCACTTTTGGATACTTTTCCACGGCAGCCCCGTGTAGAGTATTTTACAGCAGTCCGTTTGGGAAGTGACATTCCTACATCCAGCATGAAAAGTTTGCTATTTCATATTACTAATTATGAAGCCAATCTTCATAAAGTAACGTCCAGGTCTATGCTCTAGTTTCCTTCGCAGGAAAGAACTACTTATCCCAAGTTCTGCACAGAGAAGGGCATTCTTCACTTGTTCTGGTTATAGCTGGATAGATTTTTGTTTCCCCAGGATGTGCCCAGGCTGTTCCTTTGGTGCCATTGACTGAAGAAAGTGAGGATGCCATGGAGCACAAAAATTTCCAGAAACTGTTGTGGAAGGTGGGGGTACGATCTCCAGCCAATGAGCAGGTGAGGATTTTGATGGGAGGGACTACAGCTGACCTCTCTTGTGCCTTCAGTGCAGATCTTAGATGCTTCCAAACGCTGCACCAATTTTTTTAAAAAAATAATTAATTATTATACTGCTTTTAGTATTTTTATAACTAACTCATGGTGGCGAACATAACTCCATCTTTCTATTTTCCCCACAACAACAACCATGTGAATGGGTTGGGCTGAGAGAGAATAGTATCTCTTCTGATATATAAGGAAAAATGAAATATAAAGGGAATAATCATGTGACCCATAATTAATTTAATTTAAATCAGACAATTATTTGTCTTGGCCCCTTTCATTTTTGGAATGAATCCCTCAGCCCAAGGAAGGTTGTGCATTCCCAATTTAAAGGGAGAGACTATAGGAAATGTCTGCCGTGGCCTGAAACAGTTGTGTTATTTGTATTATTTTTTCTAAATGGGAAAACTCAGGGTTTTTTTTCCCCCATCTCTATTTCTTTTGCTTAAATATTATGCCACAAGGAAAGCAATGACCTCTTCATTATGAGGGAAATTAAACCTTTGTATAAATGGTGTTATGCAGTATGTTTTAATTGCCATTGTGTATAAAGTGAATATTTTAATAGAACATAGCATGTTGATTCAATCTCCATATCTAAATATGGAGATTGTACCAATTTGAATATGTACCAATATGATTTTCACCTGGGAGGTTGAAATATCTTCCAGTTGTCACTTCAGCAGTGTTACCAATTTGGGTCAGAAAAAAAAGACTGCCTATATAGAGCATGCATGACCTTAAAAAAATAGGAAGGATGGGGTAATTTTTCTAAGATGGGAGATTTGACCCCTGCCTTATTGAGTATCTGTCCCAGGCCTTCCATTTAAGATCTGCTAAGATTTTATTGAGGCCTAAAATAAGTAGACCTGGTATTGACAAACTACAGTATATTGGGTTTTGTTCAGTTTGGCTTTTCAAGTGGATGCAAAACTGTCATTCAGGATCAAATGAACCAAGGAGTTTTCCTCAGATGATTTCCTTTGGCCATGATCTAAAGTGACATAGTCTTGCAAAGGCTGTGAAAGGGAGGCAACCCAGTTCTAAGGATAATGCAACTTTAGAGATTGAAGGGGAGATGCATGTTATTGTGTTCAGAAACTTCTTTTTTAGACACACTTCTGGGCATCGTAAAGCAGCATACCCAGAACTTTGGATCTGAATAGCTTAATAGCAGCTAGGACAAAATTTGCAAATTTCGTAATTGCTAGAAATACTCTTTCGGCCTGTATAGTTAGTTCCCTTGCTTGAGTACCCCAGCTGGTAGAGAACGAAAGTAAATGCCTAAATATTTGAAGGATTTCATCTGCTTGATAGATCTTCCATTTATTGACCATTAACATTCTTCTTTATTAAATCGATGAACTACAGAGCTCAGTAGAGAGGAAATTCTTAAGATTATTTTGACGCAATCATATTTACAAATGTTGGGTTTAACTGTATATCAGTTTCTGTTGAGAGAAACTGTTTTGCATGTGTTGAAATATATATAGAACTAGATCAGTGTTTCTCAACCTTGACAATTTTAAGGCATGTGGACTTCAACTCCCAGAATTCCACAGCCAGCAATGCTGGCTGTGGAATTCTGGGAGTTGAAGTCCACATGCCTTAAAATTGTCAAGGTTGAGAACCACTGAACTAGATGCTGGGAAAAGCAAAAGAGAATAATTTACCAACCTGTCTTCCTCAGTTCCAAAGAACAACATTTTCAATTACTTACAGAAGGGGTTCCCAACCCCTGGACCGCAGCCCGCTACCGGGCCATGGCCCGTTGGAACCTGGCCGCCAAAGTGGCAGGCAAGTGCACGAAGCTTCATTTGCACATGCGCAGGATTTAGGTTGTGTGCCCAAAACCATTCCCCCACCGCAGCCGAAACTGCTTGAAGCCCCGCCACTGCCGGTCCACGGAACCAAAATGGCTGGGGACCCCTGAGTTACAGGGTCTTGCTATATACTGATCTCAGCTTCCTGATAGAGTAATTCTGCGATTTCCATTTTTTACAGTAAAATGGGTGGTAATATCTTTATTACTGTATATGTTTCTGTGAGCAGTTAGCTCTTTATCCTAGTAGAGTCATACCTTGGTAGTTGACTGCTGTGAAATATGTCAAATTTGGTACTCAATGCATTTTGACACGAAAATGTTGTCCTAGTACTTGTTTGTTGGTACTTGACACGCAAGCTAGAACTTGTCAATGTCAGTTGCCTCCTGAATCGCTATTCTTTCCAGCCAAAACAAAGAGTCACCCTTACTGGAAGAAATTTATTAGTGCTCGATGTTATGGTTCTGGCTAATGAAACACTTCAAAGAACTTCCAGGCATTTATTTTCCTAAAAGTCTTTTATTGTTGCAAATTGTCGGGCACAGACATAAGGGAGGGATGCTAAGATCTAAATTCTTTTCCTCTGAGCAGTTAAATTAACAGCATGTTCCCTCCCTAAATTAGCCTGGCATATATCACATTATCCAATTAGTGTGAAGGTCAAATGTTTCCTTCCTCTCTTTCCCCGGCTTTGCCCCCACCCCCCTTCTGCTCTGTATTAACCCCATAAATACCAGACAGTTCTGCATATTGTCAAAAGCAAGCATATACAATATTTGCAGCATTGACACTCATCATTTTTGGTGCTTGTTCTGCCTCCTGGAACCAGTTAATGACAAGCACTGAGGTACCACTGTATCTATTCTTTCTCATTTGGACCTCCAATGACATTTTCTAGTGACGATATTCTTTCCTTTAGGCTGATGTGAATTGAACTGATCTCATTTGCAATTTATTTAATTGATCATATTTCTACACCGTCCATCTCATCCCAGTGACCCTGGGTGGTTTATGAATAAAAAACATAAAAAGAGACATAACTAAAGCAATATTAGAATTAAAAAGAGTAAAAAAATTAAGAATGTGCTATGGTAAAAAAAAACTTGCAAGGGAATGAAAACAGTAGCAGATGCAGGTTGCAATCTCATGGTCAGGAATGAACTTTCTTTGCCTTTGTTTTTCTTATAGGAATCCTTCTGGCGCATCCCAGCTAAACTCAGCTCAGAACAATTACGCCACATGGCTGCTTTCATTGCTTCGGAAGAAATGGAGGGGGAGACTCAAAAACAGCAAGCTGGTAAGTTATGCATAAAGAGAAGGGAAATTTAAAAGGGGTTGGAATCATTCATTAACACATCACTAAACCAGGTGGGCAAACTATGTGCTGCAGCTGGCTTCCATCTAACATGCCCCATCCCCAGGTTCATACTGCTGAATTTCACGCAGGTTCCAGTTCTGAGAAGTACATTTTTTTATTTTTAACTATTTAATTCCATACCATCTCTTGCCCCTCTCCCCCCTCCATTGTGCAATAAGCTTCTGATAAGCAACCCCCTTTTGAGTTTAAGTAACCCATCCTTTCTCACCAAAGGAACAAGAACATTGGCCTGGTCTCATTTGCGGATGTCACTACCAGATCTTAGTCATCCTCAGAAGACCTCAGCCAATGAGATAAAGTTGCCCATCCCTGGAATACAGTGATATAGAGGAACAATTGTAAGATGGTGTATCTTTAGGCACTGCCGTTTTTGTCTGTCCCTGCCTTTGTAATTATGCATACTTGGTTTGAATTATTTGTTTTTGCATTTAGGTATCTAAAACTTCAATAAGCAGTAGACAAAAAAGGGTTACATATTAACACTGGAGGTCAACTCTTCTTGTTGCAAAATCAAACCCAAAACATTTTCTCACCACTGCTGATCTCTTGCCCAGTTTACTTCTCAGGTCATCTTGACATCCCCCTGCTGGCTCAAAACATTTTCAATATGGAGCGGTGTTTGCTAACTTTCGTTTCTCAAAAAACACATGGCTGTAGGAAATAGGTTGCTGCCATCTAATACTATCCCATTTTCCTATTCAGGAAAACTTTTGCCAAATCCCACCCACACGCACATAGTTCAAACTAGATTTCTGGTCCTCGTTCTCAGCTTGGAAATCTCACATTGGGATGTGGCATATTCCTGGGCCTAATCTTGCTTAGCTGTCAAAAAAACCCCAGACATGTATGGTGGCTTGATAAATTTTCATTCTGCATCATAGAAGGCTGGCAAGCATGTGGCTGACGGGAACACAAGCAGTCAATGATTTTGAGTCATGAGTGGAAAAATCTGGATTGAGCATTGTCCTACTTATTAAAAAAAAATACAGATTAAGCAGAGTGAATCACAAACTGATAAACAGTTCTGTATGTCCGTCTCTCTAGTACAAAGTATTTTGATGTGCAAGTAGCCTAAAAGGGAGGGGTCACCATGTTTCCTAACTGTGATCCTCTTGTTACATCCATTCTTGTAGTGAGATTTCTCTGCAGCCATAAGAAAGAATATCGTAAATAGTTGACTGTTTGCTGTAACCGAATGTTTCGGTGCCATAAGAAATGCTTGATGTTTCTTACCCAAACAGACAGAGAGCATCAAAGATGAATTACTCTGCCCAGCATTAATACTAAATTGCTCCAGCCTTTTCCTGAGGTGCCTTGGCCTTTCCCAGTTGACGTGCTTTCCTCTTGTTGATTTCAGAAGATCATTCAGAAGAAGATCATCCCAAAGTAATGGAACCAAGAGGGCTGAAAGCAGAAACGTGAGTATTGGGTGTAAGAACAGGGAGATGGGAAGAGAAGTTCAGAATGAGAGGAAAATGTCTTGCAGAAGGAAGAAAGTGACAGGAAGGGTTAAAGCAACCTTACATATTTCAGAGTAAATAGTTGCTGGATAGGCAAGAAGAAATCACTCATAATTGAATGTTCTTGAGTTTTTTTGGACACATATTTATTTCATGCCAAAGCTTTCCTGTTGAAACTGATGGAGCTTCTTGGATGAGAAGCAAAACGTTTTCTTCTTCCTCAAGGAAAAAACTGTCCAGTTGCCTTTTGGGGGGGGAACCCACCTTTGAAACAACTATGACCTGCATGACTGAGAATCTCCACAGTCATTTACCAAAGCTTTCCCCCCCCTATTTCTAGGGCAGTGGTGGCGAACCTTTTAGAGACCGAGTGCCCCAAAACTGGCCCCACCCCTGCTCCACCTCCTGCCATGCCCCCTCTCTGTCCCCACACCATCCCCCACCCCACCTGCCCACAGGGCCACTCACCGCCTCCAGGGCCCACCACAGATCGCTCAGGCAGCCCAGCAGTGCCATGGTGACCATGCCCTCTGCCCGCGCCCTGCAGCATCAACTGTGTGTGATGATGCTGAGGGCATGAGGGCAGAGTCTTGTCTATACTGCCTGGCTGCCATGTCCTTGGCTGCGCTGCTCCGCATGGGCCACGCTCAGGGGCGACTCCTCCAAGGGGGCTGCTGGTGAGGAGGGGGTCGTGGGGGGAGGTGAGGCTGGGGCAATGGCAGATGTACCCACAGAGAGGGCTCCGAGTGCTGCCTCTGGCACCCGTGCCATAGGTTCGCCACCACTGTTTTAGGGGATCTTGGAACTGGGCAGAATTACATATCCACAAACTCAGAATTACATATCCACTTTGTAGAGACAGGATCCTCAGTCCATCCCACAAGTCTAACCATCAGCTGGAAAGTGACTACATCCTGAGCAGTCATAGGAAAGGGATTCCTCTTAGGCTGTGAGATCTTGACCTGTTGCCTAATACAGGCGCTCCTCAATTTACAACAGTTTATTTAGTGACCATTCAAAGTTACGTCACTGGAAAAAATGACCTATGACTGTTTTTCGCACTTATGACTGTTGTAGCATCCCGATGGTCATGTGATTGAAATTCAGATGCTTGGCAACTGGTTCATATGTATGACAAATGTCTCGCTTAATAACACAAATGTTGGGCTCAATTGTGGTCATAAGTCAAGAACTACTGAACTGAGCATATAACTCAGCTATATATAACTGTGCCATATAATGATCAGCCACTGGCCTTGAAAAACCTACAGATGTGCTACATTAGATTTTTAATTTTTAACTATATTTAGTTTTATCATAGAAGATAAAACAGAAAAACAAACAAAACAAAACAAACAAAATTAAAAAGACATACATCCAACACTAACAACAACAAAAAAGAAAAAAAAATGATGTGCTCAAAAGGAAAAAAGCTGTCCCAAATACCAAGTAAATTTAACATTAAACATAGAATCCACCCCAGCTGGACGCTGAAAAAAAAATTCTCCCCTTTTACCTACATACATACATACAGTCAACATGCTGAACTGAATATTAGACTAATCTTCAAATCTCTGTTAACCATCTGTTTTTGTATTTAACACGTAGAAAATCCACAAACAGCTTCCAGTCTCTTATAAAACTGTCTAGTCCAGTGGTTCTCAACCTGTGGGTCGGGACCCCATTTGGGGTCGAACGACCATTTCATGGGGGTCGCCAAACAACGCAGTCCGCCATTTTTTTCCCCCTTTTCCTCAGCTATGCTACTCCCTTTTATTCTATTGGCTTTTGAAAGCCAATAGAATAGACTCTCTTGAATAAAGTCTAATTCTATTGGCTTTCAAAAGCCCATAAGAATTGTCCAGGCTGTCTCTGCCCTGCTGAGCCCGCCAAAAGTCCCATTCTGCAAACGGTGCTGCACCAGTTGAGTAGTCCTCGACTTACGACCGGTTGGGGGGTCGCGGCATTAAAAAGGTTGAGAACCACTGGTCTAGTCCATTATCTCTAAACAAAGCTGTTAATTTTGCCATCTCTGCTAATTTAGTTAATTTTTACATCCATTCTTCAATAGTCGGCATCTCTTTTTCTTTCCAGTGCTTGGTAAGTATGATTTTCACTGCAGTCAGCATGTAAAGGAATAGAACTGCAAATTGTTTTTCAATTAGTTTGTCCATAATACCTAAAAGAAAAGCTTCAGGTTTCATTAATATTTGTATCTTAAATAATTTCTTTATTATAATAATTACGTTTATCCAGTATGTTTTCACTTATTTACAAGACCACCACATATGATAAAATGAACCTGGATTTTAATTACATTTCCAGCACTTAGTAGAAATCCATTTATATATTTTCACTGGTCTATCAGATGTCAAATACCAACAATACATCATTATATAATAACTTTCTTTCAGGCTAATAATTTAAAGTTTAGTCCATTATTATTTTCTCCCATTTATCTAGCGCAGTGTTTCTCAACCTTGACAATTTTAAGGCATGTGGACTTCAACTCCCAGAATTCCACAGCCAGCAATGCTGGCTGTGGAATTCTGGGAGTTGAAGTCCACATGCCTTAAAATTGTCAAGGTTGAGAAACACTGATCTAGCGTTATGTTATATCCAAAATATTTTGTCCATTTTACCATACAATCTTTTACATATTTGTCTTCCAGATTCATTTTGAGTAACATTTTATATTCTATAGCAATGAAGTGGTCACCTCCAGAACATAAATTAACATCCAGTTCAGATTTTGTTCCTGTAAAAACAATTTTTTTTGTCAAGTTTAAATCTTTCAAAAATTCTATAATAATTAAATCAATCACAAACAAATCCTTCACTTACTAATTGTTCTCTTGTCTTTATCTTGAATCCGTCTTTTTCAAACATCAATAAGTCCCGATATATCATACATTTACATTCCGATACCATGTTTGTTCTATGTAGTGCTTTGTGAGGTGATAGCCAAAGTGGTATATTATCAGCTAATCTTCTTTTGTACTTCCACCATACATGCCCAATCGATTGCCTAATAGCATGAATCTTAAAACCAGGGTTAACTTTTACTTTGTCATACCACAGATAAGCATGCCACCCAAATCTCAAATCAGAACCTTCAAGGTCTAACAGCTTTGATTTTTTTTAAAGTTATCCAATCTTTTAGCCACACTAGACAACAAGCATTGTAATATAATTTAAGATCCAGCAAACCCAAACCTCCTCTGTCTTTAGAATTTTGTACCAGCTTCTATTTAATCCTTGTTTTTTTTATTTTGTCAAATAAATTTAGATATATCTTTTTGCCACTGTTTAAAAGAAGGATCTCTCATCAGTATTGGTATAGTCTGTAATAGAAATTACATTCTATGTAGTTCATTCTTTTTAATTACTGAAATTCTTCCCATTAACGACAAATGACAAATCTAATTTTTGCCATCTATTTAAATCCAATTTTATCTCCTTCCATATTTTAATGTAATTATTTTGTAAAACTTAGAATTTTCCTCAGTAAGAGTCACCCCCAAATACTATATCTTTTTCACAACTTTAAAACCAGTTTTAAATTCCAATTTCTTCTGATTCTTCCACATTTATATTCTTAGGCAATATTGTCATCTTTAATTAATTTATTTTTAAACCCGCCATTTCTCCAAACATTTTGATCTTCCTCATAAAATACTCAATGTTCTTTAGCAGGTCAATACCATGTCATCAGCAAATGTGCTAAGTTTGTAATTGTGCATTTTAACTTGTAGTCCAGGGGTATCAAACTGCCGGCCCATTGGCCGGATGCATCACAAGGAAACCGTGACCACCCCATTGCCTTCAATGGGGAAAAAGTTCCGGGATGTCATGTGACGTCGCGAGTTTGACATGTCTATTGTAGTCCTTTTGCTCTGTTGTCTAATATCTCTATTTAACAGTTCCAACACCAGAATAAATAATAAAAGGACACCCCTGTCTTGTTCCTTTCTAAATTTCACATGATTTTGTCAAATCTCCATTCACCATAATCTAAGCTTTCTGAAGTATATAGAGCAGTGTTTCTCAACCTTGACAATTTTAAGGCATGTGGACTTCAACTCCCAGAATTCCACAGCCAGCATTGCTGGCTGTGGAATTCTGGGAGTTGAAGTCCACATGCCTTAAAATTGTCAAGGTTGAGAAACACTGATATAGATGGACTTAAGACCTTGTTTAAAGCCCGATCCAAAGTCCATCTTTTCCACTGCTTTAATCATAAAGGCCCAGTTCAAGTTGTCAAACATTTTTTTTGCATCCAGAAAAATTAATGCAACCTCTTTGTCACTGACATGTTTGTTGTTGTAAATGTTCAATTTTTATTCAAAATTACCCTTATGTTACCTTTTAGTTGTCTTTTTAGGTGAGAAGCCACACGGGTCTTCATGTATATAATCCTGTAAAACTTTTTTAGGTCTTTCAGCTAGAATAGATGTGAAAGTTTGTAGTCATTATTAAGGAGTGAAATTGGCCTGATAGTTTTCATTTATGCGTTACAGTAGACATGAATGCACCATTTGGGAGAATTGAAAGAAGCGGTTAGGAATCGATCATCATAGAGAAAAAAATCAATTTAGGTGAACCAGGAGTTGAAAATAACTTGATGGCACACAATCAGTTGGTTATCCAGTTTGGTGGTCTCTTCCTTTGGAGCGAGTTTTGGTTTCAACACTGGTTTGCACTTGGGAAATGGAAATATGGTAGCAGAGACTTGTTAGAAATGATTTTTTCTACAGAATGCTCTAAGGATGGAAGAAGAGGACTAAAGTGTAAGAGAAATGGACTTGGTGGATGTAATAAGCAATTTGTATTCTTGACCCCCCCTCTCTTGGTTTGTCCTGACAAGCTGTTTCTTCTTGCTATTTGCAGAGAGGAGCATATCCAGCATCCTTTGGGCCCTAAAAGAAGCCGCTTGGTTGATGAAGAGGAAAACCATGACCAAGGTATGCTTGGCTCTAATTCTGGGGTTTTAAACATCTGTTTCTAGTCTTCATGATACGTCAGATCAAACTATTACAAGTCACCGACTCAGATTTTGTTTAGAAAATAAAGCCGGTATGCAATACAGACTACAATGGGACAGATCAAAAATCATGACAAAGACCTGAAGTCATGCATAGCCTATTTTGCTGTCACAGTGCCAAGTTCTAGAAGCTACAGATGTAATGTTTGCTACTTGTTAAGTTGGATCAAATATAATGCTGGTTTAAAAGGACATTTGCTGTGCCCTAATGGAGCTCTAAATGACATCCTGATATTTATTTATTAATAAATTTATATGCAGCCCATGTCCCTATCAAGCAACTCTGGGCGGCTTATAACAGCAATATAAAACATTAAAAAAATAAATAAAAGACATATTCTGTTTATAATTCTATGTCAATAATTCTTCTAAGGACTACTGTTGCCAGCTCTTCTTCCAGGTGCATTAGCATCTTACTTGAGAATCCCAGTTTGTGTTATTTGTCATTTACTTGATGTTTTCAAGAAGAGTGAAAATCATCTGTCAGCCTAAGATATATCAGACCTTGAGGCTGAAAGTGGGTATTTAAGCATTATCTGGGTCCACATAGCCATACACTTGTTTACGTTTGTATAAGCTCTGCCTCCAAAGATAGAACAAAATTAGTCACACATCACATACATTAAGAAGAGACTGGACAGCCATTTGTCCGAAATGGTGTGGGGTTTCCTGCCTGAGCAGGGGGTTGGACTAGATGACCTCCAAGGTCCCTTCCAACTTTACTATTATTATTATTATTATCTCAATCATCGCACAGTCAGCCAGATGTTCAGACTGGATTTGGCATTTTGTCTACCTATCGAGTCCTTACCCAGGACCTGGGATAGGCAGATGTGGATGTTTGATGGTATTACAGGTATCGTCGCAGGATGGAAGCAGTTCCTAATAAGGCCGCCTTTTGCAATTGACTAATAGCGAATTTGTCAATGCCAATGGTGTTCAAGTGGTGCTCCAGTTGTTTTGGGATTGCACCCAAGGAGCCTATGACTATTGGTACTACCCTTGCTTGCTTTTGCCACAGTCTTTCTATTTCTATTTGTAGGTCTTTGTATTTTGTTATCTTCTCCAGTTCTTTCTATTATTATTATTATTATTATTATTATTATTATTATTATTATTATTATTATTATTATTATTTTGCTACCTGAAATACCTTTCTTAAGAAGCCTAGTCTCTCCAATTTCTCATAGTTGAATCCTAGATTTACTTGTGCTCCGTAGAGGAGCTCTGTGCCTTGCCTTCAATAAGCTTTATGACAGTGGTTCTCAACCTGTGGGTCGGGACCCCATTTGGGGTCGAACGACCATTTCACGGGGGTCGCCAAACAACGCAGTCCGCCCTTTTTTCCCCTTTTCCTTAGCTGTGCTACTCCCTTTTATTCTATTGGCTTTTGAAAGCCAATAGAATAGACTCTCTTGAATAGAGTCTAATTCTATTGGCTTTCAAAAGCCAATAGGAATTGTCCAGGCTGTCTCTGCCCTGCTGAGCCCGCCAAAAGTCCCATTCTGCAAACGGTGCTGCACCAGTTGAGTAGTCCTCGACTTACGACCGGTTGAGTAGTCCTCGACTTACGACTGGTTGGGGGTCACGTCATTAAAAAGGTTGAGAACCACTGCTTTATGATATTGGAATATATGAATGAGTGACAGCAAGTATTTCCAGCACCACTTTTTATCTATCCCTATTTTCACATTTGACTTTGGCCCTACAGATTCCAGTGATGAGGATGGACCATGTCCTTCCAGTAAGAGGAAGTGCCTGCGAATTGAAGAAGACGAGGACTGAGGAAATTGGAAACATCTCCCTTAGCATGTCAAAAAGACCAGTGAAAGCAAGCCTTGGGGCTACTGCCAGTTACCTCAAGAACTGGATTGGGCAAGATTAGAGAGCAGTCAACATCCCCAGGGAAAACATTAGGGAAGGAATACAGAAACTAAACTTTTATATCATAATAAAAATCTGTATGATCACCAATGTGGCGGGAGAATTAGAAAGAGTAAACAGCTCATAACTTCTGCCCTATGATTAGATGCAATTGTTGTTAATGCTAATGTGACAGTCACCTTTCAAACCGCTCCAGGTTGTTGCCTGCCCGCTCTTGCTTTCCTGGCATTCCTCAGTATCGTTTGCTTAGAGCAGGGGTAGTCAAGCTTGGCTCTTTTATGACTCGTGGACTTCAATTCCCAGAATTCCTGAGCCAAGCTTGACTACCCCTGGCTTAGAGTCACTAAGAATCACCCTTACCAGCTAGTTTGCCAAGCAAGAATGTGACATACTGGCTTTCCACAGTGTTTGGTTTGTTTGTGGATCTGCCTCTTTTGTCTCTGGTTTGGCTTAGATATCATGGGCTTATACTGTGTGTCACATTTTGCCTTAATTACCTGAACACATCAATATTGGTTTCTTCTGTTCCTCTGCTTTTTTCCTTTTGTGAAATTTCTTCTCCCAAAAAAAAAAAAAAAAAGGAACTGGAAGTAGGCCATTGCCAAGCCTTGCTAAAAAAGTAGTGATGGGATAATGATACAAGAGATATTAAAGTTGCAATTGCATGCATCTCTGATATTTCTGCCTTGCCTCCTTTGGTTAAGAGTTTGTTTTTACATTTGATCCTTCTGAAATCCGCCCAATGTCAGCGGATGATCTATAACAATTGTGGATATTTGTGTACTTCTTTGTTGTACTTTTGATATTTTTTTTTAAATATCTAAAAAATTCTGAAAAATAAAGTATAAAATATCCTGATGAGATTTCTCTGCCTTTGTCCTGCGCGTGACTGCTTAAAACAACCAGAAGATTTGGGATTTCGCCAGACATGAGACTATTGTAAAGGATTATCCTACTGATATTTCTGTTTTGCTTTCAATAGAAACAGGATGATTGTAGTAATTCCTAGTATTTTCAGGTTCAAACTGTGTATGTTTGGGCGGGGGAGGGTTTGTCCTTATTGCGATTGTGAGCATTATTTCCTACTTATGGAACAAGTATGAGGAGGCAGCTGCTGGCATTATGCCTTTTTCTAAGCCCACCTATGTTCCTTAAACTGGATTTGTTTTACCCCCAGTTCAATTAGCTCCTTTCAGTAAAATTGGCAAGTCAATTATGAGTTAGCATGCGTGCTGTCATTAGCATTGCAGTTAAGAAACTATTCCTTATCCCATGCTTTTTCTGTGGAGGGAAGCTCACTCCTTTACCTGTTCAGGGTAAAGAGGACATTCATTTTTGTAGCTGACCTCCACAGGCACATGAATAAATCAATAAACCAAACTGCCACAGTTTTAAGTATTGGCTTACTTTGGCATTAAAATAGAGTTACTCTAATTAAAGCAACAAAAGTCTTCTAGACTTCAGGTTGTGTAGGATGTTGTAAAGGTTCTATGCCAGTGGTGGTGAACCTATGGCACGGGTGCCAGAGGCGGCACTCAGAGCCCTCTTTGTGGGCATGCACGCCGTCGCCCCAGTCCTAGGCCTTCAGCTGGGTTTTATAAAATCTTTTCGCTTTGTGCAAAAAAAAAAAAAGGTTCAATCAGTCAATTTCAACTTCTCGTGGGGGAAAAGATCTTGCAAAGTTGGAATTGATTGATTGAACTTTTTAGTCCCACCCAGTCTGCCGTTACCACCTTAGCCACGCCCACCCAATGGGCCACACCTACCCGGCACCCGACAATGCATAAGTGAGTTTTGGGTTACAGTTTGGGCACTCGGTCTCTAAAAGGTTCGCCATCACTGTTCTATGCTATGTCACATGGAACTTTGCTGCCAGGACAAAACGACAGCCTCTTTGCTGCTGTTTCTGGTTGTTATTCTGATGCACAGATTAAGCCACTGTGGGTTGCGATTCATGTTCCCAATTGTAAATGCAATGACAGTAGGATACATCAGTCTTTAAGATGGGAGAGGTTGGAAGAGAAGGCTGGCCGGACAAGAGGCTCTTACTGAATGAACTAACCAAAAATGTCTGATGGAGGATTAGAGATCAGAATGGCTGACCATCGCTCAATCCATTGTAACTCCAGATGTGCAGACATAAATGTTTGTTCTATGCAAACAAAGCAACTGATATGCTGTTCTTCCCTTAATGCACTGCTCAGCATTACCTGTTTCTCCCTCTTATTATGATTCTACCTATAGGCTACTCAGGAATTTCTACCCCCTTCACCATAAAATAAAGGAAAACTGCATGAAACATAGGTATTCAATCAGATGAGTAACCCTATGGGCTTTGGCAGAAGATTAAGAGGCCAAAACGGTCCAGGGGCACAGAGTGTTGTAATGAGGTTTGCAGATAACACTGATTGCCAGAGATAAGAGTGTATAAAGACCAACTTTAATCGGTTCTCAGTTCACTCTGAAGCATTTTGTGTTTGTGTTGCCTCCTAAAGCCGGTAAGTTTCTCTTTCCCGGGGGAAGGAATGGGAGAGGGAAGGCATAGAATAGCTGTCAATATGAGCAAAGAAATGGGTTAATTTGGAAGTAAGACTAATGTGTCACGCTGTCAAGTCTGTGTTTCATTAGTGGGAGATCAGCATCCAAGGTAGAACCCTGCTGGCGCATTAACATAGCTGGTAGTGGCAAAAAAGCAGCTTAAATGCTATGAGCCAGTTGGCTCTTGCTGCACTAACTTGGTCTTTTGTTTGAATTATGGCACAAGTCAGACAACTGAATCCTAACTTGTGATTTGGGGGAAGCCCACTGTTTCCACAATCTGGGGTTCTCTAGATGTGCTGGCCAACCCTTACCAAGGCATGATGGCTGAGCAACATGGATAAGAGGACCCTAGAATGGGTGACCCTAGGTTGGTAGATTAACAAATCTTGTGAAAGATCACACCATATTCATTGCTTGAGCGTGACGCTTATGGTTCCTTATTTTGGAAAATGTAGTCCTAGAGTTCTAGGGTGTATGTATTTATCTATAAATAACTGAAGGCAGTGAACACATGCAACATACCTTCCTATTTTCTCCACAACAACAACCCTATGAGCTGGGTTGAATGCAGAGAGTGTGACTGGCCCAAGGTCACTCAGCTGGCTTTCATGGTCTCCTGCTTTCTAGCCTGATGGCCTGAAAGAGTAAGTTCTCAGCCAACTAAATGAAGGTAGATACCTAATGTCTCTTGAGTGTGCAAGTCTGCCCTTAAACTGAATTCAGCTTAAATTGATTGAATTTGCATTTTCACTGTGGCTAGGAAGCAACTTGACTGTATCAAGCCAAGTTCCACCTAGATTAGTCCTGGGGTTGCCAATGGACTGCCCACATGCAATAGAGGCCATTTTGTCATCTTCACTTTTTTTTGCTAGTTTCATCCATCTTACCAGATCGCCTTGACAGCTCCACAAACTCTAATTTACAAGGACTTTCAGGACTTTCCTTCCCTTGCTATTTGGAGAATTAGTATCCATAGAGAGTTGGGCCTTTGCTCTTTGGTTTAAGAGGTTTTTGGTGAGGGTTTTCTAAGAGGTTGTCTTCTGGAGCATTGTTATTGTTTTTCTCCTGGGTGAAAGAGAGGGGTGGGCAGGTATAGACCATCTGCCCTGTAAGCTCTTCCCTTCCATTCAGGTGAGAGCAGAGAAGGTAGGGATGGTATGGGAAAAAATAAATATAAAAAGCTAAAAACAAATCTACCAAAACAATCTAAAAGAAGGGGTAGGAGCATTAAATGCACGTAAAGGAGCATAGCAAACTAGATCAATCACAGTATAGAGCACTCTAGAATAGTGAACTAGCTTTTCATTAAAACTGGTTTATGGCACAGAAAATTTTCTGATAGATTTTAAGTATTGCTGTGCAGAACCGGGCAACATGTAGAAGGGTTGGTATGTGAAAGCAGGAGAGAGGTGTAAAATTGTCCTGTGACCTTGGTATTTATGCAGTAATGGTGAGATGAGGCAGGTACAAATGCCTCTGTAATATAGATTTTGGAGAAATACACATTCTGTTGTTTCTGCCAGTTGAGAATCACAGGTCATTCCTGGTGGGGGATCTTTCTGTACTGACCTTCAAGGATAGCTGAAGGGAGGGCATATCAATGTGCTAGAGTAAAGGCCCTCTAATAGTTAAATACCTCAAGATTAGTTAAGTATGCCTTAGAGGATGCCAAGTATCTGTTGGATTCATTGGCAATAATGGTTGGAGATCTGACTAGGCCTGTGTCTGCTACACATTGTTTAATGAGCGTTTTGGCCTAATATCCCATGCTGAGTAGAAGACCTGGAGAGAAGCTCAAGGAATTCAGGCTCCCAAAACAAAGAAAGATAGTGTGATTCTCTCAAGCAGTTTTTTTTTTTCATTGTTCCTCACCTATGAACAGAATCTTGGCAAACCATCCTCATAAAGCATGTACTCTGTGAACTATTAGGGAGGAGCAGTCTTCACCCTCTTTCTCTCACATTTTTAATCTGAGAGTTCACATCTATCTGAACTGAGTTCTTTCTCCTCTGGAATACACTTCCTTCCTCCTGGGAATCCAGACTACATTCCATCACAAGGATGATGTTTTAGTTGTCATTGTCTTTTTCCATGTGGACTAAAATTTATCCTTCATAGTTAGTGGGGCAAAACAAATTTAGGCACTTGGCAAATGGCACATACTTATGACAGTTGCTGCGTCCCAAGGTCATGTGATCCCCATTTGTAACCTTAGCTGGCTTCTGACCAGCCAAGTCAACGGGAGAGGTCAGATTCACTTAATGACTGAATGTCATATAAGGAACGGTTGCTGGAATTGGGTATGTCTAGTCTAATGAAGAGAAGGACAAGGAGGGACATGATAGCAGTGTTCCAATATCTCAGGGGCTACCATAGTTAAACTGGTCACCCACACTCTAGCTTCACTTTCATGAGGCCTGTCTCTAGCCTTAGGGTGACACTGGAGACACATTTTAGAACTTGAAGGGCCAATCTTGGAAATTTGGTCTGAACAAGTTCCAATGATACAAAAGTGGAAAGGGGGCCCACCATAGAGAAGTCCTATTGGCTTGGTTTCAGAGAATTTGAGAGCTGCAGGAATGACAGAAACTCTTGCCAGTACTATTTAATATCTGCATAAAGCCATTGGATCAGGTCATCCATCTGCATGGAATGCAAGATCATCAATGTGCTGGAGAGATCAAGTTGTACTTCTCTGCCCTGACCAAGTGATGCTCTCAAAGTGCTTTCCAATACCTGGAGACTGTGATGATCTACCTAGGGGAGAACATGATTCAACTCTGCCAAGCTGAGTGGTTGTGATTTGGATATTTTTCCATCTCTAATTCTTCCTGGGGTGCACTTCTTCAGCTTGGGCATCAATTGTTCCCATTTCTAGACTGGAAGTCCTTGCTCACATCAATCGATGCCCTTAGTCATTTTTTTTACAGTTGGATTACTGCAACTTGCTTTACATATGGTTGCCCATGAAGGGCATTGGAAGCTGCAGTTGATCCAGTAAGCAACACTGAGGGCAGTTTTTGGTATCTCTCACTATTTCCATATAACATCACTGCTCTGAGGCTTTTGGGTACAATTCAATGTGCTGGTCATTATCTATAAATCTGTCCCTCCCCCACATAGGGACAGGGTCCTTAGCAGGACCACCATTCTCCCATTGTTTCTGCTTGTCATACCAATCTAGCAGATAGCACAGGTTCCAGGTCCTTCCATTAAATGATGTCATCTTGTTGAACTCAGGAACTTTGCCTCCTATACCTGGATGGCCACAACCCTAGTAGTCTTTCATAGGGCTTTGAAGATCTAGTCCAGTGGTTCTCAACCTGTGGGTCGGGACCCCATTTGGGGTCAAACAACCATTTCATGGGGGTCGCCAAACAACACAGTCCATCATTTTTTCCCCCTTTTCCTTAGCTGTGCTACTCCCTTTTATTCTATTGGCTTTTAAAAGCCAATAGAATAGACTCTCTTGAATAGAGTCTAATTCTATTGGCTTTCAAAAGCCAATAGGAATTGTCCAGGCTGTCTCTGCCCTGCTGAGCCCGCCAAAAGTCCCATTCTGCAAACGGTGCTGCACCAGTTGAGTAGTCCTCGACTTACGACTGGTTGAGTAGTCCTCGACTTACGACCGGTTGGGGGTCACGGCATTAAAAAGGTTGAGAACCACTGATCTAGTCCTTTCTACTGTAGATGGGATTTTAACATTGGAATGTAACATTTGACTCAAGGATCATGGGTTATTGTTTTTTAACTGCTGTTTTTTTTTAATGTTTGTATGTTGCCCAGGGGTGGGTGGCTTTCTATATTATTTAAATGAACTAACAAATAAATTTCTTCCCATTGTAGCAGTGCCCAGAGAAGCTGACATGTATTTATCACCCTCTCTGATACTCTTGACTTTCCTTGGCCTCCTGCCGCATCATGGATTGGGAGGGCATTCGGCGACTACAATTGATTCAAGAAACTATACTGAAAATTCCACCTCAGATTCCAGCCTTGCTTCTCTCCGCACTTTGCTCGCTTCCATCTCTTCTAATTCCATCCAGCTGTCTGGAAAGGAGCTTTCTTGCAGTGACTTAATGCCTGCTAACCTTGAACATTTTAACACTGTGCCTCGACCAGCCCAGATTATGATTCAAGCTACCCTGGCGCTTGCCTTGCAAAATGCAGGCTGCAGCCAACATGCCGAAACCCTTGGGCTAGACCTCTACCAGGAACTAGGGCAGAAAGATGCAAGTGCCCTCCTGTTGACAATGATAAAGGTCCTGGGCACAGCTAAATCTACAGGTGAAAATACAAGCTTTGCTGCCCTAGAATTCAACTTGGACCAATTAGCCCAGAAACAAGCTTGGCACTGCCGAGGCCTGGTGCAGGTCAATGGAGCTCTTTTGCATGGCCAGGTGTCCCATGAATACAAATCGTTTCCAACAGCTGCTGCATCCTGTCACAATTTGGGGAATGTTTGTGGCGGAGTGGTCACCAATGGCAGCGAATTCTTCCAAGTGGTGCTTAGAAATGGCAGCTACTTCTGGCCACAGAATGGCTCTCATTCCTGGCTTCATCAGTGCCACTGGCCTTCACGAGTGCAACGTTCATCACCAAAAGAGTGTGTAAATGACACGGAGCAGAGGGTACACAAGGTTTTGGGATTCATACCTGGAGTTAGCCCTCTATATAACTTCGCAGCTAGCATATACTACTATGTTCAAGACTGCATTGACTTGGCTAAGGAGCGTGCTATAGAGGGGGCCATAGACGTGGGTTTTGATTCCTTGGTTGCTCTGTCTGGGGGGGCTGCGACTCCCTTTAGGATGGGGGTTGCTATGGTAGTGAAACCAGTGTTCAAAAAAGGTATACAGGCTATCATTGACGAACATCAGAAGGAAAAGCAATCGCCTTGTCCAGTCCCCACCAACGTCACCAAAAACTAATCCAGGCATTCTCAAACTTTGCACTTGCTATGATCACCTAAAATAACAAATGAGTATGTGCAACCCATCCAATAAAATTTCTGTATTGATGCTGTTGCAGTTAAGCCTGAGCAAGAAATAAATATATCACTTAAATAATTAAATTTTAATCTATATACTATGATTCTTGAACTAGATAGTGATGAGAGCAGGACACCCTCCCCTTCACCCCAAAGGGAGAATACCTTGGCAAATACAGGAAGAACCTGACACAAACCAGCCTGACTCAGAAGCTGAGGCTAAATAAACAAACACTCTACACACACTGGCTACAAAGTATCAAGTCTAAAACACAGGAATGCAGAACTGGCTATCAACAATTAAGTTTGATAGGATTAAAATAGAAACACTAAGAAGTACATAATAAAATTAATTACACTGGATCCCTCCTGGGGCTAAGATTAAGATTTCTCTAGGCAGAATTGATAAAGAAATTAATCCATCAATAGACTCTGTTTGACAAATTTAGAAATGAGTTTTAAACTCATGAATCAGATATGACAGTTTTGAAAACCAAGAAAAGGTATAAAAACTTATGTTTGAGGACCATTCTGTCTAGCTAGGATTCATGCTGAATTGTCACTCAACTTTAATCTCCGTGATTAAACCTCTCCAGTAGTTGGCTTCATGTTCTATTTGTTCTTCTCCAAGCCGTTTGCAAAAATCCCAGCTGAAAGAGCCTGAACCGGGGAGTTCCTCCCAACAATAGGTTCAGGCAATTAACCAAGGACCAGAACAGGGACCAAAGATTGATATATTAATTTTGCTTATCTAAGTCTGAACAGTTTTTTTCAAAGAAAGCTCCAACACCTTTCATTTACATCTTTCCCACGTCCCTGGCCCCCCAAAGTGGGGATGTCACAATCCTAAGTTTGAGAACTCTTTATTGAAGGTATTACAAATTATATCAGTATTTTAAAAATAGGTGCTGATACTTAAGTGACAGAAAATGGCAGATGCTTTGCTATTTTCTTTTTTCTAAATCAGTGGCTTTTAGATGCCCAGTTGCATAGGGTGATTTTTTTTTTTTTTTTTACAAATCACTGTGTCAAACAGAGCTGGGCATAGTAGTTTTGCATTTTGGATGGTCTGGAGAATCCTCAGAGGGATATGAATACCCAAGCAGAATTCTGAGCTTCATTCAGAATATTTTATTATAGGTCTCCTATCTTTGAAAAAAATGGGGGAGGAGAAGGGAGAATGTGTATAAAGGTTTATTATAATGTTCCCAGAGTCCTCACTGTTATATGTGAAGACTGACAATCAAGAATCTCACTAGAAATCCTCTCAAAAGGGATAATCCCTTGTTTTCTTACAGTGGCAAGGATAGTCTTCTCATTTTATTTTATTTTTTGCTTCCGAGTGACATGCTGCCATTGCTCTTCTTCTAGGGCTCCATTTCTTCTAGTAGTTGTTTCTTCCTTGCTGCGTTCAGTTTGTAGACAAGACATCTGCCTTTTCCAGGAATTCCTCATTTTCATGGATGAATCTCAAGTGGAGAACCATGCCTTAGACCAGAGGTCCCCAACTTTTTGGGCACCAGGGACCAGTTCCGTGGAGAAAGGTTTTTCCACGGATCAGAAAATGCGGGGTTTTGCGTGCTGCCTGCATCCCATGGATGGGGCTTTGCTTATTTGTGCAGACCAGTTGCTGGCATGCCATGGACTGGGGGTTGGGGACCCCTGTCCTAGACCCTACACTTTCTCCTCCAAAAATATAACCAGTTTGTACTGGTGCAGTTATAGCTAAAGCCCTCCTTGGGTAGGAATACAAACACAGCGCACACTATGCAAGTCACTACAATGCTAACCTCTTTCTCCATGCCTTTATTGCTCTTAAAGCGGATCCAGATAGCTATTCCCTTAGCTTTCCTGATTTAGCTGAAGGAATGCTATATGTGTGTGTGTGTGTGTGTGTGTGTGTGCGCACACATACACACACACAAACACACATAAAATGGTGTCCCAAAGGTGCTTTTTCAGGCGGCAACTGCATTGTTTTTCTTTGAAGATGTTTCGCTTTTCATCCAAGAAGCTTCAGAGCTTGGATGAGAAGCGAAATGTCTTCAAAGAAAAACAAGAAAGTCCAGTTGCCCCTTGAAAAAGCACCTTTGGGACAACCATGACCTGGATGACTAAGAATCTCCATAGACATATATAACGGCGATATAGCCTATATAACGGCAGGGAATCCTGCGCTGCCATTAAACGCTCACATGAGGGAAGAGAGCCAAAATACGCATTTAACTTCTTTCAGAACAGGAAGCTTCCTCTAGACATGAATTCGATAGATTTGAACCCAACGAACCCTCTCCCCTCCCCGCCAGACAACCCGAACATCACCCATGCAGACTCAAACCGGAAAGTCAACACGCTTGCACTCCGTCAGCCAATAGGCAGCGTCCTCTTCATTTACATAATCCTTTCAGGTCCCGCCTCCATTTCTGACATCATTCCTGGGAAATCGAAATCTCCAAGGTCCGAAAGTCGGCTCTTCTTCTGACAGCACCTACTCCCTCCGCTTCTAGGCGAAAGCTCAGACTTTCGTCCAATCACGGAAAGGATGGGCGGAGCTACCCTGGGTGTTGAAGGCGGGCGGAGGGGGGCAGTTTTTCGCAAAGAGCTTGAATTGCGAGCTGTACAATAACATTCCCGGGAGGAAGAGCGGTGGCTTCCTTTGGTAGGTAGCGGTTTTCGCGGGGACTTGCAGGGCTCAGAGATCTGTGGCCACTTTGGGGTTATTAAACGTGGTCAGTGAATGTATAGGGGGGGGGGGTATGTCCATTCGGAGGGAAACAGCAAATATAAAGTTAAGAAAAACGAAGGGATCGACAATCCGGCGTAGAAAACAAAGTGCACCTTATAGGGAGCAAAAGATTGTGGAATTAATCTTAGCGAAGCCCAAAGGCTTTTGCAAAATTCTCGAGAAAAGCGGTAAATGAGGGATATCCGCTGATGAAAACTGCCCTATCTTTTCTTTCGAAGTTGGGCTGCTTGCTTGCTTCTCCCTGAATATCCCGTCTACCGCCCATCTGGCTTCCTTATTTGATCGAGCTGATCGGTTCCACTTCAGTATGGCTTCTGCTTGACTATTTGCAAGCCGACACGGTAAAGCAGAAGCTTGAAGTCGGGAAACCAGCGGTTTTGAAGGCACCCTTCCTTCTAGTTCAGTCAAAAAGCTCCTGCTGGCGGTGATGCTGGGCTTGTTTTCAGCCAGCTAAACGGTGGTTGTAGGGTGCTGCATAGAGCAGTGATGGGGAACCTTTTAGAGACCGAGTGCCCAAACTGCAACCCAAACCCCACTTACGCAATCGTCGGGTGCCGGGTGGGTGTGGCCCATTGGGTGGACGTAGCTGCGGTGGTAACGGCAGACTGGGTGGGACTAAAAAGTTCAATCAATCAATTCCAACTTTCCCCAGAAGTTCCCAGAAGTTGAAATTGACTGATTATTATTATTTTTTTTGCACACTGCGGCGGAGGCCTAAAGCGAAAAGGTTTTATAAAACCCAGCTGAAGGCCTAGGACTGGGGTGACAGCGCACGTGCCCACAGACAGGGCTTTGAGTGCCGCCTCTGGCACCCGTGCCATAGGTTCGCCACCACTGAAGAGCCTCTGGATGTGGGAGGGTAAGGCAGGATTACAAGCTTGCTTGATCCTGACTGGTGGGGTCAGACACGAGTTTGATTGTGAAATTAACGAAAAAAATAGGATTCGTTTGATTGATATTCCTGCTGGTTATAGGTCAGGGATAGATTGATATTCCTGCTGGGTATTGGTCAGGGATAGGCAACCTTGGCTCTTTTATGACTCGTGGACTTCAACTCACAGAATTCCTGAGCCAGCCTGGCTCAGGAATTCTGGGAGTTGAAGTCCACGAGTCATAAAAGCCAAGGTTGCCTACCCCTGGTATAGGTTGATCAAAGAATTGTTTCAGCAAGGAGCTGGCGGTGTGGTGAAATTAAGTTTCATTTTCAAGAAATTGGGCAGAGCCAGCAAACTGCATCAGACTGTTGTGAGCCACTTAATCAAATGTTAAACACTTTTCCTGGCTTTCTGATTTAATTTTCAAAAAGAAAACACTGAGCTGCAGTTCCATTTACTGGTCTTCCCATTCTCTGTTTGTTCTCTGTCAGACTGTCTGACATCTACTAATTTATTTAATTTTTGTGTGTGTTTACCTTTGAGTCAGCTTTAGTTTGTTATTGATTAGTCTCAGAGCCATTTCAACAGCAGTAAAATAAAAGGTTAAAATATGAGGTCTACTTGCAAGATAAAATAGATAAAAGGAAATACAATAACAAAAATGCATATGTCCTAAATAAAAAAGGGATGTTTAGATAAATGCATTGCTTTTATACAGTACCCCAATCTCTTCAGATTCTTAGCTGAACTGTCTTGTCTGTAAACTTAGCAGTTCTGCTAACAATGTTCACATTAGAGCCCAGGGGGAAATAGCACAATTTGTGATTCAGACTGTCCAGTCAGATTCCTCCTGACAACTGTCTGGGCTCCACTTAGTTATTTTTGGAAAGATTTAGGAAGTGGTCTGCCTTTGGCTTCTTCCTAGAACTGAAAGAGAGGGATGGCCTAAGACAGGGGTAGGCAACTTTGTCTCTTTTATGACTCGTGGACTCAGGAATTCTGGGAGTTGAAGTCCATGAGTCATAAAAGAGCCAAGGTTGCCTACCCCTGGCCTAAGAGACTCACCAATTTTGTGCCTAAAGCGGGAATAGAACTCATGATCTCCTGGTTTCTCAGCTCAACCATTGCACCACACTAGCTCTTCTTATTTGTTTGGTTTTTGTGTTTGATTTATATCCCTCATTTAGTATAGAAGTTAAAGTAACCCCACCTCCTAATTTGCCTCCAAACAACAACTCTGTAAAGTTGTTGTTGTTGTTGTTGTTGTTATTGTTATTATTATTATTAGTTGGGTTGAGGGAAAATGAGTGGCCCAAAGTCATCCACTATGATGGAATGTGCACCTGCAGCAGCAGAGGGGGAGGATTTTTGAGATGCAGATCAAGAGATGTGCAATCCTGAGCTGGTGGAGGGAAGGGAGAAGAGATTCAGAATTTTCAGGATATATCTAGTAGGTTAGAAGTTTATAGCTTTAGTCTGGCAAGATTCAGTCCATTAGATATAAGCAAATAAAGGACTGAATTCAATTGGATTGCACTGTCTTGTCCCTGAGCTTGAACCCCACACCCAGGGAACTTTTGGAGCTGAGGAAAGATTAGAACCTGGATCTCTGTGCTTTTAGTTCAACACCATCATCAAGACACCATGTGGGCTCTGTGGTATTCTATATATTTCAATACTGATTCCCATACAATCCTCTTCAAATGGTTTACAGTAAATATATATTTTAATGTTCGGTATGAAACTTGATACATTCATGCACTTTCTTTGTTCCTTTACTTTTTCTTTTTTTGTAAGCAGCCAACAAAAATGTTAGAAGCACAGAAAGCAGAAAATTCATCTGACACATAAAAATTCCAACATAAGATCTTTTTATACTGTCTGTAAATATTATACTATTAAAAAGTCTCCGGCCCTGATAATAATACAACTAAGGCCAAGATTTAAAGACTTGTTCATAAGGGAAAACAGGATGGCCAATCCACACACGACATTTCAAAATCCATTAAAAACACAATTGCTATCTTCATCAACTAAAATATTTTGTTTTATGGAGTATTATGTATTTTGCTTCGGTATGTTATCAAAGCAGGATAAGAATCTAAAAATAAAATTTGTTTTCTGGAGTAGGGGTGATTATATTAAAATCAAATTAATAAGTATCAAAGATTACTCAAACCCCCCCTCCCCCCACACACAAATTTAAGACTCTACTTCATCAGAATATTGTATAGCAAAGCAGTTATAAGACAGTTATCTGATTGGCAGAAATGAGAAAATTCTAAAACAGGAAAGTCCTGGTTAAAACCTTTTTGAACTCAAGAGGAATTATATCTAGCTAAATAGATATAGATTTGTTCTGTTAATTGATTATTAATCTAAATAGGACCCCTTCCAAAGTTCATGATAATGTATTGTAGCTCTAAACCAGGCACAGTTATTAGCTCTGTCTAGAGGTATATTAGCAGAAGAAGGATCCTGTGTAGATTCAATGATTGCATCATGTTCCAACCAATATTTCTTTTGCTATTTGGCCATTTAAAAACTTTGGAAAGCCTATTGCAGTGGTTCTCAACCTGTGGGTCGGGACCCCATTTGGGGTCAAACGACCATTTCACAGGGGTCGTCAAACAACGCAGTCCGCCATTTTTTCCCGTTTTTCCTTAGCTGTGCTATTCCCTTTTATTCTATTGGCTTTGAAAGCCAATAGAATAGACTCTCTTGAATAGAGTCTAATTCTATTGGCTTTCAAAAGCCAATAGGAATTGTCCAGGCTGTCTCTGCCCTGCTGAGCCCACCAAAAGTCCCAGTCTGCAAACGGTGGTGCACCAGTTGAGTAGTCCTTGACTTATGACCGGTTGAGTAGTCCTCGACTTACGACTGGTTGGGGGGTCACGGCATTAAAAAGGTTGAGAACCACTGGCCTATTGCATTCCAGAAGTAGTATTTTTAGTTAGATTTTCTTTCTATTTACAAAGAAGGAGGTTTGTAATTTCCAATAGCCCCTGTGCAATATTCTTATAGGATTAGTCCCTTAAATAATCAAGGAAAATGGGAATTCCTTAGTAAAATCTAAGTCTAAAATCTAAATTCAACTGCACTAAGGATCTCCCCTGTATTTGTGCAAAGGCTTTCTGCTTTTCACTACTTTTTGGAGTGAGCTATGCTGTCAAGACCTCCTGATTTCTAAAACTGTGCAGATATTTCCCTGCTTTGTTTGTTTACAACATTTGACTCATTCTGACATTTTTTCCTTTGTCTCACATCCCCTTTGCTTTCATTCAGCTATGAAACTCATACTTATTTTAGCCTTAATGCTGACAGAATATGGAAACAGAACAAACCTTGTATTTTCTACATTCATGAAGCTTTCATTTGATTTGCATTGCTCTCTTTAATCTTTTTTTTTATTTGATTTTCTTTGCTCTCTTATTCTCAATTTCAGAAAAGACAACAAAAAGCTTCCTGAAAAAGGAAAAAGCTGCTGATGTCAAGGGAATATTGTGGTTTAAATCATATGCCCTTTCATAGTTAGGCATGCCCCTTAGCATAGGATACCTTCCTTTTGATACTTGTGAAGACTTCTAAATGGGCCCATTATACAGGAACTTGTTTAAGTTCTGTATGTACAGATTGGGTTTTATCAGTTGTAGCAAGGAACTCCTTACTGAAACCTGGCTACTGATTATATGCGCACATGCACACGCACACGCACAGAGAGAGAGAGAAACACACATGCAAACACACTTTTTAAGTACCTGGTAAGAAATTCTTGTAAGAGAAATGCCCACTTGAATAAGGAACCAAAACTTTAAGTAATAGATGGAGCAAAATAATTTTCACTGGCATGCACAGCTACAGTATGAACTGCGCCCTGGCCCAAAAGAACGCAAGACAGCCTGGTACTAAGCAAGGTTATGGGTTATACAGGCATGGTGGTGCAGTGGTTAGAATGCAGTATTACAGGCTCATTCTGCCAGCAGTTTGATTCTCACCGGCTCAAGGTTGACTCAGCTTTCCATCCTTCCGATGTCAGTAAAAGGAGGAGACAGATTGTTGGGAGCAATAGGCTGACTCTAAACCGCTTAGAGAGGGCTGTAAAGCACTGTGAAGCGGTATATAAGTCTAAATGCTCTTGCTATTATATTCCTTTAGAAAGGTTACATAGGAATGATAACGCAAACTAAATCATACTATGACTTTACAGCTGGAATGTCACATCTGATAACACTATGGGATGACCTTACTTTGGCTACCTCAGTATGTCTACATTTTTCCTATTAATGGGACTCTAACCAACCCTAATTAGAGAAATTAACCACAATGGCATTTACAGTATTTTATTGCCTCCCTTCACACAGAAGGAAAAATCATGGTCTCATTTCTCTTATTTTCTCCTCTTTTTCCATGGTTATCAGGGGCTCCTTTGTATTTCTGCATCTTTTTCATACTTATGCCACGCACAAGCCATCATATATGACAATCCTGTGTAAAATGTATTTTTTATTTTGTACTTAATGTAGACATTCTTTTGAAAGAGAACATTTGTGATACAAAAGGATTACTTTTTTTCAGTTGATTGGTGTTCTAGCAAAGGGTTCCTGATGTCTTTGGTTGCTTAGGTGTGTGGAGTTCATCAGCATCTTCCAACATGTCCCAATGGCAACGCATTCAAATGCTGGACAAGATTCACATGAACCAGATAGATTGTCTCTACTCAGATGACTGCTTACCGATGGAAGTGCGTCAGTATTTAGCCTACTGGATTGAGGAGCAGAGCTGGTAATGCTATTTCTGTCATAGTCGTTTCCATGAAAGTAATTTGTCTTTGATCTGCTGGTTTTTATTATCAACATCGCTTTCTGTACAATGGTGTTTTTCCCCCAACTATGAGTGAAGGTCTTTCTGACATACATCATGTGGTGTCAGCTAACTCTGAAATGATAGACCATGATAGAATGTTAAATATTCCTTGCCTTACAATAGTTCATTTACTGACCGTTCAAAGTTACAACCACACTGAAAAAAATGACATAACTATTTTTCACACTTAACAATTGTCGTAGCATTCCCCAAGGTTTACATTTGGATGGTTGACAACTGACTCATATTTATGATGGTTGCAGTGTCATAGGGTCATTTGATCACCTTATGTAACCTGACAAGCAAAGTGAATGGGGAAGTCAAATTCACTTAACTAGCTTAACAGCTGCACTGATTCACTTAACAACTATGGCAAGAAAGGTAGTAAAATGGGGCAAAACTCACTTAATAAATGTCTCAGCAACAGAAATTTTGAGCTCAATTGTGATCGTAAGTTGGACTATCTGTACAAAAGTTTGAAGTCTACTGATTGTATTAACATTATTAAATGCATGCACTTAACAGAGGAAAGGAAGCAATTTCCTGATTTAAATGCAGTGCACTACCCAGCTGTAGTAACAACTACGTATTTTTTCAGTCACCTTAAAGAATCACAGTGCAGTAGTAATTTGAGAAGCCCATCCAAAAGTTCTGTCATATAGGTAGATCCTTAAAAATGTGTATTTAAAGATCTAAGAACATTTATTAATCTAAAAATCTGGTAGGTTATATTCTCTTCACCATTGTCAGAGGAAGAGCAAATATAAGAATTATAAGAATATTATGCTTCATGTAAATAAGCAGGCTAGTGGTACATTTTGCAGACTTTCTTAGCTATAAATTCAGAAAATTCATAAAATTATTTCCTAATTGTGGATTTGATGATTCAAATCTTGACTCCTGGTAATTGACTTGACTAGTTCTTACAGTTTTCTTGGCAAGATTTCAGAAATGGTTTGCCCTTGCTTCTTTCTCAATGTTGAGAAAGAGGGATTGGCCCAAGGTCACCCAGTTGGCTTTGGGGGTTAAGGCAAGACTAGATCTCATAGTCTCCCAGTTTCCAGTTCAGTGTCTTAACCATGATGCCAGTTTTTTTCCTCAGAGACATATATTACCTAAACTGTGACCCAAGAGCCATAAGACCTGGTATGCTATGGTTCCATTTTCTGACTATCAACACTCTCGTTACCTTCCCACCTCCAACACTACATGGGAATGCCTTTTTTGGCAATGACTTTCTCTTTATCTCAGCCAAGGCCATCTGAGTCTTGCTTTGCATTTTTTTCATTGTGCTCTTTTAGGAGCCAAGCCGTAGAACTGGACCCCTCACAAGCCAGCTATCTTTTCCATACCATGCTGTCTTTACTGGATGATCAGATCGGAGGTCTGGCGTTGGGGGAAGAGAAAAGTGCTAACATGTTACTCAAGCACAACTTGCGCCGTTCAAAATTGCATCTACAGGTATGCGTAGGACATGTATGTGTGTGTGTGCCTGCACAGTGGGAAAGGGCCAGAATGAGATGGGAACCTCTCTTCAAGACACCAAGACAAGAGGAAGAACTGAAGGATAAAAGACGTTGACATTTTTTAAGTGCAACCACCTCTGTCAATGTTTCTCAACCTTGGGCGCTTTTAAGATGTGTGGACTTCAACTCCCAGAATTCTCCAGCCAGTCATGCTGAAGTCCACACATCTTAAAGTGGCCAAGGTTGAGAAGCATTGACCTATGGTAGTTTAGAATCTTATCCTTGCTGGCCAAGAGAGACAAAACGTGTGTGCATGTATTGGGACTCTCTTAGTTGCCCTGTGGACCTTTCCTGCATTCATATGATGGCCATGATAGCTATCCTGGTGAGATTTCATATCTCAGGTAGAAAGAAGAACCTAGCTAGTAGCAGTGGAGAGCTACTTAGAAACAAAGAATGAAAGACTATATCTCGTTTTTCACTGGAGCCACCCAGATGACCTGCAGGTGGTGATTCCAAAAAGGTCTGGTGTTTTTGGCAGCCGAGGATATAAAAAGTTTTTGTTTGGGTACAGCCTTACGCTTTTCTATCTTGTTGTGCCCTGCCTTCCAGAGCAAGTATCAAGACCATCCCCAGGAACTAGCCATTGCTATTGATGCTCTACTGAGACAGGAGAGAGCAATTCTGTCTGAAGCTTTTGCTGCCTCTCAGGTAAAAAAAAAAAAAAAACTCTGCTTGGTCTTCTGCCTGCCTGCCTTGTGCAGTCACAAAACAGTCTTCTCCATCTAGCAATACTTGGTCACCCTTGATTTACTAAATGCCCATTCTATCCCAGCGAAGGAAAATATTCGTCTCCCAATTTATTTTATTTATATACATTTCTATGCTGCTCATCTCCCTTACAAGATGACTCTTGATGGCAAATTGTCACAAGGTGACAATTTCCCCAAGAGTTTGTTTTAAACTAGTACCCAACCCATAATTCTACTGAAATATGAACTGGTTTATTACAGATAGTCCTCAACTTACAACAGATCATTTAGTGACCATTCAGAGTTACAGCGGCACTGAAAAAAGGGACATGCCCGTTTCTCACAGTTACGAACTTTGCAGCATCCCCATGATCGTGTGATCAAAATTCAGGTGCTTGGCAACTGACTCATATTTATGACGATTGCAGTGTCCCGGGGACATATGATCACCTTTTGTGACCTTCTGACAAGCAGTCAATGGGGAAGCCAGATTTACTTAACAATCGGGTTACTAACTTATCAACTGCAGTAACAACAACTGTGGCAAGAAAGGTCGTAAAAGGGGGCAAACCTCACTTAACAAATGTCTCATTTAACAACAGAAATCTTGGCCTCAATTGGGGTCGTAAATCAAGGACTACCTGTACTAAATTCCGACCCATCCCATTGAAAGAAAAAAATTCCTCTCCCAATTTATTTTAGTTATTTATTAAATTTCTATGCCGCTCATCTCTCCCACACGATGACTCTTGATGACAAATTGCCACAAGGTGCCAGTTGTCACAAATTGTCACAAGGTGACATTTTCCCCCAAAGTTTGTTTTATATCAGTAACCAACCCTTAAATTTTACTGATGTGTGCATTGGTTATTATTGTGGTGAAGGCAGCTGTTGCTAAACCTGGAAAGGGTCAGGCGTCCCCCTCTGTATACAGACTGTGCAAATTGCAGTATACATATGATGAATTCAATAAAATTAGGAGTTGGTTTACAGCAGTGTATTTGACTTGTCATGTGTTCAGTGAGGGTGGAATTGTGAGGTCATGAGGCTAGCATTACAAAGACAATAGCTTCTTGAATTAATCAAGGGCTGTCTTCTTGGAATTGATGTGTTACTTTGCTGGGTATTCAGTTTTATCTCCTATGTTTTAATCAGTATTCTTTATGGCCAAATGTTTCTGTAGTTGTGGAAAGAGTTTGTTTTTCCTGGGAATGTGGGCTTAGGACAGGAGAAATTTACAAACACTAATGCTGTATTTTCTATTCCACCAGCATCACACTTCCAGCATAATTTTAGTACATTCTCCTCTCTGGGATCTGCACCAAAATGAAATGCATCCCAAGCTTTTAATTTTACGTATGCTTTGGGTGAACATTTCTACTGGGCAATTCACTGAATTTGCAAGGAAAATCCAGAAACAGAGAGAAAAAAAAAATCTTGTGTGCTGTGATAGGAAAAATAAAAAAAAAAGAATAAAAGAATGTATAAAATAGCAGTGCTATAAAAATAAGGAGAAAGATCTGAGGATTTGAGCAAGATACATGATGTCTCTTTTAACAACAGTAACTTGGGGGGGGGGAAAGGCCTTTCAGTGATGATCCATACAAATGAGTTAGCAATTTTTGTGTATTTTCTCTTCCTCTCTCTTCAGGCAAGTGTGGATCCTCCCCGTAATCCTCCTGTGCCTACCGCACAGCATAAGATTGAGGAGCGGCTAATGGAGATACGCAAGTCAATTCAGGTGAGAGTGGGAAGCCCGGCAGTGCTTTTTAACTCTTTCCCGCAAAATTCTAGGTTGCTAGATAACGTCATTTCAGGTTGATGCAAGCCACAGCATGGCTTAGTTTATACTTTATATTAAGCCATGGTCTGCTTGAACTGTGCTCGAGTTAACAGCAGCTGAGTTCATGTAATGCTAAACCCTAAATCAAAGTTTGCAAACTACACAGTCTGGATGCACAACTAATCTGCAAATATTATGACTTATGATAATATGCACTAGACCTCTGGTTTTTTCAACCAGCCATGGTTAGAACAAAACATGGAAGTGTGTGTGATGTTTGAACTAAGCTATTTCATTTTTATTTTATTTTATTATGATTCTATTCCCACGTTCACACTTTTGTTTAGGTAATAGATACAGGAAGGGGAAATTAATTTTGCACCTAAAAATTATGTATTAGAAAGTCATATTCTTGTTGTTTAGTTGTGTCAGTTATTAATCAAATCCTGCCCAGAGAGAGGAATGAAGGGTTTAAGGGTAAAGACAGGAGCATTTTGTCTCCCAGAAATCTCTCATTTGCATTTTGAAAGATATACCAGGAAGTGGGTCCATATTAGTCTCCTGAATAGTTCGGGGTTTATTTAGGGGTTACTAAGAGTGGAACTAAGAACAGGCATTTGATTTTGAATAAGAAGCCAAACCCCCTCCCCCCCCCCACATTTTATTGGCACACACTTATGCTGGGATGCTCCAAATGGAGTAAAATGCTGTTCCTGATTGGCCTCCTTTGTACTGATTGCATCCTTGCCATTGGTTCTAGCTGTGCATCACAGAATGGAGATTGAGCCTGAGGTCCTGTCTTTTCAGTGTGTCCTATTAATTGTTGTACTTCTTCAAAACTCCTTGCTTGATCTGTGCTTTGATATCTGACTGTATTCCACAGGGCCTGAAATGTTTGATTGAGCAACACGGTGATTTGCAGGATAATTTTGATTTTTGTTATCGGACCCATTCGCATTTAGGTGAGGAAACTAATGCAAACCTTCTCTATTTGGAAACCATGATGGGAAAAGGGCAGGGTATTTTGTAGGTTGATGGTGGATGGTGAAATCTTTCCAAAGAAATCACTTAGGAGCCTTGAGGGACTTGTTGTCCAGACACTTAAAGAGCTCTGCGATGTACTGTATAAGGTTGTCCAAGGATACAGCTTTTTAATGATATACTCCTCCCTCGAAGATTACCTGAAAATCACTAAAGCTATTTATTATGCTTATTATACCTATCATACAAACCTGATTTGGGAAGAAAGGGTAGCTTATTTTTTTGATGAGCCCCTTATCAAGAGCACCCAGACTGTTTTACAAGTGGAAAAATTATTGATCTATTGGAGATTAGTTCCCATTATGCTTTACTGTTAGTCCTACAGTGTGTAACTAATGAGAGTCCAACCATTTCTATGGATTTTTTTCAGTAATCATTTGTGGCAGACCCCTGTTGGTGCTTGGGAAAGGAAAGATTGGGCAGCTCTTTTGGATTGAGGATGAGACTCACTTGCCAACAAACAGCCGTATGCATTGTTTCACCTACATGCTCCCAGCTCAAATCTATGGGCTTAGAGGAGTTCAGGGCCAGCAAGTTGCCAATATATGAATTGGAATGCTGAGTAGTTTTGAAAATGAATCTGATTACAGAAATTGGGGTTATATACATAAACTTGGTAGAAAAAGATGCCGCTTCACCACAATCCAGATGTTTGAAATGTGTTAGAGCAGTGTTTCTCAACCTTGACAATTTTAAGGCATGTGGACCAACTCCCAGAATTCCACAGCATTGCTGGCTGTGGAATTCTGGGAGTTGAAGTCCACATGCCTTAAAATTGTCAAGTTTGGGAAACACTGTGTTAGAGGATATCATACTTAGGTCCTACTGTAGGTCCTGTCATACACAGTCAGCCTAGAGCAGGGGTAGGCAACCTTGGCTCTTTTATGACTGGTAGACTTAGAAATTCTGGGAGTTGAAGTCCATGAGTCATAAAAGAGCCAAGGTTGCCTACCCCTGGCCTAGAGAGTCAAATCACCCATCCTAAAGAGCTCCTTATTAGAGATGAATCCAGCTTCCTGTCTGCTTTTTCCAGACAGGAAAATCAGAGGGAGTCAGTGACTCCCTCAAAATCATAGAGCGCTTTGACCTGGAGAATCAGCACTCTTTGGCAATCAATACTCATATGAGAACAGGTTCAAGGTTAGAGTCCTCCTCTAAAGGGGCCCTCTTTTCTTGCAGAAAGCACCACTCCGGCTAGGGAGCCTCAGCGGACCAGAAACATTAACAAGTTACAAAGCATGTTAAATAATTTGGACCGCTTCCGCCAGGTGAGTATGAGTACTGGCCAGTACAGTAGCATGTTTTTTCCCCCTCTTTCCTATCTTTTTTTTTTTTTTTAAAGGAAGTTCTAATTTCAGTAAACTTCAAGTGCTGCAAAAGCATGGATTTGAACTTACTAATACAAAAACATGTTGGATGTCTTAAAACAGAGGTGTCACACTCAATTTCGCTGAGGGCCACATCAGCATTGCGGTTGCCTTGGGGGGGCCAGGTGGGTGTGGCCTATTGGGTGGGCGTGGGCAATTCTACATCATTCGCGTCAAGAGTGCCTATGGGGGGCCTGGGTAGGAGTGGGACAGATCTGAGGGTCTCTGGCAGAAGGAGATGGGACCGGGGCAAGTGCCAAGGCATGGTCCACTGGGGCAAATGCCAGGATGGCTACTACAAAATTGTACATTGGGTCCCGGCTGGCCTGGGCCAGGGCCAAGGCAGCGGGGGCCGTTCCCTCATTGTTTCCAGGATGGCTTCGTGGGTCACATGAAACCACTTTGCGGGCCACATCCGGCCCCCGGGCCTTGTGTTTGACATGTCTGTCTTAAAAGATGCAATTACATATTTTTTTAACAAGAACCATACAGGTAGTCCTTCATTACGACTTAACTATTATTCAAAAGTTACAACAGACCTCCCCCAAAGCAACTTATAACCCAGTTTTGAAGTTCCAATGTAACCCTCGTCTCCCCTGCACACAGTCACATGATGGCATTTTGGGTGCTCAGCAACCAGCTCAGTTTGCAGCACCCCGAGGACACATGACTGATCTATCACAGTTTTGTTGGCAACTGCCTTTTAGTTCTGGTTTCTGGCAAAAACTGCCCCATAACTAACAATAGTTTTGCTTAATGACCATGGCATTTGCTTAACAACCATTGGAAAAAAAGGTCACAAAATCAAGTCTGGTCCTGTCACCCACTTTATGACTGTCACAACTTACAACTCTAATTGCCAGTTGTGAGAGGACAGGCTGCCTGCAAAATGGCCAGCGCCTGAGCTGCTGGTGTCCTGTCCTTTTTAAGGCTTCTCCCTAGCCAACCCAGTACAGGTAGTCCTCGACTTACGACCACAATTGAGCCCAAAGTTTCTGTTGCTAAGAGACACATTTGTTAAGTGAGTTTTGCCTCATTTTATGACTTTTCTTGCCACAGTTTTAAGTGAATCACTGCAGTAACAACAACTGTGGCAAGAAAGATCGTAAAAGGGGGCAAAACTCACTTAACGTATGTCTCATTTAATAGAGATCTTGGCCTCAATTGTGGTCGTAAATCAAGGACTACCTGTACTAAATTCCGTCCCATCCCATTGAAAGAAAAAAGTTAGTAGCACGGTTGTTTAAGGGAAACTGGCTTCTGATGGAATATTCATGAGCAGGAAGAGTCATGTGGTAACTCAGTCAGCCAATGTGAAGAAAGCGCTACTGAGTCTGTGCAAAAGGTATTGAGTTAGGAGCTGATTTTTCAGTCTCAGGTCTGTCTTTGTAGCTCTCTGTAAGAAGTCTTCAATTGAGCTATGTTGCTGTAAAGAAGAATGTATGGTACTGTAAATATTTTGATATAAATATAAAGAAGTTATTTTGAATCAGCTAAATGCAGTCAACTGTGGGAGCTTCTGATTTATTTTTTCACCAAAAGAGAAATTAAAATTCGCTAACAGCTTCCCCATTGACTTTGCTTGCCAGAAGGTCACAAAAGGGGATCACATGACCCCAGGACACTGCAACCGTCATAAATATGAACTAGTTGCCAACTGTCTGAATTTTGATCACGTGATCATGGGGATGCTCCAAAGGTTGTACCTGTGAAAAACGGTCAGAAGTCACTCTTTTCAGTGCTGCCGTAACTTCGAACGGTCACTAAACGAAGTGTTGTAAATTGAGGAATATCTGTTATACGTGGTATAAAAGCTGAGCAGAGAGGCAGGTGGATGTTGTGGAGTGCGAGGGAAGATGGCTTGTGTATGTTTGGGAAACTAAAACAGCCTGAAGAAGCCTAAGGCAAATAGTTACAGTTATAGTTCTCCAGAAGAACTCATAAAGAGAAGTAGTGGAGGAACAGAAGTTGCAGTAGAACTGGGGAAGAGTGGTAGTGCTTGAGTGGGTACTAGCCTTTGAGTGCTTGAGAGTGTGTTGCCTAGAGGCCAGGTGTGCTTGTGTTGAATCTCGAGAGTTTTGGAGCCCACTGACCTGGGTACATATAAAAGAACCTGGGACATCAGGCTTAATTACAGTTGTAAGTTGACGACCACCTGTTAATGACTGAGAGCAAAAATATTTATATTAACATATTAATTCATCATTGCCTTTTTTTTTCAATTTTATATACTGTTTTTCACATTTTGGTATTATATCTGCACACTTGCCAGAGTTGCTCTGTGAGGGAGGTAAGCGGTTTTAAAAATTGATAAATAAAATAAACAAGTTATATATTCAGCATGTTTTAAAACAGGATATGCTGGATCAAATCTGCGAACTTCTTGGACGCTCTGCTACTCTAAGAGATTTACTTCTGGAGGAGGTAGCAGCATGGCAAGTGCGCCAGCGGTTAGCTTGCATTGGGCAGAAATGTGATACCAGCTTAGGGCGTCTGGAAGAATGGTAAGTGGGAATGATCCAGCTGGTCCAGTTACTTGTTTTTAATGAGACATTTCCATAAATATAGGTTTCTATAAAATGATCCCTTTGAAGAAATGCATTACAGTAAGATCTCGGCTTACTACCATTCATTCAGTGGCTATCTGAAGTTACAACAGCATTGAAAAAAGTGACTTATGACGGGTTTCCACACTTAGGACTGTTGCAGCATTCCCATGGTCACATGACCAATATTTGGGCACTTGGCATCTATTTATGACATTGCACTCTCTGGGGGGGGGGGCAGGTGATCATGATTTGTAACTTTCCCAGCTGGCTTCTAACCAGCAAAAATCATTGGGGGAAGCCAGGATCGCTTAACAACTGCAGTTACAATGGTGGCAAAAAGTCATAAAATGGGGTACAATTCACTTAACAGCTGCCTTATTTGGCAACAGAAATTTTGGGCTCAATTATATCATAAGTCAAAGACCACCTGTACTTGGTGGTAAGTAACATGGCTGTTTAAGGCATTTTATAAGGCAAGGCAAACTGCAGTGAGTTATCCCAGGACTGCTAGTTCTACATCTTTCTGAATCATTGATCTTTAGTTAGAAGGTAGTCCCGAGTCCGTGACCTAGGGCAACAGTTAAATGTGACCCCTAATTAAATTAATTCATGATCACAGTGAGTTACAGTATGTTTGATCTAAAAGTGCTTTATTGAATGAGGCATAATTGGCTGGGTTGGGTTCATGCAGTAAACAAACCATGCTTTGCAAGCCACAGTAGTTGGGTTCATACAAATGTAAGCAAACTATCAATTCTGAGTCTGATGAATAAACTCAGCCAGTATTTCATGTAGTTAGCAATTACATAAATGTCTGTTTCAAGAGTAATTGCAGAAGGAGTCAGGCAGTCACGGTCATAACCAAGCAGTTGGGCCAGTTTTTAACTATGCCTGTGAATTTACTCTTTAAAGGGCCCTCTGTGTACTTTGCTGGTTTCCTGAATAGCCCCCTAGTAGCTTTGTTTTGTTAGGAGGCAAAGCTATTTTCCGGTTGCGCCTTGTGGTCTGACATTACAGTACTATACTACACTTCTTGTTTTTCTTCCCTGAATTCCCTATCAAGCCCGTTGAAAGGAACTTGCAGTCTATTTAATTTCAGGTTTCCTGTCAGGGCTTCTAGTTAGGCTTTTTTTGACTCTTGCAGATCTCTGCACCCCTCTTCACAGCCTGTTCCTGGAACGTCCTGTTATCCACTGATCTCCTCCCTGAATTGCAGGTTTACGAACAGTGCTGAGATCCTCTTCCACTTGCAACAGCTATTAAGGATGTTAAAAGAGATGTATGAAAAAGTGACTTACTTGACAGATCCCTTAAACAGCCGGTTGCCCCCTCTGCTCAAGACTCTTCAGGAGCAAATAATCTGCCTCTTGAAAAGGTGACAAGAGAGGGGAAGGATTCTGCCACTAAGGAAAGGTTACAGGGAGGCGGGCGGGAATAGATGGGTTATAGAAAACTAATGTTGCTCTGCTCTTGCCAGTGCTTTTGTGGTGGAGGTACAGCCTAAGATGCAAGTCCCCAATCAACGTCCACTGGTGCTGAGAACCAGCCACAAGTTCTCCGTCCGGGCCAGGTGAGAGAATCCTCACTCCGACAGTGGCTGTTCCTGGAGACTGTTTCGGGCAGGAAACTGAAAATTTTAGAGGGGACCGGATCAAAGCGTGTGGGTCACAGAACATTTTCAGTATTGGGGTTGTTATCATTTTAAAGAAAGTAGCTTTCTCTCAGAACAGGGCTAGGTTACTTAGTATTTATTTATTATTCAGATCTCATAAAGATGAGTCCAGTGGCTTATCATTAAGACAGATTAAACAAGAATAGTATAACAATTTAAAAAAAAACAATATAAAAGCACATAAAACCTCCCATCATAGTAAATTCCTAAAATTTATAGCTAAGATAATTGTATCTAGCAATTGCACTAATGCAACATTGGACCAGCTCTGCCACATTCTCTGGTCCTCATGCCCATTGGCAAAACCATGTTTGTAGAGTCTTTGGAAAGGCTAGCATGATCAGGGCTATCCTAGTTTCCCTCTGCAGGATGTTCTAAGGAGCAGGCCCCATGATAGAAAAGGCTGTTTCCCCAGGCCTCATCAGGTGGTAACTCCTTAGTGGACAGGATGGAAAGGGCTGGAAGAAGACCAAGAACATTGGGGGAAAAAATAAGGGGTTTTTTCCGGTGCTTCCCTCCCCCCTTTCTTTTTCCAAAGCCTTTTGGAAAAAAAATAGGAAAAAACGGGTTTTTTTCCAGGCTTGCACGTCTCTATCCACAGCATATCTCTCCTGCTGGATCTCACGGGATAGGTAGATGTAGTTAGGGAGAGATAGTCTCTCAAATAAGGTAGTCCAGGGGTCCCCAACCTCTGGTCCATGGACCAGCACCGGGTCACGGCATGCCAGCAATTGGGCTGCGCAAACAAGCGAAGCCCCATCCGCGGGATGCAGACAGCATGCAAAACCACGCCCTCTCCAATCTGCAGAAATTTTTTTTTTTCCCATGGAACCGGTCCCTGGTGCCCAAAGGGCTGGGGGCCACTGAGCTCGTCCCAAGCCATGTAGGCTTTGTAGATCATTACCAGCACCTTGAATTAAGCCCGGAAGCAAACGGGCAGCCTTTTACAACTCATGGACAAAAGATGTAACATGTTCAAATTATGTAGCATGCATAACTGCCAATATGCGGGATTTTGAACCAGTTGAAGCTTCCAAATATCCATGGTGGGAATGGATAAGGATTGCATTTAACATTAGAAGCTTTAACTGGAAACTGAGAAATAGTAGCTTCCTCTTTTTAAATATTAAAAAAAAAAAACTTCAGTAGCAACAAGCTTTTTGAAGAACAGTTACTGTTTCCAGTTCTCAAAGGCTCTTGTGATCACAAGTGTTTGATTGAGATTGCAGAATTAGACAGTAAAACAGAATTAATTTGCTCCGCTCCATGAAGCTTTAGTGCCAAGATCATGAAAAAGTAGTTTTTTTCACTTGAAATAAGACTGTTATATATTATTTGGTTATTTAGGGAAAATATGCAAAAACACCTCAAGACCATATTAATAAACGGGATATTGCAGAAACACTTTTGACTAGTAGAAAAACAATTCAATTTGAAAATATAAATATCTGCCCCCCCCCCTTTTTTTTGATCACATGGATTTTAATTGGTTGCTATTTCCATGATTCAGACTACTGGTAAAACTGCTGGATCGAAATAACTCAATGGTGGTGACGATTGGCATTGACCGGTAGGTTCTTCTACTGAAACTCTAGCCTTTATAGCAGTGGTTCTCAACCTGTGGGTCGTGACCCCATTTGGGGTCGAACAACCATTTCACGGGGGTCGCCAAACAATGCAGTCCGCCATTTTTTTTCCCTTTTCCTTAGCTGTGCTGCCCCGTCTTATTCTATTGGCTTTTGAAAGCCAATAGAATAGACTCTATTGAATAGAGCATTGCTATATTGTTTTTGTGATTAATCACTATGCTTTAATTATGTTCAATTCGTAACAATGAAAGTAAACCCTGCATATCAGATATTTACATTATGATTCATAACAGTAGCAAAATTACAGTTATGAAATGGCAATGAAAATAATTTTATGGTTGGGGGTCACCACAACATGAGGAACTGTATTAAGGGGTCGCGGCATTAGAAAGGTTGAGAACCACTGCTTTATAGGAATGACATGTTTGGTCAGGGTTAAAATAAGAAATATATTTTTTAAACTTCTAGAAACCCTAAATGAACTTTTTGCCATACTTGGGACAGAAATGACAACAGTTTTTCAATTTGTGAAAAGATCCAAGTGTGCATATTTGTGAAAAGATCCAAGTGTGGGGGAAGGTTATGGGAAGAAGTGAGATGTATGTAATATAAGCCACCCAGAGTTGCCTTTCCAGGGAAATGGGCGGCATATAAAATAAGTAAGTAAATAAATTAATATCTTAGTGATATTTATTTGCCTGTACTTGTTGCAAGGAAGATTGGGTGTTGCTTTTTTAGATATTCTTTTTTCTATTTTTCTTTTTTCTCTTCTTTTTTCTTTTACACTTTGTATTTCTTTTTTTCTATTCTTTTCTTTTTTCCCCTGATTTCAGTTTGTATTGTTATTAAAACTCTTTAATAACAAGTATTTTTTTTTAAAAAAAAAAAACTCTCTAGGCCAGGTGTGCCCATAATGCAGCCCCACAAGATTGTAAACTGTTAACATTATTTTGTGATTTATATACAATAACTGCTTTATATATTTATATGTGGCCCAAGACTATTCCTCTTCACTTAATGCGGCCCATGCAAGCCAAAAGGCTGGACACCCATGCTGTAGGCTTTATAGATCTTACCATACTTACTAATGGAGCTTGTAGCATTGTGGTGGGAGGGGACTAGATATGGGACCTCACCCATTGATAGATCTTCCTTGTTCTTATCTTTTGCAGGGATGCTACTAATTTGACTGGGTAAGAAATGGCTAAATAAAAGCAATGGGGAATAATGAGCCTTTCCTATCTGGGAGGGTAATGGACCGTGATTCTTAATCTGGAGATTGTAAAGCTTTACTTATCTGATTAATGGAAGAGGAGTTCATAGGGGGACCCTTCAGCTACCTACTTAGAAAGAGATAAATGGGTTATTGGTAGATGTGAGATTTGAAGAACTTCCTTCAGCCCTCAGGCGCATCTCCAAAATCACCTGCTTAGCAGAATTGAAAAGAAAGATGGCAACTGAGATTAGAAAACTGCAGTGGATACAGAGAAGGGGAGACTTTTGGAGAAGGCAGTAGTGTGCCTGCCCTATATAATTTGAGTAAAGCAGAAGTAGATAAGCTCTCGTCTAGGTTCCCATCAAGTTCCCAGTCTGATTTCTTTAACTGAATATTTTTAAAATTATACACTGCTAAATGAGATGTGGTTACAGATGAAACAGCCAGTCTTCAGGGCTGTTTTAATGCCCAAGAATGTCCCTAGATCCTTCATAGGCTCAGTGGGCATTTTTTGAACATAAAAAGATGGGTATCTAGAGTTCAGTGTTTTATTTGGGAGGATGCCCAGACAACAGGAGGAAAGGTTCCTTGGAATGGTAAGGAACCTCCTCAGTTTGTCTTCTAGAAAAATAGTATTTGTGACCGTCGTATATTCACCATGGCAGCTATTTTGTGAATGATCGTTATAGCCATTTTGGGAAAGCATTCATAAATTACTTTCAGAATTCCAAATTTGCCAACTGTTCAAAAAGATTATTATTTTCTCTGTTAAAGCAAGACACTATATCCAAATACATACTATATCTATCTTTGACCAGCAGGAAATGGCATGTGTTGTGACTGATCCTTGTATTTCTACCTTCTCACTCTGTGTCTCTCATTTTGAAGGTTCCGGAGGTTCAATATTTTAACATCCAGTAAAAAAACCTTGACGATGGACAATCAAAAGCAAGGACTCGTTTGTGATTTTAAGTACATTGTATGTATTAACTGAATTTCCAAAAGTTAAAAACTATAAAAGTTTTAATTGAGTAAAGTACCAAGCTTTCGTTGGCTACTGCCAACATCGTCAGGGTTCGTTTAGGTCAATGGGAGAACTTATTTATAGATGAAAAAGCCATCTGCGCCTGACTCGTGGATCTCGTCATGGGTCCTGACCAACCAATCAATGCTCCCTTTGAGGAGCAATGTTTGCAGCCCCCTTTTCTATCATTTAAATGGATCCCCTTGCTCCAACTATCTTTTCTCCTTCCTATGTGGGTGTGTGGGTGTGTGGGTATGTGCGTGTGTGTGTGTGTGTAAAGGGGGAAAGCAGGTGTTGGAATAGATAGCAGGCGTGGGATTGGCAATTGTGCTGATCAGGAATTCTGGGAGTTGAAGTCCACGAGTCATAAAAGAGCCAAGATTGCCTACCCCTGATCTAGTGTTTAACTATTTCAGGAAGTATGCTGTTCCAATATCTGTTACTGTGGCAGCAAAGTGGCATTGCACACATCAAAGCCCCAATTAATCTATAATCCTTCTTCTAAAAAGATGTTAAAATAACGATGCTCTGATAAAATTGTTGTGAGTCGGGAGCATGCAAAACAACCCCGGAGAACTTTTGCTTTTTCATCTGCATAAATGAATGGCGCTGCGATTTTTCCTATGCTTCAGCCTTTTATTTAAATAATCCTTTAAGACAATGTTGAACATTCAACATGCAAGAGAAGAAGTTGAGGGGAAGCTGAAATTGGTGAAAAAAAACCCCAAAATGATTTGAAAGACAGGCTTCTGATCTCACACAAGCACATCAGCTTTCTGCTATTCATTAAAGTAAGGACCTCTTTTTCCAGGTGTTCTATGTTAGTCTGTAAGAAAAACCCCATTCCTTCAAAAGTTGCATTAAAGATGTCCAGCATCAGTGATTCATTTATTTTAAAACAGCTGCATATTTCTTTCAAGCTTACATGGAAGACTAAAAAGATCAGACTGCTTCAGTGAACAGCAGAGAGGTGTTGTGCTTGCAGAAGAAGTCCAACGTTTTTTTAAAACTATTTTCTAAGTGGTCACAATCATAGAAACTAGGTTTGTTTTCTAATAAGCCCTTTTGTTTGTACAACTGAGTAGGATGGTAAGCATTTCTTGATAAAGATAACCTGTTGAAGTGATGCATTTGGAAGGCAATAGATTGGAGAAGACTCAGCAATATATTGATTTGGTTTGATGTGATCTCTGTTCCTTTTCAGTCTTATTAATAAAAATTGTCTTCTCTTTTCAAGTCGCTGAGAGAGCAGAAAATCTCTGGTGCAGGGAAAGGCAACAAAGGGATTAGCGAGGTGAGGTTTCAGTTAGACAACGGGTGATGGTTTAGTGTAAAGATATCCTACATTACTTGTGGACCTGACCATAGATTTGGGGTTAATAATCAATACCCAGAGGCTGTGTTATCCCCAGGAAGTGTTAAGGATCTCCTTCTCGAGGTGGTAGAGCAAGCTTAAAGATTGGGAAACATGTCTCAAGTTAAAAATGAGGAATAATTGCAAATTCCAGTACTTCACTGATCTTTGGCCCCATTGCTTGCACTTCTGTTTATTTACATTCATTTGTGTATAATATTTTCCACTAAAGTAAAAGTTCCTTTAAATAAGGCTCTACTCCTGGTGTCTTCATGAATACGTTTGTGCAATTTTCTTGGAAGTAGTATTGCCTTTTTCCAAGTTGATTTTCAACTTCCCAATATATCCTAAGGCCTGGGAGTCCTTATTCAGATATAAACCAAGTCTATCCCAGCTTTGTTTTTTATTCTGTGGGAAGCTTTATTATTACTGTGGAGGTTCTGGAGTAGGTGATGTATAAATCTGCGTATATAGATAGTCCTTGATCTATGGCCATTCAGTCAGCATCTCTTCCAAGCTACCAGGGTACAGAAAGAATGGTGGTTACTACCAGTCCTCAGAGTTCTGGCTGTCCCAGTACCCCATGATCACATAATCATGATCTGGGTGCTTGACAATCCATTCACACTTAAAATTGGTTCTCAAGCACCCTGTGATCACATGTTCGCCCTTTGCAGCCTTCTCTCCTGACTTTTCCCTAGAAAGTGAGTGGAGAAATTAGCAGGGAAGGTCACAGGTCACCAGGATAAGCTCAACCACCCTCACCCCCAGCATCTCTGTGTTTACACCAGCCACTAGAACACTGTAAGGTCCTGCCTCAGCTATCTACTCAAGAAAGCATGACTCCTGAAACAAGCGTTATTTCAAAAGGATCTTTTACTGAGAGAATGTGATTGCAGAGAAGCCAGTTCCCGTACGAAAACGTTAAACTAATTCCAAATTATTCAGCCCCCACCCCAACACCCCAGTCCATCAGGAACCAATCCGCAGGCATCCAAAGGTGTTTTGAGAACTCCAAGACGAAAGGTTGATAACAAAGTGTTTTCTCAGTAGCAGGCTGAAACCGGCCAGAAAGGAGTCCATCCAGATGGGCCTGGCGGCCCATTCCCCCCTCCCTGTTTCCCACACTAATATATCAAAACAAAAGCAACATATTCTTCAAACCCCAACTAGCCGTCCCCCTTCCCCTTGGAATGGCAGCGTTCCAACAGGGACCTGACGCATACCTTCCCTGAACTGTGCCTGCCAACTGGCAGCAGCCATTTTTACTTACCTGCCTGCAGGCCTGGGACTCGCAACTTCTTACCAACTCCCCCACTTGCTTTGCTGGTGGGAAACCAGCAAGAAACTACCTTGCCTAACAACCATGGCATTCAGTGATAGGACATCAATCAGGATTGCAGGGATTGGCAATGCTAAGCGATGTTGTTGCACTTTGTGACTGCTTTGCTTGGCGATGGAAGTTGTGCTCCTAATTGCCATTATAAAGTAAGGAATCCCTGTACTGATTTCTTTACCTATTTGAATGTATAAACCCAGCGTGTCACCCGCTAAACAGAACACATAAAGGGGATTCTTGTAAGCTTGTGCTGCAGTAAAACCTGAAAGCATAGCCCCACAGTAGTCTCAGCAGCTCTGATCAGTCTTTGTTCATTTTCTCCTGGGGTTTGGACGACAGGGATCATTGTCTGTCACCGAAGAATTGCACATTATCACTTTCACCCTGGACTACTGCTATGAAGGTATCAAGTGCCAGCTGCAGGTAAGAGGATCTTGCTAATTCCATTAAACATAGGAGGGGAAGGCAGCTGTACTATTATTATTACTTCGTGTGGCATGGGGGCGACTTAGGCTGAATTGGAGGAGATCCTGGTTAACTAGGTTCTCCTCTGATCTGTTTCTGATCAGGGATGGCATAAGATGCATCCCTTCGTCTCGGTGGTTATAAAACCAAATGACTCAACGTTTGTTCTTCTTATGAGATGGGCAGCTATATAAACTTGCTATACAGGTAATCCCTGAGTTACGAACGTTCACATAGCGAATGTTTGAAATTAGGCAATACACGCCCCCTAGTGTTTATGAACAAGCCCCGAAATTATAAACGTTGCAGCACTGTGGCAGTTGTTCACCCTTACAAACGACCACAGAGGCACTGCAACATTCACCCTAGTTATTCCCTTCTCTCTTCCCCTCTCCCCGCCTGCAGCCGGGTTTTCATAGACACTAAGATACTCACTGTGGATACTCACCTGGCGAAGATCTAGAATAGACATGTCAAACTCGCAATGTCACAGAGCTTTTTCCCCATTGCCAACAATGGGGTGGGCGCGGTTTTGTTGTGACGCATCTGGCCCACGGGCCGGCAGTTTGACACCCCTGATCTAGAGAGCCTTTGTTTCTGGCCTGTTTGGCTGCTTCAGGCCTTTGGTGCATTTGCAGAGAATGGAGGCCTAAAGTACCGCAAGATCACTTGAGAACAGTAGCACAAAATCTGACGCTTCTGATCTCACTTGAGCTCATGGTACTTTAGGCCTCTGTTCATTGCAAACAGAGGCCTGGAAGCGGCAAAGGGCTTTGCAATAGGAGAGAAGGCTTGAACCATCAAAGCCTATCCTCCATTTGCAAAGCCTTTTGCCATTTTTGCAAAACGTCTTTGCTGGCGAGAACAGAGTCCCGGATTGATGCCCATGTTACTCCCTCTTTCCGTTCTCAACCGCAAAGGCTTTTTCTCAAGTACATTTTGTGTGGAGACTGGAAGCCTGAAGTCCTGCGAGATCACAGCTTCCAGAAGCTTCCAGTCTCAGCGCTCCAAGTGTTTGCAAGCTAGCCGGATGCTTTGAGGCAGAAATTTCATTGACCCAAAGTCTCCCATTAGCTTGCAAACGTTTTGCATGGAGACTGGAAGCTTTTGGGCGCTGTGATATTGTGCGGCGGAGAGGCTGAAGATGAGACAGCTTGCTAGATCTTCGCAAGGTAAGTGACCTGGTGTGGTAGGATGGGGGGGAGCAATTGTGGGGAGCATGAGGTATCTCAGTGGGTCAGGGAGAGGTCTTGAATGGTTTTGAAGCAGGTGGCCTGTTCCATCTCTACCCCCCCATGGCCTTCCCCACCCTGAGCTACCTCATGTGCACTTAACGAACCGCGCATTTGATTAGCAAATGTGTGGGTGAAAGCAGGGAGTGATTGCATTCAAGGTACGCCATTCACGCCGACGAATCCTCGAGTTACCAATGGAATGAGCAGGCTGCATTACATTCGTAACTCAAGGACCACCTGTATAAACAAACATTATCACCTATTTTCTGTATGAATCTGGATTTCTAGACTTTTTTAATGTGACAGAGAAATTAAAATATCTTACTAACTCTTGAAGTAACTATCATCTTCTGCATTGCCACTACACTGTCCCTCCCCAAAAGGACTGCTGAGTACTAAGAACTGGGATGACTATAATCCATTGTGGTTGGAATTGTGTCTGCACATCTTGCTTTCCTGCCACTGAATGGACTTACTAATGCAGCAATGAGTTTTTTGTAGTGTACAATGCCCTGGAGTATCTTTGCACTGTGTTTGTATTGATTCCTTCTTTTCCAAACTTTTTTCTTCATCAGACATCAACCTTGCCTGTGGTGATTGTTTCCAATGCCAACCAGCTCTCCAGCGCTTGGGCTTCCATTTTATGGTTTATTATGCTCAGCACAGATACTAAGGTAAGAACCTGTTTTCTTACAGCTGTTTTCAGAAGTGGGCATTATTGTTCTTATCACTTGTATTGGGACCAACTTTTCTCTATTTTGGATGGGGAAGGCCTCTCATTCTGCTTGCATGAATCATTAGTCTCTAGGTCAGTGGTGGCGAACCTATGGCATGGGTGCCAGAGGCGGCACTCAGAGCCCTCTCTATGGGCACGCACACCATCGCCCCAGTCCTAAGCCTTCAGCTGGGTTTTATAAAACCTTTTCGCTTTAGGCCTCCACCGCCGTGTGCAAAAAAAAAAAAAAAAAAAAAAAAAAAAGTTCAGTCAATTTCAACTCGCAGGAAAAAAAAAAGCTCTTGCAAAGTTGGAATTGATTGAACTTTTTAGTCTCACCCAGTCTGCCGTTACCAATGCAGCCATGCCCACCCAATGGGCCACACCCAGCCAATGGGCCACACCCACCCACCACCCGACGATGCATAAGTGGGTTGCAGTTTGGGCACTCAAGTCTCTAAAAGGTTCGCCATCACTGCTCTAGGTGTTCTCTGAAGGAATCATTTCTCTCATGCTTCCCTCCTGTATGCAATTCAAGAGCACTGAAATCATCCAAAAAAGTTCTGCTTAACTTCCATGTCTGAAAACCTTCTTTGGTAGCACCTTGCCTCAGGACCTCTGTTTCTAGAATCCTATAAATGAGAGTAAGGAGCCTAATAGAAGAAGGATGTTCTTGAGTGCAAGTTACATTCTTTGTTGATGTCCACTTGTCCTCTAGCAGCTAGCTACTGTGCCAGACATATATGGCAGGATACCATCACTTTGGGGATGGAAAGTAACACCTATTCTTATCCCACAACATTTAACCTCTCCGGCGTCTGAGTTTAAAGCAATCCTCCTAATCTAATCTTCCCCCGGGCATGTAAGAGAAAGGTCTCTATGGCCATGGTCAGAGAACTTTCTAGTGGAAACCGATAAGAAAAGGTAGCAAAAAGCTAGTCGGTAATCCCAGTTTCTTTGGACAGCCCAAGGAATTATGTCTCTAAAACTGTTCCTTGTATGTATTCCCTGGGGAGCCTTTGCATGCAGAGGACAGTTTAAAATAAAATGAAGTGCCCGATTAATGCTTTTTTTTTTTTTCCTTCCTAGAACCAACTGTTTTTCTCCAAACCACCAGCTGCCACCTGGATCCAGCTTTCCACTGTGTTGTCCTGGCAATTCTCAGCAGCCACTGAGCGAGGCCTGGACAACCAACAGCTCAAAATGCTGGGAGAAAAACTCTGTGGTAAATTGGGAAGTTTTGTCCATATGGAGATGAAGCAGGGATTTCACTGACATGGACAGGTCTGGGTTGAAAGTCCTGCCCAGGGCTTATTCTGTCTCTGTCTTTTCAGCAGAGAAGTTTAGGCAAAATGGGCATTTATAAATGGTCAAGAGCTGGGAATGTAGACCCAGAATTGATAGTAGTCGTGCCTGATTCATTGGAGAACTGTGTTCAAGGTCTTCAATTCTGCTTCTCAGCAGTTTTCATTCTCCTTGTAATGTGAGACAAGAATAGCACTGTTGTAAGAAATAATGTTCTACTCAGGTACATATCCTTATCAAGGCAGTTATATGGTTTTCTCCTTACTTTTTCTTCCCATCAAAGGGCCAGGTGTGAACTCAGACAGTACCATCACATGGGACAAGTTTTCAAAGGTGAGCCATTGTCCCAGAAACAGCTTCCGGGAGTGTTTGCTCTCCAGCTGCTAGCCTCCTCACTTATCTGTCCTCTTTTCTTTTCTCCAGGAAGCGACAGAGGACAATAATTTCAGCTTCTGGACCTGGGTTGATGGAATCCTACTCCTGATTCAAGAGCACCTGCTTCAGCTCTGGAACCACAAGTAAAGATTGGGGAGAAAGGAAAAGTGATAAAAATTAGGACATCTGGATTATTTCTAGCCTTTGGGGGAGACACCAAATCATACACAGATAGTCCTCAATTGGCAACAGTTTAGTGACCGTTCGATGTTAACAGTGGCACTGAAAAAACTGACTTATGGCCATTTTTCACATGATCAAAATTCAAATGCTTGGCAAGTGACTCATATTTATGACCGTTGTAGTGTCCCAGGGCCAAGTGATCACCTTTTGGGACCTTCTGACAAGCAAAGTCAATGGGGAAGCCAGATTCACTTAACAAGTGTCTTACTAACTTAACAACTGCAGTGATTCCCTTAACAACTGAGGCAAGACAGGTCGCACAATGGGGGAAAACTCACTTAACTGTTTTACTTAGCACCAGACATTTTGGGATCAGTTGTGGTTGTAAGTTGAGGACTATCTGTATTACTTGTTCAGGAGACAGTCCCAAATATCGAGGTAGCAACAGCATCTCTCCTGGATTTAGGAAGAAAATTTCATAACTCTTATCTTGGAAGGCTGGGGATACAGCTTTTTCCCATGGTTTTCACACCACTGTTTTTCAACCTTGGCAGCTTGAAGACACGTGGACTTCATCTCTCAGAATTCCCCAAGCAATATGCTGGCTTGGGACTTGTGGGAGTTGAAGTCCACATACTTTGAAGTTGCCAAGTATTAAAAAAAACAAAACCTGTCCTTGACCTTAACTGAGATTGCAGAAGCCAGGAAAGAGCACAGCGTTTAGGGCAGTGTTTCTCAACCTTGACAATTTTAAGGCATGTGGACTTCAACTCCCAGAAATCCACAGCCAGCAATGCTGGCTGTGGATTTCTGGGAGTTGAAGTCCACATGCCTTAAAATTGTCAAGGTTGAGAAACACTGGACTTTAGGGTTTTTTTGCCTGGAACAGCAGTTTACTAATCGTGACTCTGCAGGTAGGAAACAGGGTTTGAAAAGAAACAGCGAGGAAGAGATGAAACCAAAGCTGTTGGAAAGCAAAGGAGAATGAGTCGTTTTTCCTGATATATATATCTTTCCCATTTCCAAATTTGACTAGTCTCATCATGGGATTTGTGAGCCGCAAACATGAAAAGCGTTTGCTGAAGAAGAAAAGAGCGGGCACCTTCCTAATACGTTTCAGTGAGAGTACCGCCAATGGTGGCATCACCTTTACCTGGGTAGATTTTAACAATGAGGGTGAGTTTTTGGATTCCTACCTTACCTTTCATCATCTTCAGTGATGCCTTACAAAATAGCTTATTCCAGCTTATTAAGCTTTGGCATGGTAATAGACCAGGATTTTTCAAACTGCGCTAAGAACCATAGGGTTCCTTAAAACTAGATGGGGTTCTGTAAAAGACTGAGGGCAATTAAAAAAAAAAAGTCACTCAAAAGCAGCCAATTTTCTATCATTAGACGTTTGTCTCTTTTTAATTTTTTTAAAAAATTTCATCTCCAAAGTTAAAATACAGAATAAAAAGAAAAAAGAAGACATCAACTGCAACCAAAACAACTAAACAAAAAAAAATAATAAATAATGTTTGTACAACAAATAACAAATATATCATCAGCATTAACATTCCACATACAATGTCCACCCTGATTGAATGCTGAAAAATATATTTCAAATATCTGATACGTTCCCCACCCCACTTGCATAACAGGTCTACCACTAGTTATTATTTTCTCATCTATGTTTACTAAAATACTGTGCTACATAAAAAGACGTCAGTAAGGTGGAGATCCTTTGTCCATCTATCAAGTCGACCTACCATCTATTCACTTAAAACAGTGTTTCTCAACCTTGACAATTTTAAGGCATGTGGACTTCAATTCCCGGAATTACACAGCCAGCAATGCTAGCTGTGGAATTCTGGGAGTTGAAGTCCACATGCCTTAAAATTGTCAAGGTTGAGAAACACTGACTTAAAAGAAAACAGTTAACAGGTTTCCTCAAAAACAAAAAGAATCTTCAAAGGCCTCCTGAAGGTGAGAACAATTAACCGGTGGAACGACTTGCCTTCAGAAGTTGTGGCTGCTCCATCACTGGAGATTTTTAAGACGAGATTGGACAGCTATTTGTTGGGAATGGTATAGGACGGGTGTCAAACTGCCGGCCTGTAGGCCGGGCGCTTTACATGGTAATCGCGCCCACCCCATTGCCAGCAATGGCAAAACAGTCCTGATACGTCACGTGACAGTCGCAAATTTGACACGTTTGGTATAGGATCTCTTGCTTGAGCAGAGGGCTGGACTAGAAGACCTTCAAGGTTCCTTCTTCCAACTCTGTTCTGTTGTTCTGAATCCCTCTTCTCATCAAGGGCATGGCCTCCCAGATTCAAATTTCAGGATGGTACAGAAATTTCTCCATATCATTTTTGCAGGTGCTCCCCAGTTCAATTCAGTTGAGCCCTACACCAGGAAAGAGCTGGAGTCCCTTTCTCTACCTGATATCATCCGAGACTACCAGCTCCTGGCTAAGGAGGTCATCCCAGAGAATCCACTCCTCTACCTGTATCCTGACAAACCACGGGATGAAGCTTTCCGTTCTTATTACAAAGAACGGCGGGAAGGTATTAGTGGCTGCCAGTTTCTCCTTAGACATTCTCCACCAGGACTCTATTTACGCCCTGCAACTTAGCTGAGCTGCATTTACCCATGGATGAGTTTATGTGTATTCTGATATTTCCAGAATTGCTGGGAGTTGATACCTAGTAAATGAAATTGTTTGGATAGGGAAGGTTTGTCAGATGGATGATGATGATGGATTATGACGATACGTTACAGAGCAACCTAAATTGTTCCGGAGGGTTTACAGTTTCAAGGAGGCAAAGACAGATGATGCCTCAGATGTGCATTGGCACGGGAAACAAAACTTCAATTAGTAAATATGGGCTCTTTCTTTGTCGTGCAAATTTCAACCATTGAGGCAAAAGATTCACTTTTCCACATGGCATTTCCATCAGAGTTCTTCCAAAGTATTCATCCTATTCTGAATGAAATGATAGTGCAAACATTTATCTCCATCACAAGGATATGCATTTCAGGAATTCTTTCCAGTCTTCTATCGGGTAATGGTTGTGCAGTCTTTGGGCATTTCACTATTTATTGAATATGTTTGTTTGTTTGTATCCTGCCTTTATTTTTTTTAACAAAAAACTCAAGGGAGCAAACATATCCAAACCACTTCCTTCCTCTTGTTTTCCCCACAACAACAAGCCTATGAGCTGGGTTGAGCTGAGGCAGAGAGTGACTGGCCCAAAGCCACCCAGCTGACTTTCATAGCTAAGGCGGGACTTGAACTTACAGGCTCCTTGTTTCTAGCCTGGTGACTTAACCACTACCACAAACCAGCTCTCTGTCAAGGAAACTATGAAGGACATTCTGTTAAATCTGGGGCGAGGATTGCAAAGTATTGATAGTGTTGCTGCTTCTCTGCCCTTCATAGCCTGTTCTTTCTTTCCAGCAAGCATGACGGAACAAAGAAGATACTTGAACCGTCGCCTGATCAGAGTCTCTACGTGAGCAATACCTTCTTCTTCTTTCTTTGCTTCTTTAAGCAGTTGACTGTAATTGTCTCATGCATCACTCCCAAAATGTTTTTGGTTCACCTGAATCCAGTATTCTACTGCGGTCCCACTTCTCATGGGCTCTGTATCTCCTGATAGATGTGAGACGCTGGGCTGAAGAGGAACTTCTGTTTCCTTTCACTGGATTAAAGGCCCTTTACAAAGGCCTTAACTTGGATCCAGAGAAATGCACGTAGACAGTACATCTCATAGAGTTGTCTTCTTTCTTCTTGCCCTCCTTCTAAACCAGTGGTGATGAACCTACGGCACGGGTGCCAGAGGCGGCACTCAGAGCCTTCTCTGTGGGCACGCGCGCCGTCGCCCCAGTCCTAGGCCTTTGACTGGGTTTTATAAAACCTTTTCACTTTAGGCTTCCGCTGCCACGTGCAAAAAAAAAAAAAAAAGGTTCAATCAATCAGTCAATTTCAACTTCTCACGGGAAAAAAAAGACCTTGCAAAGTTGGAATTGATTGATTGACCTTTTTAGTCCCACCCACTCTGCCATTACCACCGCAGCCACGCCCACCCAATGGGCCACACCCACCCGGCACCCGACGATGCATAAGTGGGGTTTGGGTTGCAGTTTGGGCACTCGGTCTCTAAAAGGTTCGCCATCACTGTTCTAAACCATCCCTCAGCTTTTGAGAGAGTTTTGACTAGAGGAAAGAATAGTCAGGAAAGGCAAGTTCAGAAAGCAAATAGCTTCTCTTGTTTATGGAACTCCTTCCTGATGTTATATGTCCTGCACAGCCTTTGGAAGGGAATGAAGGGTTTTCCTATCAAACTATTGTTGCTTGTGCCTTCCACTCAGGGAGGTGCTATCTCAAAGTCTTTTTATGAAAACCAGTTGAGGGGGGCAAACACCTGAACACAGGTTTTTAAAAAAAATGGAGAAATAAAATCTGAGCTGATTGCCTCAGTCTTAAAAAAAGGTTTTAAGAGGTTTCAGCTGAACTTCTTTAGCAAGAGAATTCCCCAACTTGGGTGCCATGGCAGAGAAGACGCTGTCCTCTCATCCCATACTGAAGGTGGTAGAAGGCTTCTTTTTTCCTTTCTCCTCTAATTCACCTCCATCCAGGCAACCAGGGGAGACTCAGACACCAGAGGCAAAGGAACTACTCCCTATAAGCAATGAGCCGGTCACTGATGAATTGGAGAATCCTGAGTATAAAGTGGAGGATCTTCTGATTGCCAAGGAAGGTAAGTAATGGATCTGGGCCCTCTTAAGTTAGGCAATTGTTATCCCAGAAGTAATCCTTTTGAGACTATGGTTGCAGGATTTTTTTGTTTGTTTGTTTCCATTTTCCCTCTTTTCTTTTGGAACTCTCTCATTTGTCTTTGTGATTTTAGTTCGGCTGATTTGCTCTTCCTTCTTTCCTTTTCTTTTTTCTTAGATCCTTTTCTTTTCCAGTCAGATGAAGAGCAGCAACCACTCCACGAACCTTTCAACCTCCATGAGATTCCACAACTGCATGTGGATGACCCAGTTTTCCAATGTCTGCTTCCTCTTGAGAATACAAGCACTGGCATTTCTGGAAATGATATTGAGGATTTAATGAACCTTTATGCTAAGGTAGAAGTATAGTATATGTAGGCCTGATCCCTTCATATTTTTGTGTAAACCAATGAGTAATTAGGTTTTAGTTGTAAAATTAATATAAAAAGAGCAGTAGACCCACAACATAAGTGAATTTAGCTGGCAGCCATAGTTTTGTATTTTTACTTTTTATTTTTTTTATTCATCAGATTGATATGTCTGCCCATCTCTGGGCAATGTTTCTACTACCCAGCAGAAATATATTTAAAGTGGCTTCTGAGAGAAATGCCAAGATTATTTCCCAAAGACAGACAGATACACACACAATTCTCTATATGTCCTTTATTCCCCCCATTCTTTCTTGCCTATAATATACAATCAAGGGCATTGACTCATATAGGAAAAAAATTACTCTGGTTTCTCTTAGCTCACGGGTCAGCAACCCGTGGCTCCGGAGTCACATGCGGCTCTTCGAGCATTTCCTGCGGCTCCCAGCCTTCTCTGCCATTTGCAGAGAGAGACAGAGAGAGGCACTTGTGCTTCTCTCTCTCTCTCTCTCTCTCTCTCTCTCTCTCTCTCTCTCTCTCTCTCTCTCTCTCGGTGGGTGGTGTGTAAAAAGAGTGGCCTCATGCTGTTCTCGGATGAACTGACAAGCTTATTGGGCGAGGCTCCTACCTTGGCTGCGTCTCTGCAGGAAGCAGGAAGGGCAGGAGAGAGCCAACCCAATAAGAATGTTTGTCAGTTTGTTGGAGAATAGCCTGAAACCAGCTTGCCAGGTGAGCAGAAGATCGGAGAGAGAGAGGGAGAGAGGAAGAGGAAAGAGAAAGGGAGAGAGAAAAAGGGAGAGGGAGAGGAAAGGGAGAGAGAAAGACAGGAAAGAGGGAGAGGGGGAGGAAACACAGAGAGAGAGAGAACTCATGCACAGCAGCCTCTATTTCTTTTTAATTAAACTCTTCAATCAAGCTCCTCATCCCTTGCGTTTGTGCACACAAGTTTTGCGGCTCCCAATGTTTTCTTTTTTCTGGGAAATGGGTCCAAGTGGCTCTTTGAGTGTTTAAGGTTGCAGACCCCTGTCTTAGCTCCTCTCCACAAATCTTTGGATAAAAGTTTATCCCATAAATTGCCACTACAGGTCTATCTTTAATTGTGCCTGGATTAGGGCAAAACTAGAGATGTAGGGTTGGACAACTGGTAGAATTGTTGAACCCTTCCTTCCTTCCTTCCTTCCTTCCTTCCTTCCTTCCTTCCTTCCTTCCTTCCTTCCTTCCTTCCTTCCTTATATGCACATCCTTATAGAACTCATGAAAGCTGAAATTCACTGACTTCCAAAAGGCTTACATGTTGACTGACTCTTGATTATAGTTGGACCAGGTTAAGAAAAAGTCAAAGGGTAAATTGGGGTCCTTTTGAATTAATGGCTCAGCATCCATCTAGTTTATTAGCAGGTGTGTTTGTTTTAAAAATAAAATATCACAGTTGCCATTTGCTAGAATTAGAATTACCATGACGGTAATCAATGACGTAATACTGAGCTTTCATTTCTGTTTGTCTTGCCTCTCAGCTATAAATTTGTAAATAAAGAGATGCTACAAAATATGGCTTCTGTCTGCATCCTTTATGGGAAAGTGGCCTGGTCAAGCTGCTCTGGAATTTCCCTTCATTTGGAGAAGTGGCAGGGACCAACCAACCAGATCAAACTGTACTTTGGTAAAATTGAGCAAATACAAGCTACATTCACGCCAATCCTTTCCTGAAATACATGTGTGTAATTTTTACTATCTTCTGCAACTCTGGGATCTCTGTCCTTTTATTCACTCTGTTTATTTTAATAAAACATTCAGATAATTGTCAAATTCCTGGCTTTCATATTTCTGTCCTGTCCAGCATGAGGCACTGTTTGTAGATACAGATGTAGAGGTATGCAATAATAAATTGTAGGGATGTTGACACTGGCTTACTATTATGCAGCAAGCATAATTTCGTCCAATTTTTACAATCCTCGCAAAGTTTGGCAAATTCTGATTTACTATAAAACGTTGAAATGGAAGTGTTAATGTGGGACACCACCAGGGAAAGGGAAGGTTCCAGGAAAATGTAGTGGGATTCTAGGCCCTCTACCAATGATGCCCCCATAGCTCCCATCATCCCAGTACTGTATGAGTTCACACAGCATTCTGCCCTGTCCCTGTAGGATACTAGAGGGGAGGGAGAAGTCTCACCTCTGTGTCCTTTTACCATTTATGGAACTGTTCAATACATTTCAATAACACAAATGCAGATTTTTTATTGCAGTCGGTCATACAAAACACTGTTCTCATAATCCCTCAAAAGAGGATGAACATAACATTTTACATTGTAAATGAAAGTGAGAGATTCTTGAATGATCCCCACTTTTGATATTAACAGTTGGCCCTTAAGTTTTCCTATCATTCTTGGTCACTAGCACAGCCGTGCTCAACAGGAATTGAGCCATATAAATAAAAATAAATACATTAAATAAGTATATTAAATAAATAAGAGCACATAATGACACACCTTGTTTCTCCCAGGTCACCCTCCCCCAACTATTCTTGTCTCGTTGATTTTTGCATTCCCAGGCAATGAATTGTATCTTCTGGATAATGTGGAAGTACATGAAGGTTTGTAATGAAATATTCTCCCTCCCACCCTGGCATTATTCTAGCTCAGAGAGTTACATTCTTATTCAATGCTGCACAGTGGGCAAAGACCCGTGCCATCAAAATTGCAAACAACTGTAGGCGCTGTAAGATGACATCCACCACATGCGATTCCTCCCATGCTTGTATTTCTTCGGCTCGACTTCTGCTTTCATACTGTAGTTAGAAAAGGACATAAGTCAGATCTGCATTTTACCCAATTCTCAAGGTGTCAGTCCTTGTGAATGCTCATCCTGGTGATGGGGTTTGGATACTCAAGTTAGAGGAAAATAATTTGGCACAATCTGAGCTGGTGACTAAACAGGGCCAAAGGGAGACATTTGGAGCTATAGGTCCTCTTCGGGAATTGTGCAACTCTTGTGTTTACCCTATGAAAGTGGCTACGAGAACCGTAAGGGTAAGGGAAATAATTTTCCTCTTTGTAAAAATAGGGCCTTTCCTAACATTGTTAGTGCCTCCTTGACCAGTAGTCTTCAACTGAAAAAAGTGACAACTAGTCCTTACACTTGCATTGTTGCAATGTCCCTGTAATCTGTTCCCTTTGCCTCATAAACATACTTTACCTTTGGAAGGAACTGCAACAAATTAGTCACAGCAGTTCGTAGCCCAGTAGTAGTATCTGATTTTGAATACTGTGTCAGAAGTTCCTGATAACGTTGAAGGGCCCGATGAATCTTCACCAGACATAGCTAAAACAGAACAAAAGCTAGTGGTCATTTTAATTTGATCCATCAACCAGATTTGGAGATCCCTCAGTAGAGGGAACTTATTCAAAGCTAAAGGCTTGCTTGTATGGCCCTCTTTAATGTGGCTGGGGAACTCTGTGTCATAGGTGCTTTTAACTGTCCCCAATTTGGTGGGCTCAAGACCCAAAAGAGCCAATAACACAGGTCCCTAGACAACACACGCAAGCCCTTACATACTATTAAACATTAAACACTCTTCTCCACAGCTGCTACTCCTACTAGAACTGCTTGTGAGTACTGCTAGAGAAAAGCATCCCTTTCAAGTTGCTTCAGCCTGCCCCACACCCCTCTCTCTTATCTCCCCTTCCCCCTCCCCCTACTCAGCTTTTATAGGTAACCTTGCCTTGCTGAGGTGAGGAGGGCACTTAAAGAGACAGGCAAAAGCAGCACAGGTGTGTGATCATCTCCCTCCTCTACCCCACCCCCTGTTCACTTTTAAAATGCCAGACTCAAGCCTGCTTTTAAAACACATCTTTTAGAATAGGCCAAGCTGACTGAGGAATTCTGGGAGCTGAAATCCACAAGTCTTAAAGATGGAAAGTTTGGAGACCTCCACTAAATATAAGAAAGATTGAGGGGAAAAGAAGAAGGGGACAGACAAAGAGAATGAGATGGCTGGATGGAGTCACTGAAGCAGTAGGTGAGAACTTAAATGGACTCCAGAAGATGGTAGAGGACAGGAAGATCTGGAGGAACGTTGTCCATGGAGTTGTGATGGGTCGGACATGACTTCGCAACTAACAACAACTAAATATAAATGATGAAGTCTGACGGGGGTTGCTTACTGAAGGAAATGAGATCAGATATGTACTAATTTTTCTCTTGTCATGCAAAGTTGGAAATTTATTCTTCCATTTTGGCTCTCTTTTTCGATTGCCAGCTATAAACATTGTCCCTTCCCATAAAGGCAGCCTTCACATTCATCAGCTAAAAGGACAATCCTGCAAGTATACCACAAAAGATTTAGTATTAGCCTGATTCTTCAGACTTTCTCATGAAGGCTCTTTGAGAATGAGATGCATACTCTGCCTACTTTACTGTGTGTATCAGGCAAGTCATCTTTTAGGGAAATCACCTTATCAATGAGAGGGGCATCATATACATTTAATAAAGAAGGATAGGATAGGATAGGATAGGATAGGATAGGATAGAAAATAGAATAGGAATAGGAATAGGAATAGAATAAAATAGAATAGAATAGAATAGAATAGAATAGAATAGAATAGAATAGAATAGAATAGAATAGAATAGAATAGAAATTCTCTATTAGCCAAGTGTGATTGGACATACAAGGAATTTGTTTCTGGTGCATAAGCTCTCAGGGTACATGCAAGCAACAAGTGATAAATCATGATCATAATCAAAAAATTTCCTTAGAATACAATTTAAGCACTATTGTTCTATGTTTGTACAATTATCTCCATAATTTACAATGCCTGCTTAGTATCATTCAGCCATTATTTAAGTAACGCCTGTCTTCATAACTTATTATTTTTGAACCGTTACAACTGGATGATTTTAGAAACTCCCTAGATCACTATTGGAGAAATGATCTAAATGTATATATATATAAAAAACAAACAGTTTTAACTGTCTTAACTGATTTGCAACTGTTCTTGAATTAGTAAAAAACCACCAAGATTACAGAAATCACAATCCATAGAATGAAGTAATGTTTTACTATTTGTGATGTTTTTGTGCTTTTCAATATGGTTTGTTTTGGATAGAAATAATTACCATGCTATTCTTTCCCAGGGAATCTGGATCACAGTGATCGTTGCATTCAATTCGCTGAGGAAGTGAAATAGTTAAACTTTTTTCCTAGGGGAAAAAAATAAAGGCACTAAATATAAAGAAGTACATCGAGCATACTTAAAATAGAACTAAATGTTGGAATACAACCATCCCTACCATATACAACTTATCTTTAATCTTGTTCCCTTGTTTTTTTTTTCTGTTCTGAAATAATATTGAGTAGAAAATGTCTGTCTATTCCCCTCCATACCGTTCTCTATATGTGTTCAAATAAAGACATTGTTTTTTGAGCATTTGGATTTGGATATCTGCAAAATTAAATGACCCCTTCCAGGTCTACATTTCTAATTTTTTATGAGAAGGACTAGGCCGGGAGACAAAAGCTCACATGATCATAGACTTTCGGCCAAACATACTTTCAGCCAAATCCACTTCACAAGTGTGATGGTCATAAAATGAGGAGAGACCCTCTCCCAAATTATAGGTTTCTTGAGTTCTCAGAAAAAAGGCAAACTAAAATTTAATAAATGATTACACTAAGAAAGATCAAATGGAAAACATGAGCAAGATAGTTTACTTTCAGCAGTTCTAAGAAATGGGCCTTGTCACCTCTGTAGGTTATGACAGTTTAAGAAAAGCTGAATTGCAAAATGTGATCTTCCTCTGAATCTGGTCACAAATAACAAAATAACAGACACAGAGAGATGGACAGAAGAATACAAGTGATCAGAAAAATAAAAAATCGGTCTCAGATGACAATTCAAAGGTAAATCCAAATTGATCTTGAAAATGGGTAGGACAAGTAGCTTAATAGTATGTTGATATTTGCTCTTCATTTGCCTTCGGTTAGGGAGGAGACCCTCACTTTATCATACTTGCTATATTTTTCTTCATTTTAAATGTTTTATTGTAATTTCTCGATTTATTGTGAACCACCAAGAGTCATTAAGAGTCAGCTGGCATACAAATTTAATATATTATGGTTTATTGCAAAGTCAGCCAGATGTTTAAACTGAAGTTGGCATTTTTATCTGCCTATAGAACTAGATAGGGATATGATGATGATGATGATGATGATGATGATGATGATGATGATGATGATGATGATATATACAGCAACATGAAACCGCAGCTACCAGTTCTTTAGCTGGTGTTAACTCTCATTCACATCAAATTCTTCCCAAGAACCTAAGATGTTATAATGTATTGGCATGGTATATATGTAGATCTGAACACTATGGCCTTGTGTAATTAACAAATTAACATTTAATAATATTTATAATTAATTAAATTATTAAACTTGTAATTTTAATTCTATTATGTTAAATAATTACTAATAAATAAATAATATCAAACAACAGCATCTGCCTAACCCCTCCCTATCCCTTGGGAAGGACTAAAAGTGCCCAAAATGTCAAATCCAGTCTAAACATCTGGCTAATTGTGTAACCAACCAGATTTATTCACTAGAAAATGAAATAATGTCCAACAAGATGTCATACACATGAAGCATACTACAACTCTTGATTTAGGTTAATTGTCTGAAACTCATTGAGCAGAGCCTTAGCTGCAGAGGAACTTCAGGCACCTAAAAATCATTTTATCTCAGATTCATGAACCTGAATATTTTCAGTTATGCTACATCAGTGTGGCTAAGCATTGGGAAAAGGATGTTTTTCCCCCTTAGTCATGTGAACACAGGGGCCAGCCATGCTGCAATACTAGAGTAACAAGTAAAGAAAAGCAGGAGTTGCATCAGAATATGTGGTTTCAAAATGAAAAGCAATAAGATTGAATATGAAGCTTTAAAAAAAGATATTAAGTTACAGGTGGGGAGAGTTATATTAAAAATATTGGAATCAGATTTGCTTTATAGGGGATGAGAATGTTCTAGATAAGAGCAAAAGTGATGGAAGATTTTCAGTAAACTCTTTTACGTGAGAATATTTTGGAATGGCTTTCTCAATCAATATTTGCTTTCAGATTTGGATTTTGTTTCACTTTCTTCATCAGATGTGCTGATGGATGTACAATATTGGGAATTTTATTCTGTATTCACTCTTGGTTATATTGGTTCTTGGGTAGTAGGTAAAATGGCTGTCTGATGATGACCTCTCATTTAATGTGGGAAAAATTAAGGGAAGCAGTTGGTAGATTCCCCTGACATCACCTGCAAGTGGAAAATTGCTCTTCCTGAAGAATACTGGTAGTTCTCAACTTACAACATTTAGGGACCATTCGAAGCTACAACAGCACTTAAAAAGTGACTTACAACTGGTCCTCATGCTTAAGACTATTGCAGCAGCCCCATGGTCATGTGATCAAAATTTGGGCATTTAGCAGTTGTTCAGGTATTTAAGACATTTGCAGCATCCCAGGGACATGTGATTGCCGTTTACGGTCTCCCCAGCCAGCTTCTGAGAACCATAAACGATCAGATGATTCACCTAATAACTTCAGTGATTTGTTTAACAGTTGTGGCAAAAATGGTTGTAAAATTGGGCACAGCTCCCTTAACAGCCACCTCACTTAACAACAGAAATTCTGGTCCCAATTGTGGTCATAAGGACTGCCTGTATCTCTCAAAGCCTGGTACTGTGTTACCTGATTAGAAGGATAGTAGACCGGAAATGGAGGTAACAGATAGAAAGAAAGGAGCTAAACTGTTACTCCCTGTCTATCATCCATTTGAGGGGCTAGCTAGCAGAAAATTGAGGGGGCTCTTATTCTTAATCATGTGTCTTTGTGGTTCCTGGAAGACAACAAGAATCATATTTTCAAGGGAACCCTCCCAACTTGTTCTACTTTAGGTGACAGAGGGGGTTGTGTGGTCATTTGAAAGCTAGTTGTGTAGAAATTAGGTTTTCTTTCCTGCAGTCCAAGTTAATATAACCAGGGAGGATGAATGAATAAGGAATGAGAATGAATGAATGAATGAGCGAATGAATGAGTGTGTATGTGTGTGAGAGAGGGAGGGAGGGAGGGAGGTCTGCCTGGGGAGCTTAAAATTGCCTATAGGACTGCAAATCCCATCCCCAGCTTCATTGTGTAATTATTTTCTACGGCAGAACATATGCTGGGAGAAACATAAAAATGGTATTTTAATCTTGTCTACAGTATATAAAGAGGCATAAGGAATCTTTTAACAATTAGAGAGGCATCTTTCTGTTGGGGTTAGCAGGCTATGAGGAAGAGCTTTTACCTGGAGCCAATTCACGGCAAGTGTGATTTTAGGATATTCCCAATTCTTACCTGATTTTTTTCATAATAAGATAATGCTTCAAGCCTGTTTTCAAATCTTGTCAATTTTCCCATGAAATGCCCCCTTTTCAATACTTTCTCCTGTCAGCCACAGTTTCATTCCATACAGCATTAACCTTGTGAACTCTCAAGCTTCCTCCTTCTGTTATATATTCAAGATGGACAGTATTTAATATTTATTTGTTATGTATATGTAAGGGTGTGGGTCTATACATATGTTGTATATAGTATGTTTAGGTGTGTGTCATGTATGTGTTTCACTTTGAGAGCGGGCAACTAAATTTCATTTCTGATGTGTGCCATTGTGCACACAGTAAAAAAAAAATGACAGTAAAGGTTATCTCTCTCTCTAGAACCCTGAAAACAACCCCCTTTCCTCAGCCAAATCCTTCTCCTTAAGCAAAAAAACAAAACAAAACACACACACACACAAAAACACACACAAAAAAAACTCAGTTGTGGGGTCCTTGTCTGAAAGAAAACTACCAAGCTCAGAGAGCACCCATAATTTAGCCCTGAGCTACAAATATTCTCTTCTATCAATAACTCAGTTGAAAGTGGCCTTCCCTTCATCTTGCTCCTTTCCTTAGTGAAGGGATGCATAAAGAGCCCAGTCTGACAGGCAGCTGAACCTTCCAATCATTGGCGACTTTAACATTATTAAACATGAAATCCAAATTGATCGTGTTTAGCTATATTTGGTGCTAGAAACGTACATGATGCTTCTGACCTGACTCCACTAAAGGGAAAAAAATGATTCAGTTTGGAGCCTTTTACTCTTGTATGTCTCTTGATCAGGAAGATGCCACACACCCCAGCCTTAGGCTAAGGAAAACTCTTCCAGAAAATCAGACCAAGCATAGCTCTCTGAATCAGGAGAAGATGTATTTATCTTTCCACACACATGCCTTTCATGCTCTTAAATGAAATCAGGCACCTCGTGGCTATCATTTGCATTACAGGAAAGAAAAAGTCCACTGGAGAATTTTTTGATTCAATATGAATGGGGTTGGGATTTGGATCAGAATTTTCCTAATCCAAACTCCAACCCCACTCACAGAACTGCTAAAGCCATCTTTTTGCAACCCTCTAAGTCATTTCTTTGCTTAACCAGAGTTTATTAAATAAATTACAACTAGCTGGCTTGATACAACACGGTAAATCTTAAACCATAGCTTACAAAAACTACAGGGATGCATCCAAAGTTTTCAGTTTAGTGCCCCACCTCTACTAGGAGTTATCAACCATGATGCTCCATCATAAAACCGTAGCCCCATTCAGATCACTCAACTGAGAGGAAAGCCCAGTCATTTCCAACTAACTAAACCCAACAAACATTTCAATTTGCCAAAAGGAATTAATAAAAGCCTATACAATTATATTCATTTTGGGGTTCTCCCTATATACTGCACCCCTTTTCCCTGCACAGACTTCCTATCTGGAATTTGGTCCCACTGCATTCTGTGAAGAAGTCGAAGCATTCTCCTTCTGTTTCTACTCACCACCTTAGTCACGTTCAGCTTCTGCAGGTGCTCAAGGACCTGTTGTGAGGCAGTTTTGCAACCCTGCCAGTCTATATCACTTTCCCGGGACAGCGTCATTCCTCTGGAAGCAGTAAATAGGAGGAGGAGGAGGAGAAGGAGGTAAAGAAAGGTGCTCTGGAAGGGATGCCATAGGTTGAGCATCATCTCTGAAGGTTTTAGACTGAACCTGAAGTGATGCTGGAGGATCTTGTTTGATACTGGGAGTCAGAGGAACCAGGATCATATTTATCTTGCTGCTATAGGTGACTCAGGCATATAGTGGGGAATTCCACCCCAGAGAGACAGGTGGGGGTGGTATTGCAAGTGCACTGATGTCAGGGATCAGAGTGGCCTGATATGGCCAACAATTAGGGTGACAGAGCTGAGTCCACCAAAAAAAGCAGAAGTGATACCCGTTTTTGGGCTCTCCAAAGATCAGTAACCTCAGAGATCAGCTCATTTGCCTAATGATGCCTTTGGGCAAATCATAAATCCCCATTTCTCTCCCTACCTGTAAACATAAATACAGAGAAAAACCCCATAGTATTTTTGGGATCCCAGCTAATATCTATTTCAGAATTAGAAAATGATTGTGGGAGAGGAAAACAAGAATCTAATCTCCTGTCCTCCAAGTGACAGTAACTCAGAAGACCTTTTACTTCTCCTTGGGGAATTGAATGCTTTTCTATCCACCCCAACTTATATTATTAATGTTTCTGTTTATGTATTTGTTCTGTTCAAAAACAGAATAAAATTTGGCAATCTGAGCTAAAAAAATCTATAAATGTATAGTGTCCGCAAAGAATTTGTACATTGTCCAGAACACTAGACAGAAAGAGAAGAATCTAACAGTTCTTATCAAAATATAATAAACTGACAAAACCTCAGCCTAATTCTCAAAAATCAGAATCCATCTTATAACTCATAAATATAGTTCATAAATTCAACCAAGCAAAAGAGGCACACGTGACCCCGGGGACACTGCCGCCATCATAAATATATAAACCAGTTGCCAAGCATTTGAATTTTGATCATGTGACCATGGGGATGTTACAACGTTTTGAAGTGTGAACTGTTGTAAGCTGTGGACTACTACATTGATTACTGGTATTTGTTTGTGTTTGGATTAGCCTCATCCAAGCCTGCTAAAGTCTCCTAAAGGAAACCTGAGAATGGAGTCTCTGATCACTGAGGACCAAACCTCTTTGGCCTCCAAGCCATTCATTTATGCCACTTTTCCCCATCATAGGATCTTTCCCATTGAGTCACCATACTGGTGTGACATTTCATGTCCCACTGTCAGTTCCCGTCCAGCCTCTGGGGTTTCTGTTCTGATTAGCTGATGAATGGCGCTCTTCTTATTTTATGCCCCCCCCCCATTGTATGATTATTGATAGATTTCTCTTGAGATTTTCGTTTCTTTTTGTTTTGTTTTATCTGCTTTGCTGGAGGAAGGCGGCAGACCATAGAGATAGAGCATGATTAGAATGGCAGCAGACAAGGAAGATCAGAGTGCTGAGTTATCTGATTTAAAATTTCTGACACAATGAAGGCATAATAAATGGTTTAGTATGACTTGACCCCCTTACTATGAGTCCAGCTCCAGTGACTCTGCATGAGTCCTTGTTCTGAACTTCCTAATGTATTCACAACAAGGCCAGTGCAATGTTAAGACCTGCGGAAAACAGCAGCTTCCTCTCCTGATCTGTACTTGGCAACTCAATGCAAAGAATTCTTTACTACTGCACAGCTGATTGGAAAAAGGCAAGGAGAGGAAAAGACATCATGCAGAGAAACAACAGGCAATCGTACCTTCAACGGATGCTTCACTTTCACAATATGCAACATTTAATTATTGTCACGGCAGAGTAGCTATTCTTTTGCATGGGTGTATTCTGCCAGCTTGGGAATAATTGGTTTAACATTCCACACAACAAGAGACGGAATCCAAGCATTTTGATTGTCAGTCTTGCATATTAGGTATTTTGTGTTGATTCCCACTCCCACTCACCTCCTCTCTCTCAGTGATTCTCAATCTGGCTGGGGAATTCTGGGAGTTGAAGTCTAGGTATCTTTTTTTAATATAAATTTTTATTAAGTACAAAGAAAAAAAAGAATTAAAAACACTGAACATGGTAAATCGCCTTTGACTGACATCTCAGTCCATGTTGTACATTAATTACATATATCTATATACAAACTATACATTTCTGGTCTCTATCTTAACTTATCTCTTTATTTGTGACCTCCATTTATTCCATATTCGATAAAAATTCTGTTTCTTCCTGATTTTTTAATCTTTTAGTTATCCTATCTAGTTCTGCGCAATACATAATTTTCTTTATTAGTGCTTCCCCACTCGGTACTTCCATTGCTTTCCACTTTTGAGCAAATAGTATCCTTGCTACTGTGACCACATGGATAATTAAATATGTGTCCTCTTTATTTATATTTTTCTCTAGTATTCCTAATAGTAATGTCTCCGGTTTGTATTGAATGTTTTGCCTAGTCATTTCTATTGCCCAATCCCAGACCATACGCCAGTATACCTGTGCTTCTCTACATGTCCACCATACATGAAAAAAGGTGCCCTTTTCTTTTTTACATTTCCAACACATAGATGAATATCCATTATACATTTTGGCTAATCTGGCCGGAGGGAGATGCCATCTATAAGCCATCTTATATAGGTTTTCTTTATATGATGTCGCCACTGTGATTTTGTTATTTCGCTCCCATACTTGCTGCCATTGATCCATATTTATATTATATCCTAGATCCATTGCCCATGTCACTATTGTTTCTTTAACCTGCTCCTCATATAGATTATGTTCCAACAGGTGTTTATAAATATTCTTTATTTGTTTTTTCTCCGGGCCTAGCAGTATTTTATCTAACCCTGTATCTTGTCTGTTAATTCCCCATTCTTGCTTATCCTTCATATATCTTGCTTGTATCTGGAGATAAGACCATCACTCCATGTCTATTCCTTGTTGTTTTAGCTCTTGTTTTTGTTTTAAATAACCTTCTTCTGTCAAGATGTCTTTATATATAATAGCTTTGTCTGTCCTGTACAAATTGGGGTATGTGACTGCCTCCAATGGCGATAGCCAAGTTGGGATCTTTGTGTAATATTGATGTTTAACTATATTCCAGCTTTTTATTAATTCTTGCCGAACCTTATGTCTTAAAAAATATTGATGGTTTCTGCTTTGCCCCATCCATATGTGAGCATGCCAGCCCTGCTGGAGGTCATAACCTTCTAAATGTAAACATCTTTTATATTCTAAGGTTATCCAGTCTCTAATCCATGTTAGGACCGCTGCTTGGTAATCAAGGAACAGAAGTGCCACTTGACGATTGCTATGCGATTCATAAAATTCAAGGATGTCTAAAATTGTTCTTATATTCCGCTTAGTCTGCCCGTTTGGTAAAACCCATTTTGATCCGAATGTATGAAATCAACTAGGTATTTTTTTAATCTCTCTGCCATTATTGAGGCAAAAATTTTATAATCAGAATTCAATAATGATATAGGTCTATAATTTTGTATCCGTGTGTTTTCCGCTTCTTCTTTTGGAATCAATATTATATTTGCCTCCAACCAGGACTTAGGTATTTTAGCATCGGTTAATACTGTGTTGAAAAGTTCTAGTAGGTATTGATTGAGTGCACTTTGTTGTTCTTTACATAGTTCCGCAGGTATTTCATCTGGACCTGTCGCCTTATTGATCTTTTGTTTATTTATAGCCCTGATTATTTCAGCCATTCTTATTTCCTCATTTAACATAGATTTTATTTCCTCCGGAATCTTCGGTATGTCTACCTTCCCTAAGTATTCTATTATCCTTCTTACATTTCCCCCCTCATTTCTCTTATATAATTTTTCATAGTATCTTTGAGCGATTCCCCTTTTTATAGTCTCCTCCCCCTGGGTCTCTCCTTTCTCATCTTCCAAATTAATAATCCATTGCTTCTCTTTCTGCCTTCTTAGTTTATACGCTAGCCATCTTCCTGGTTTATTCGCGTGCTCAAAGTTATTTTGCTTAGCTGCCTCTAGTTTTTGTGCTAATTTTTCACAATCCTCTTTACGGAGTTTATGTTTAATTAAATCCATTTTGTTTTTCAATCCTTTGTTTTCAGGATCTCTCTGAAATTGTGTTTCATTCTATATTGTTTTTTCTCTTTGTTTCTCTTAGCTATGTACGAAATTGCTACACCCCTCATGTATGCTTTTGCCGTATCCCAAATGTTCTGCAAGGATGTATCCTCATTGTCATTCGCTTGAAAGAAAAAGTGCATTTCTTTCTCCATTCTTTTTAAAAATTCTTTTTCTTTAAGAATCACTCTTTGGAGAGTCCATCTAGCCTGCTTCTTTGTCCTTTCAAGTGAAAACTTATCGGATTATGGTCTGCCCAGAGGCTAGGTTCAGTATCAATTTCTTCAATTTCCATAGCTAATTCCTTGGTAAACCATAGCATGTCTATCCTGGTCCATGATCTATGTCTATTGGAAAAGTATGTGTATTCCCTCTTATCATAATTCCTTTCCCTCCAAACGTCATGTAAGCTAAGATCTGTACACATCTCAAAGAAGGTTTTGGGAAGTATTTTTTTTCCTTTCCTTGCCTCTGTACTTTTATGGTCTTTTGTTTTATCTGCAATTGCATTAAAATCTCCGATTATACAGAAACCATCTCCTTCCATATCACTCAGCTTATTATGAAGATTTTAAAAAAAGGATACTTGAGCTCCATTTGGGGCATATATTACAACAATTATTATATTTTTTTTATTCAGCTTAGCCTCAACTATCAAGACCCTTCCCTCTTTGTCTTTATAGATTTGTTTCGAAATTATCTTCTGCTTAACATACAGAGCTACTCCTCTTTTTTTTCTCGTCTAGTGAAACATATAGCCTACCTAATTTAGATTGTTCTAATAGATATTCTTGATCATTTTTTATGTGAACCTCCTGTAAGATGATAATGTCTGCATTTAGTCTAATAAGCTTACTAAAAACTTTCCTACGTTTTACTGGTGCGTTCAACCCTCAAATATTTGTTGACCAAATCTTATACTCCTCTTCTATTGTCCTGTTTTTGTCGTGTCTTTGTGCTTCTAGTAATTCTTATTTCCTTCGCCTCCTCTAAGCTTCTCCCCTGCTGTTCTAGCCTATCATGACCTCTTCCCCTTCTCACTTCCTCCATGCTTTGCTCTGTCCCTCTTTTCTCCAACATTCGTTCAATATCTCTTCTTTTTTCAACCATAACTCTTTCTTCTCCGAGAGCCCTCAGGTCTTCCTCTGCAGCACAATATTGCCTGTAGAAGTCTTCTGCTTTCTCTACTGTATCCAATCTAAACCTCTTCTCTTGCCAAGTCACAATAAGTCCCTCTGGTGTTAACCCTCTAAAATTTACATTGCTTTGATGTAACCTGGACGTCAGGAAGAGGTAGTTCTTTCTGAGGTCTCTCATCTTTTTTGGTTATCTGTTTAATACAATAATTTGTTTCCCTCCGTATTCTAACTGTTCATCACGTGTTCTATATAATAGTTCATCTCTAATTTTCTTTTTTATAAACTTCACATGGACCTCTCTGGGAAGGTTATGTCGTCTCCCATAATTTGTCTGCACCCTATATGTCTCGTCCATTCTAGCAATCATCTCTTCTTTGTCAATCTCCAGAGCTCCTGCCAACAAACCCGCCATCTAGTCTGGAAGGTCTTCTCCTTTTTCCTCAATAACATTTTGGGATCTAAGATATTGGGTCTCCTTCTCCGCTTCCAGTAATGTCACCGCTGTCAATAACTCTTTATTAGCTTCAGTTAAGTTTTGTCCATCTCTTCCACCTTCTTTTCTTCATTATCCAATCTTTGCTCTCCTGCCAGCAACTTCTGTTCATTTTTTGCGATTTGCTGCTGAAAAGCTTCAAATCTTCCGTCCATTGCCTGAATTTTCTCTCTCATTTCTCCAGTAACATTCCTAA